TTAAAAAGACAATTTTTTTAAAAAAATTTTGTCTTGAATTATTCATCTATATAAAATGGTGATGATTGCATAAAAAATGATTTTTGGGCAAAACTGTATATTGTTTCCAAAATTCTGACTAAATAAAAATTTATTTTAACAATTTAATTGTAAATACCAGCAGGAAAATCTATTTTATTCTCCAATCAAGCAAACAGGATAAAAAGGAATATCGAGCAGTGTATGAACCCAGAAGAGATATGAAAGAGACAACAGCTGGTAATAGACGCATCTCACGAATTTCTCGTGCTACCAGTACCGATGATAAAAGCAAAAAAGAAGTTAATGCCGCGTTAATAATTGAGATTCTTTCATTTCTTATATTGGCATATGTATAGTATAAATTTGGCGAGCCTTGAGAAGTTTGATCACTCATAACAAACACAAGAAAGAAAGAAAGAAATATTTAGAGTGAAACGTATAGCTAGATCAATGGCATGCAGGGGACGATATATCGATGCTACGCCTGCAATGACAAAAGAGGAATTCAAGAAGTGGTTAAAAAGATTTGATACCAACAGAGACGGAAGGATTAGCACAGTGGAACTTTTAAGTGCTGTCCGAAGTTTTGGAGGATGGTTTGGAGGGGTGCAAGCCTGGTGGAGAGTGCGCGGTGCTGATGCTAATAGCGATGGCTATATTGATGATGACGAACTTGATAATCTTATTGACTTTGCACAAAAACATTTGGGTGTAAGAGTTTCTCGTAATTGATCAATTAATATCCCTACTATCTGTTTCTTTTATATACGTTTGTGTAGAACTTGCCAGAATATATAATGAACCAGTCTGGTTCTGCTGTTTTTTGTAACTTGTTGCTGTACTCTCCAGTTTTTATGAAGGTTATACCCATTAAATTCCAACCTATGGATGATTACAAATCCGAAAAAGTGTTACAGACATAAGTTCAATAACCTCATCCATCATCTTCCGGAATTTGGAAAAAAAAAAAAAAACCTCGTTTCCCGTGAGAAACGATGACTGCCGGCAGATATCTGTTCCTATGGGCTAGGCTATGGCTGAAGGTTGAAGACAATCTCAATTGCCATCCGAAGCCGTTTAGAGTGAACAGATGGGTACAAATTCGTCAATACCAAACTGATGTCGTTTCAATAAATTGCCCAACTCCGCAACTCTGTACCGCATATTTTCACTTCATTATTTTTCCATAGCAAATTACCACTTTCCCTACGTCTAATTCGGATGATGATTTAGACACCTTTTTACTTGTTTGTAGTTCCACTCAGATGACATTTTTACAAAATCAAAATATTACGGATATATAATAATTTTTTTTCCATTTTTTCTTTTGCAACTACGAACATTATTTGTTATAATTCTCGAAAGATATCTCCACCGACCTTTTTCTTTTTTTTTTATTTATTAAAAGATTTAATAGCTCGAAATAATACTGCAATGTTGCATTACAAGTAATCCTCCCTTCTTTCACCGAATTACTAGAAATTCTTGTTCTTTTAATTACAAAGTATCAATTAAAGTGTAATTTCGTTAATTATTTTTATATTTTCCAAAATTAAGGTCGTACGATCATTTTCTAAATTTTCATAAAGAATCAAAAGTGCGAAATTAATAAAAGGGAGGTACTAACATTTATAGTTATACAATTGTTAATTATAGCAGCATCAAAAACATTAATTTTCAACATTGCGTATTGAATGTAAAAAACATAAACACAACATGTTATCTCCAAGCAATGGAGCTCCACAAAAACCTACTGGCTACTGTAAGAGCTTGTTAGCTATTAGAACTAATAGCACAGCTTGTTATAACCAGCGATTAATTCAAAATTTTGCTAAATTCTGAAGAATATAGCCACTTTTATTAATTTACACTGCGAGTGGAAATAAATAAATAATTCTTTGATAATTCAACAAAGTTAGAAATATGGAAGACGCCACCCCTGCCGCAGATTCATTGTACATCACCTTTTTTTTTTTATTTCCTTCTTTATTTCTTTCTTTATCCGTTTGTTTTGGACACTTTTTTCTTTCAGATCCATTGTATTATTTTGATGGGAAATGACCTAACCTTCATTAAAATCACATGATGTACTCCCTACAATTTATATTTATATACTTGCCTACATCTGGTAAGTGTTTCCCATGTATACATTATTAAGAATTGTACGTATTGGAAATGCTTTAACAGAAAAGGCTCATTCCATCTTGTCAAGCTATATAAAAAAATTTCTCCATATACGAACATTGACATTTCAGCATTTGCTTAAGTTTTAACAAGATGCTCATTCTTTAAGAAAGACTATATATATTATTATATTCATGAAAAGCGTCTGCATATAATTTATTGAATTGATCTCAAAACGTGAAGGAAAGACAGTATATATATATATTGGAGAGGCCTTTGTAGGGATTTGTAGTATCCATCCAAGAAATCGGCACTTACAGTTGCAATTACTGATAAAATGGCGTTTATGGCAACTCGAAGCATTCCGGATGATGGGGAACGCGAAATGACCGTTGAGCAGTTCAAAAGGTGGTTAAAATCGTTTGACATCGATACAGATGGCCGGATAAGCAAAGAAGAGCTGGCAGATGCTGTTCGAGTCAAGAAAGGATGGTTTGCAAGATGGAAAGGCAAGAGAGGGATCAAATCTGCAGATTCAAATGGCAATGGCTTTGTTGATGAAAATGAAATTAATAATTTGATAGGGTTTGCACAAAAACACCTGGGTATCAAGATTATAAGTCCCTAATTTCTTCCCCAGATTTGTTTTTTCTGTGTAATGCCAATGATTTCAGACTTTGTTCATTCATATATGGCTCTTAGCCTTTGTTCTGTATAAACAAATTCTTGGATATTTTCATATTTATTTTCATATTTAGTATGAAAGAAAATGTTCATTGTACAAACTACAATAATACATATAATTTTATAGGATTCAAAATGACTACATTAAAGTTTATCCTTTGTAGATGAGTTCTAAACTTTAAACTCATTTTACCAAACAAAAGGGTTAATGTCAAAAAAATTGAATATCGGAGTCTCTCGAATATATTTTTCCAGCGAAACTCATGCAATGGCAACTTGACAATGTTGTAAATATATTTCTGAAACAAAGAAAAAGGTATACATATATTGAATTCAAGTTTTGTGGAGTATCTTATCTTCTATAAATTCCTAACGGACCACGAATAGATCAGCCAGGTCCATACCTCTTGGCCACTTGTTACCTGTAATTTTGCCAGCAAAATGCATCTTTACAGATCTTAAAAAACATAGTCTAAGGGTCTTTATGCTCTGCTTTTCACCGAACTAATACAATTCAGTTTCTTGGAATCTTTCGAAATCAATCCTCTATTGAGATTATCCAGCATGAAGAATAGTTTCAATCTTAATTTATTCACTTAACTTGCACTCTTTAGTTTTTATGAAGGCTGTACCCATCGAATTCCAGCGCATGGATAATTACAAATCCAAAAAAAAACAAAAATTTTGCAGACACAGATTCGACCACCTCATCCATCATCTGCCGGAATTAGGAAACGCTGTTTCTGCTTTCAAGTTCGATCGCTGAAGTTTGAAGACAATGTCAATTCCCACCCGACGCCGTCTACAATGAACAGAAAGCGACAGATTCGTTACTACCAAACTGACGTCCCGCACCTTCCCGTACGTGGATTCCACTGACGTGTCACAAGCCAGGTGACCTCCTAGATGACGTGGCTTGACGGACGTGGAGAAGTACGCACACGTGGCCAGTGAAGCTCACATGCCTCCATCCACGTGGCGGAAAAGGCTGGCATGGCTTTTACACATGGCGGCACAGGATGAAGTGGCACACTACATGTAAAGTATATCCACGTGTCCCAGCGAAGAAGAGGCATCCACCGTGGCAAAGTTTCCAACACGTAGTCTTTTTTTCTAACATGGCTGATACACGTGGCCACCAAAGATGGCATGGCAAAACTATGTAGAGTTTATGTACACGTGCCTGACATGGTTAATCAACGTGGCCAAAAGGATCATATGGCTCTGACAAGGTGGTGGGACACGTGGAACCAGGTCCACGTGTCGGGTTGGGATGCGTGGCTCCCAACTAGCACAATGTGAGGAGACGTGTACATTATGCTGACAAGGTGTAGCATACGTGGCAGGGATGCTGACCACTACATGGCGATGACATAGACATCTACACATGGCATTATGATGATGTGTTATGTGATATGTGGCTGCCACGAGTCCAACAGCAATGACGTGTCGCACCCCAGGTATAATTTTCTGACACGTGGAGAAATTTGCAGACTTGGCGCGTCGCACATGTCCACCTTCATGATGTGTCAACAGGCATGTGCACAAGTTCTTACACGTGGATAGCGCCGGTTACATGGATAGGGCACGTGGCTAGCCGATGACGTGGTTATGTACACATGGTGCCACGGTGATGACGTGTTCAACAGTATTAACGTGGCATTCGACTGGCACTCCTATTGACACGTGGACGCTTATCATGACCTTGCACACGGTGGACTTTATGACGTGTGATGAGGAACACGTGGCAACAGGAGCTGACATGGCTCTAAAAACGAGTCATTATGATGACGTGGATTTTTACACGTGGCTCTATATGATGACGTGCTTTTATACATTTATAATAAACTTTCCACGTGTCCATATCGATTACTTGGCATCCTACCTGGCTCAGAGAGTTGACACGTGTTATATTCTGCTTACATGTCTCAATCCACGTGGCTTTCTTGATGACTTGCTTTAAGTACATGGGCAGTCTATGCACGTGGCGTATGCTAGTGACATTGCTGTATGATGACGTGGCATCCTCCTCGTGTATCAAATGGCAGAAGACACGTGACAGTATAATTGTACGTGTCATTTAGCAATGACGTGGCAACTACAAATTGGTACACTAGCGGATACGTGGTGAATGCCTTGTGGTAACTTGATGATGTGGGCTACATTTTCGTTCTAAAGAGAGGCCGTCTTTGTGCAAGTTGAAGGACCTGTCGAGCAGAAAGACATTTCCTTGACGTGTTGTCTGACGTTAATGGTGCTAATCTATTCATAACATTGGCAATCTTTCTCTGCAACTTCGTCGTACTTTCTATTAACGCCAATCAAATTATTAATGGGAATCGCCATTTTCCGTACGATCTCAACTTTAAACGAAGTATTGTTCTTTTTGGAAATCTCTTGTTCTGTAATTGCGAATTCCCAATTTGGATTGAAAACCATTTTTCCCCGTCTTTTATTAAAACATTTCTCAAATGATTTCTCACCTGCATAACCAAGTAATCGAGTGCATTTTGTCTGAAATATCTGACTTTGTTTTGTAATTTGGATTAGTTTCAGGAGAGGACGCACAGAGACGTATTCTTGGTATGCGCCATTATGAATTCATCCACCTAAGTGTTGAACCTGCTCCAGAAAATAAATATGGGCATAGTTGATGTTCCTTCTTTGCTGGGTGCTTGCAGTTATGCGACAGGCTTTTAGAAAAATGATACTTTCACTTTATTTTTCTGTACCAAATTACTTAATTGTAAAAGCTGGCTAGCCATTAGAAGCAATCTTACTTTTGGAAGGAAGGCTTTCGGACCAATGATAGAGAATAAGGGAACGAGGAATTTCGATTGGGTGTCCAGATGGGATGAATTTGGAAACTAATCCTCCTGCATTTTGTAACAATAATTTAATAAGTTTTGCTAATTCTCAAGAATATAGTTAGTTTCATTAATAAATTATTCTTTGATAATTAACAATGAAAAAAATAAGAAACATGTCCGACCTCCTGCAGGTTCTTTCCCTTTCTAATTTCTTTGGTTTAGTATAAAAACCCGAAAAGCCATTACCTTTTCCCTTCTTTATTTCTTTATCTGCTAGTGCGCTCTTTACCTATTAGCTGCCCAGTTCTTTTTTCTCGGAGAGATTCCATTATATCAAATCACATGAAACATATCTAGCGAGTATTACATTATGTCTGATAAAATCCTACGTATCTGATCAATCAGCTCATTCCATTCTTGTCAACCTATATTAAACATTTCTCCATTACTATACTCTCTTCCAATTACACACGTTGATTACTGGATGCTTATTATTGTATAAGAAAGATTATTTTATATATCATGAAAATTGCCTGCCTATAATTTAATAATCTCGAAACGTTAGGCAAAGACAGTATATATTGCAGAGGTCGAGGGGATTTGTACTATACATCCAAGAAACTAAGCACTTGTAACTGCAATTACTGATAAAATGGCGATCATGGCAACTCGAAGCATTCCTGATGATGGGACACGTGAAATGACCGTTGAGCAGTTCAAAAGGTGGTTAAAATCGTTTGACACCGACGGAGATGACCGGATAAGCAACGAAGAACTGGCGGATGCTGTCCGAGTCAAGGGAGGATGGTTTGCAAGATGGAAGGGCCAGAGAGGGATCAAATCTGCAGATTCAGATGGCAATGGCTTTGTTGATGAAAATGAAATTGATAATTTAATAGAGTTTGCACAAAAACACTTGCGTATCAAGATTATAAGCTCCTAGTTTCTTTCCCTGACCCGTTCGTTCTCATTTCATTCACACACATATGTATGGCTTTTAGCTGCTGTCTGAACTGTGTAAATTTATTTGGAATTTTCATATTTTCATGTTTAATATGAAAGAAAACGTTCTTTTTACACCTAATAAAGTATAATTTTATGGGATTCAACATCATTTGCAAATGATTTCTAAACTTTAAATTGACAAGAAAATATAATGCATTGCATAATGAGAATTATACAATAATGTTTTCCAGGCATGTCTACTTCCCATGACAAAAGGCTTACATTCATGAGACTGAAAGTAGTTACTATACAAATATTGTACATCTATTTCTGAAACAAAGAAAAAGGTATATCGTGAGCTCAAGTTTTTGTCGAATATCTTCTGTGAATCCTACCTATTAGGCCACAAATAGATCAGCCAGCCCAGCACAAAGAAAACATTGTAGGACTTCTGCCATAGCTTTTTGCCACTTGCAACCTGCCAGTCCAGCACAAAGAAAACATTGTAGCAGTGCATCTTTAAAGTCTTAGAAAACACATTCTAAGAGGCTTTAAGCTCTTCTTTTCACCAAATTAGTTCAATTCAGTTTCCTGAAATCTTTTGAAATCAATCCTCTATCAACAGTATCCAACTTCAACAACAACTTCAAATCGAGCAAAATTTAAAGTTCTGTCCCGAGCGATGTTCTCAACAATATAAAGCTAAGATCAGGTGTACCTGAATTATTCCAGATCAGGAATAGCCAAAAACCACTGATTGCAGGATTCTGGGGGATTGTGCAATAATCCCCAAATGACTCCTTCAAAGATCCATAACAGGAGGAGGTAATCTCCAGTAATTCCATGAATTAAAATCCTCCTGTTCCAAATGAAGAAAAAAGGGAGACAAAAATCAGTCAACCAAATGAAAGATTAGCTATATCTTAAATTAAGACCTAATTTAGGAGAGGAAATGCGAAAATATGTAGAGGTTGCGCAAAGCTAAATCTAACTCGACTCAGATGCTAACCAAGGTTGAAATTACAGAACAGACCAGGGCAAGTAACATAAAAGTCAAATATTCCCAAGACTTGGCCCAATAGCAATCTAGTGGGCTTGAATAAATGGGACCTATAAACAAAAAAAAATCTAAGTCTTGACTTATTGCACACTGCAATAGCTATGCACAACAGCTCCAATATCGTTACAACCAAAGTAGAGAAAGGGAGCAGAACTAAACCTGCTCAGATGATGTCATGGCTGGGAACATTCCATGCACAAGAGAATGAATTGAAGTGTATGATTTTGTGTCAACACGTCGGTTCACAGCAACCTCACCCTGCAGCCATAAACCATCAGAAAGAAATTTTGACATAAAGATATTAGCAAAGGATTTAAAAGTTGGGTGTTTTTTTTTTTCCTTCTTGAACATTAAGGCCTTGATTTACCTTGGGATTAATGATGAAGATTTTTCCTTTGGGGATTCCAACCTTAAGGTAGCTAATCTCATCCGTATCTCTATTACCAAAACCAGCATAGAAAGGGTTGCAATCTGGTGGGAACAATGCCTTGATATCCTGATATTTGATAGAACTAAAAAGTATTAGAACCTGCTTATCATCAGAAACATGCCAATGCCTTCATGTGTACCAGCACCATATGTTGACAGAAATAGACATGCGAAACTGACCTCTAAGCATGCGATCTTGAATTCATGAGGAGCCCTTCTAATGACTGACAAACAAAAAAGAACTGTCATTAGGACATTCTAATCAAGAAACATATTTCTTGAATTCATGAGGAGACCTTCTAAAGACTGACAAAATAAGAAGGATGATTAGTGACTAAGAAACCCAGTTGTCTCCAAAAAATCAACAGATGCTTACCGCCTTCTTCAAAGTTTTGTTAGGACTAGCACTATCTTGAAAACCCATGCACACATGGCACATATAAAGTAGTAGTAACCAAGATATCAAACAATATGCACGCGTAGCACAAGGAAATATAGAAGTAGAAAATAATGTAGAAAGAAACAATCTCAGCCTGAAATGTAGAAGTAGTTCAAAAGGTACTAATTACCTTCACGAAATAGAGAAGGAAAAAGTCCATCAGGGGATATAACTACAGGACCATCAGGTAAAGCCGTCCCATTCTGCAAATAAGGGGATGTACGTCTGATTGAGGGGGAAAAAAGAAAAAGAAGAGAGGGACACAAATTCAGGTTCTAAATTAAAATAGTGAGTTAAGCATCAATTCACCTGCTTAAGGTTGACCAGGAATTGTCTAGTATGATAGGCTTGAGATATTGCACGTGCACTCAAAAAAAGTAATTGATACCCATTCTTCTGTAACAAAGAGAGAATTACTTCAAACCACAACAACGTTTTTACTGGTAGTGTTTCAAATGATATATAAAAAAAACATTTGCATGTTAACGCTCCGGCTGTGAGAAATTAAACATTTACAACTACCATGGTTCATCTCTCCAGGATGATTATTTCATAGTAATAAAAAGGCTTGAGGATCAAAAGATGGCCTCCAATTTGGATTGTATAGAATCCACCAGGAGAAATTTTGTAATTTGAAGTTAAAATGAAAAGATGATATATACACATTGCCTCAACCAACCAAACAAATGGAAAGAGATGCCACATACCTTAATAGCTGAAAATAAAGGTGCAACCCCTGTTTGTGACCAATCCATCCCAACTAAAGGCATGAACTGACCAAGCACATCTGATCTGCAAAAACAATATCAAATTTCAAGTTGTGATCACTTGAAAATCCAAAAATTTAGGGATACCATATCACTATTACATTAGAAAGATTAGAAAAACCTTACTTTGTAATTGTCCCATCAACATCTGAGATCACTATGCGGGTGTTCCACTTCCACAAATAAATTCTAGCATCAACCTGTTAAAGGAAACAATTTTAAGTAATCACCCCAAAAAAAAACATTAAACTGAAAAGGAATAAGTGGAATAGAAAATTCAGAAAAAAAAAAAAGAAAAGAAATGCAAACAAAAAAAAAAGATATTTCATCTACAAGGAAAAAAAGGTAGTTAAGTTATAGATGACCTTTTGCCTCCCCAGCATTGCAGTGGAGAATGTGAATGTTACCACATTACTCCCTTCCTTCAGATTCAAGGATGCCAGCTCTTCAGATGTTGGAGTGATCGCCCTCATCATCTTTTTTAAGACCCGAGGCTTGACCTCTTTTTTATCACTATCTGTACCAATGTTGCTGTCTGAAACATTCTCAGCACCAGAACTCCTAGTATCACTTACAGTTGGCTGCATAGTCTTCCTAGAACGTGATCTTCTAAAAGAAAAAGGCCAAAGTCTCCAGCTTCCACCAACATTAACAATGGCTTTTGATGGATCCCCTACAAGAGATTTCTCAACTTGGTCAACAGGGATCTTGCCTTTTGGTTCAAATATAATTTCATTTCCAAATGCAACCATTCCTAAAACAATAGGAGCAGCTGCATCCCATGGGAAGTAATGGCCTCCAATTCTAACAACAAGCCTCTCGTTCTTCACAGCTTCAGGACCTAAAGAAGCAAATTTATCTATGTCCAGTTTTTCAGCATCAAATGCTTGAGAAGCAGCTTCAGACCCCATTCCTTCATATAACAAATGTTTGCAAAGAGATATCTCTGCACACAGCATAATGCACGTGACTTTCTATGGCTTGCTGCATAAAGATCATTTAAGCACCTATAACATATAACAAATAAAACCATTGCTCCACTTCGGTTTAAAGAAAAGGAACAAGCCAGTAAGTTATAGATAATATCATATATTAATTGAAAACAAATAATTCCTAGGAGAAGATAATATAGAAAAGATTGCTATAAAATGAAAATAACTTATGAATGCAGCAATACCACATTTTCATATATACTTATTACGGAAACTAATAACCAAATTCCGAGTAGACATTGTCTCAATCCATCTTATTGTTTTCCAATCAACCTGAAATTAATGCAAACTAATAAGATAAAGATGGTAATATCAATGTAATCTTACCAACACCGGGATTGACAACACCATAGGTATCTTCTGAATGATGAAAATCTTCCTTATTTGAGTACTCTAAAGATGATTGGTTTTCATTGTTTGCAACTGAATATACACAGAGTGACTCATCCTTGCTATGCAACTTCCTGTCCACGGATTTGGAATCTGAGTCCAGAGAATGGCTGAAAGTATGACGGGAGTCCTCTGTACCTAGACTGTTAATGCAAGACTGGTTACTGGGTAAAGATTTGGATAGCCGCCCAATTTCCACACCAGTAGTGCTATCAAGTTTAGCAATACAGATGGGACTTGATGCTGCCTTTGAATTGCCTATCGAGTTCTTAATGTCAGCTAATTGATTCTTCTCTACTAAACAGTCTTGAGATGATAAGGATTTATTGTTTCCCTCAAGAAACCTATCATTCACTTCATATGTGTCCTGATTTTCTTTATTTACACCATCTGAAAATTTTGACTCGGCCTGAATTTCTCTGTGTTTGAAATCCTCGAGATCGCTGAAGTGGAATTGCTCTTCCTCTGAACTTTCAGATACTGGAACACTATGTGCTTTTGTCAGGTCACAATCACCATTAAGTTGTTCCGAACCACCAACTGATTCTAAAGCAGGTTGGAGCTCATTCCTCATAATTTTATCCCCAATATCTATCTGATGCTGAATTTGGTAATCCGAATTGATAAAACTGGAAATGGGGCTATTACTTTTGAATTCTGCTTCGTTACCAAGTATAGGTTCTACGCTGACCATCTGAGTGCAGCATTGTACTTCAAGATTCACCACATCAGAAGGAGGAGATGGATTTGTTTGTTGAAGGAAATTATCATAGGACTCTGTGTGTACTGTCTCCAGCTTCATTTCCTCGCATTGCTGAGCAACTGTACCCTGAATGGAACTTGGACCTCCTCAGTGTCAATAGAATTAGAAGTTATCAACACATATCAATTAATAGAATGGATCAATTCAGGGGCAGTCCTACATTATCCCATCCCAACTGGAAGGGAAAAAATTCTAAAATACTTGCTCCGTTTTTTCCTTTACAAGTATGCCTCCAGGTTCCACTAATTTTATTTCTTACCATAATATTTTTAACCACGGCATCCAAACATATTGAAGGTAAGAAGTTGTTGGTTCTGCTTTACCCATTGGTTATTTCACTACACAGTAATTAAAGCTCAAGACTGTTAAGTCTACACAAGGATTTAGGACCATTTCAGCCATCAAAGCTTCATCCTTAACATAATTTTTTTGTGAATTCTTCTCTAAAGCATATGGTATTTGAAGCATAACATTAGAGAATTCAAAATAGAAGCTCATACACACCAAAAAAATAATAATAATAACCAACAACATGAGAAATTTTTGACTTGGATAATGCCATTTCTTGCACAGCCCAGAACCAGAAGGCCTAACATTGTCCATGGAGGCCTATTTTTAGACAAGGATTGGTTTTCTTTCCCCAGTGTGCGATAAAATCACATATATTATGACAAAATGATATCAGACTTTTGGCTCCATCTTATCCTCCTCAAGAGAAAACAACTTGAATAATTTCAACAATCAGATTGCCCTCCTAAGGTGTCATCTCACACAGGTATAATAAATTCACTAGTTTTGAGCTGTAAGCACACGGGTTGAACCTTAGTTAACTTCGATTCAGCTTAATGAGCTCAAATCACTCAGATATTTGTTGTTAATCTGAGCTTCTGGTCAACCCACTCGTAAATCACAAACAGTAAATTATCAGGTCAGCTCATTCACAGACATAGATGTCATGTCTGATTGTGTTTACAGCAGTTCCTTCTTCCCCTCACCCTCAGATATTTTGATTCATAGTTTATTTCTTTCTTTTTTTTTTCAAAAACCTTTAAAAAAATATTTTCAAAAAGTCTGGATTATTAGGGAGTTGTTTTACAAGCTATAAACAGAGTTAAAAGGTGTACCTCAGGTAGGAGCTCAGTTGCCACAAGCAAAGTTTCAGCAGAACAATAAACTTCTGTAGGTCCTCCATTAGTGGGGAGTGTTTCTTCAGATTGTTCCTTTAAACCTTCAAAACCCACCATCAAGTTCTCAGATTTCTCGCAGTAAATGAAGGATTGGATTCTATCTGATGCAATTTCCTCCTCAGAAATGCCAAAACCTCCTAATGGAACAGTTCTTTCACCAGAATGCCATTCTTCATTAAACTTCTTATTGGGAAATGCTTCAAAAATGTCTACAATTTTTGAATCAGGACATAAGGTCTTAGAGACTGCACCCTCAGAACCATCTTGATTAGCATCCTGCAAACTAGGTTCATCTGTGTTTCTTGATATTTCAGATATTTCCTGCAATTTTTCTTCCATAGCACTTTCATCTACTATGAAGGTCTGAACAATTTGTTCAGCGGCACCTAAATTTGATACTTCTACACCACCTTCCTCAACAGAAAATTCCCGATTCTCAAAGGCAGTGTAAGAACTGTTGCTCATTTGCACATTATAGGAATCAATTTCCTCAGTCAATGTAAAATGTTCCACCTGAGTTTCAGTGGCATCCTGCACAGATGAGCCAACCTGGCTTTGTCCATCATTAGTCAGCTTATCACCTTCCCCTTTACCATCAGATGTAATGGAAGCAGACAACCGTGAAGCATTGTCTCTCTTGGACTTACTAGTGGCAAGATTAGTAGACCATTGCACATCCAAGAGGTTAGCTGCAAACTCTGCCCGCTCCATAGAATTTATCCTTACCACACCATCATCATCACTAATGCTATTACTATTACTTCCATCTCCATAACTATCTTCCTTCATAGACCTCCGTCCAAAAACAAGACCAAATATCCTTGACCGGCGGGAATTAGTCCTAGCCACAATCTTGCCATTAGTTGCATCAATCTGATCAACTGAATTCAGTTTATTCACATCAAAATCAAAACTTTTGGACTTCATTGGCCTCCTACTGTTCTGGGATTGCTCATCTGTGTCATCACTAGAAGATGATGAAACAGACTCTCCTTCATCTCTTTCTACCTCCCTGAGAAAGTAAGCTTCTCCTCTCGGATCAAGATACATGTGAAAATTTGCATCAATTCCATTCACACTAATGTTGACCACCTTCTCTCTTGCTTTCAGAACCCCTTGAAATTTCCCAAACCGAACATACCAAGGGGAGGATTTAAAGCTCCCATCTGGCTGCTCCACCACAATGATATCCACAGCTCCACCAAAAGGGTGAAAGGGGCCAGATACAGTGGACACGCCTCTGGTTATATAGCTGCCGAGCCTCCCTACAGCGTTCATCTTATGCCACTCGAACTCTTCAAATCATCCAAGCCGCAAATTTCAATTCAATCATAACTGAAGAATCTGAACTAAAAACCCAAAGACCGTCAGGCTCTATTAGTGTAACTGTAAACATCAAAAACCTCCTAAACCTCACAGTATCTCCAAAACTTTTGAGAAAATTCAGATCACAAAACCCAAGCCAAGTTCAAAAATTTAATTGATAACAACTCAAAGTACCAATGCTCTTTTTCGCGCAGTAGCACAAATTATATATCAGATGAGAAGAAAAGGTACGTGTAACGCATCAAACCAAGTATTAAAAAGACAGTCACCGAAATCCATCAGCTATCAGTACCCAATAGCTAAAATTAAATTAGAAATAAGAATATACAACGAGAGACCAAAGGCAGCTTAAGAACAGTTTTCAGACATACACACACATTTTAGAAAGCTTCAAATCCAAATGAAAGAAAAGAAGAGTAGTTGAAGCAATAAAAGCATATTCGTTCTAAATTATTCGAATGTACCAAACTGTAATAATCAATAAATGCAAGCAAGCATATAAAAGAGACAAATTTGTAGTCATTTATTCCATTAGCTACTACTATTCAACCCACTGAATTAAAATTAAAACTAATAAAAATACAAATGGAAGTATAAGTAAAGTTGTGTAATTGAAGGCAAAACAAAGAAACTAACCGAAGAAGATAAAGGAAAAGCCAAGAGCTTGCGATCTCTACAGATTCATCAAAAGAAACAGAACAGACTACTCGCTTTTGGTTTCTTGGAAATGTCGGGAGCGAGAGTTGAAGGCCGTTGTTGCCACGTAAGCAAGGTACGTTTTGTGGAGGTTTTTTGAGAGTTAGGTGACGTATTTTATTATTATTATTATTAAGGTAGGGCCCACTTATTGACCTCTTTCTTTTCATTGGTTGAGACTTGAGACTTCGGAATTGCAAATGCTTGGATTTAGGCTTTGGGATTTCGATTTTATGATTGGAATAGTGTTAAGCCGTAATTCAGTTCACTTCACTATAATTAAGAAGTTGTTTAAATTGATATAATTTCAGCGATATAATTTAAATATTTTATGAGTTGATCATTCATTTAATAAAAAAAAAGGGCAACAATTTATAAAATTAATTCAATTTTATTATTTTAGAAAAAAAAATCTCATCTAAAGTTATAATTCTTTCAATTTCATCATTTTTTTTATTAATAATGCAATTTAATTTTAATCATAGTTTTCTCTATTACAACCACTTTACTACTAATATTAGTTCACAAATTTTGTATGTAGCACTATAGGTCATAACATTTCTGACATTGAATTTATTTTATTAAAAAAAATTAATACACTCCTAAAAAATTTTCATTTATATCACTTTAACCAAAATGACGGTATTTATCATACTTTTCTTTGAATGGTATCATTTTCCACGTAAAATCAGTTAATTGTATGATAGAAGATTTAATGAAAGATGTGTATGTATTAATAATTCAATATCTACCAGTCAAAATATATTAGGAGAAATAAGACAAATTTAGAGCAAAAAAGAGTTTCAATTATTATTATCTAATAAAGAATAAAACGTATGGCGATGCAGATAAAATCAAGTGCTTTAGAAGCATTATCCATAATTTGGTTTTTGCTTTAGTTTTATGCAATTAATTAATATTAGGAGCAACTAAATGTTTCCGGCAGGGACAAGACATACACTTACGATATAAGTTTGACCAATAATTTTATTAATAATTTACATTATAAAATGTGTTTTATTCAATTATGTAAGAATTATGTGATTTATAAATGAATTAAATTCATAATGTGCGACGTTCCATCTTAATTAATTCATTACTACAACTACATCTTTATTAATTTATTGCCTTTCTAGTGTTAAAATTAGAGATATAAATAAAATATCAAATCGCTCATCTATTCAAGACTCAATTTGCAAACAACTGATTTAATAAATTTAATCTAAACCTACTTATTAAATTTATTTAATAAACAAACTAAACTCAAACATAATTATTCCTGTTCGAATAGGACTCACAACAAAAGCTCGACTCAATTTGTTTACATGGCTAACTCGATGATATAAAATAATATAAACTTCATATTAGACTGGGAGTAGGTGGTAGGCATTTCATGAAAGCACGTGCCTGTAAGGTTTTTCTTTGATTATATGTATAGACTCGACCATGTGCCACCGGCTACCGGACTCATATCTAATTATAATTAATTCTCAACCCCTCAAAGTAGGCATGGCCGGTTCAATGAACCGCCGGTTTCGATTCATTGAACCGCCGGTTCGAGATGTTTAAAATTTTGAACCGGAACCGGCCCTTGAACCTCAACAGACCCTTGAACCTTCGGTTCCGGCGAACTGACGGTTCTAATTACTGTTCCGATTCGGTTCCGGCATTACGTAAATTTTTAAAAAAATAATAAAGTTTTGATTCCGAATTCATGAATAAATAATAATTTTAAGATGTTTAAATTTTATTAACTAAATAAATTATTATAAAATTTTAAAACAAAAAACTTCTATTAATTTAGAACTATTATTACATTAAATTTACAAATTTTGCTAACTCACTAATATAGAAAATTATAATTTTTTATTTTGGGCTTGAATTAAATTACCTCACTCTGGATGGATGTGATTTTAAATGCCTTATTGAGAGTGCCATATCGTCGCGTCGCAGGGGCTTGGCAATTGCATATTCTTTGTTTTGCCAATAATTACATCGAACCGCATTTGATTTTGTCCATTATCTTGAACATTTTTGGCCAAAGTGCTTCTTGAAAATATCTGATTTTGGTGTGGTTTTAGCCTATTGAAATATTTAGGGATATTGCTTCTTGTGGTGAATAAAATCAATCATGGATCATTTGATCAATTTCTTCCACGCTTTGAGCAACTCGCTTGTCCCTTGGAACTTTATGAATTGTGTGCCATTAATTTTTAAATGGAATTATGGAAAAAAAAAATTGAATAAATGGAATATGAAATTAAATGAAGTTGTAGAGAGTGGATGTATTGAAATAAAGCAAATTAAAGAAGGAGAAGAGGAGAGATAGAATATAATTTGCGATTGTGGAAAAAAAAAATTAATCAAGCTCATCATATTTATTACATATTTTTCAGTTTTTATGTAGTCTTGTGCGGCGAAAAGGTGGTCCCTTGATAACAGAAGGAAAAACAATTATTTAATTTTTTAGGGATAATTTAGTAAATTATAAGTGAGTAAATAATAATTAATTAATTAAATTATAATAAACAATTTATACATTCGTTTGAAGTTTTAACATTGTGTAGAGTTGTTAATCTGTATAGTTAAAAAATATTTGTTTGTAAACAAAAGTCAACGGCTTGAGTGAAAATGAATCTGATGAGTCTTTCAAAAAAAAAAGAAAAGTGAAATGATGATGCTTCCTTTTGTTTTAAAACCCAAAATGATTGATGTTTTTTTTCACTTATTTTTTATTATTGCAGAGTAATAATTTTGTTGTGAATCCGGTTCGGAATTCAGACCGAAACCTCGCCAGTTTCAGGCCGGTTCAGGTTCATTTTTGAATATTCACACTGAACCTTAACCGCGCCTTGAACCGCGGTTCCGGTTCAAAATTTGAAGGTTCCGGTTCAAAATTTTGAACCGCCGGTTTCGGTTCATCTACAGTACGGTTCGGTTCCGATTCGGTTCCAGTTAGAACCGAACCGGTGGCCATGCCTACCTCAAAGCTGCAAATAATAAAATAAAGACAGCTTTATCCACCCCAAATTAAAAATATAAAAATAACAAAAGGAAGCTTATTGTATGTGCACCACAAGCATTACAAATTTTACATCAGAAACTGAACTGGGTAACTCAGTATCAATGACAGCGATAATGCATTTCAAAATCAGAATTGTACATTAGTGTTTCCAAGGCATGCCTACTTCCCGTGAACAATGCTTACACTCATGGGACTAAATGTAAGCTCTATACAATATTGTATTTATACATTTAACTGTTTATGAAGAAAGATATAGACATAATGAATTTAACTTTTTGTGCAAATCTTCTACAGTCCTTTTTAGGCCAAAAATAGATCAGCCAACCAGTCAGCAAAATGGTGGTGTGATTAAACTTGTGCCGTTGGTCTTGACTCGTGAATCTGTAATTTGCCAACATATTCATAGTAAGAAAACAAAAAAACATAATATGAACCGTTAATCAGCAGAGAATAATCTTTGGAAATAGTTTAAGCTCTAGCTTCACTCATGACTAAAGTGTCACGCCACTTCAACTTCACCAATAATCGTCATTTCAACTTTCAGAAGAGAGGAGCAACTCCTATCACTGCCAAGTTTGATTCCTTGTTTAAAGTACATTTTCACACAGTTGCCCCATGTCTTTCAAAATGAATCGTAAACTGAAGTATCAAGAATATCTCGGGAATATTAATAAATCAAATGATGTCTAAGATCCTACCAGAGTTCTGGGGACATTACATAAAGATAATGTACCTGAATAGTTCCAGTTAATCCTGGTCAAAACCCATTGGTCTCTGGTTTCAGAGGATGAAGCAAAATATTCCAGCTGATGCCCTCAAATACCAATATCAGGAGGTGGCAATTTCCAGAAATTCCATGAATTATAATCCTCCTGTTGCCAATGAAGGGTGGAAAGGGAATGAAAATAATTAGTCATTCCTTGAAGAATTAAGTAACTACATCAAAAAATCAGAAATTTGTACATAAGTTAGAACTCATGATCTGATGAGTACACCACTTGTCACAGAATCCAACTATCACCAAGGCTTAGCAAGTTGTGCTCAAATACGTCTGTATTTGACCCCATGATTGTAAAGCTCTAGGATTGACTTATTGCTATAGCTATGACAATAGATCCAAACTTATTACAAGCATGAGTACTAAAGTTGAAAGGGAAAGCAGAAAACAGACCTGCTCACACGATGTCATGACAGGAAACATGCCATGCACAAGATCATGAAGAGAAGTATACGATCTGGTGTCAACAAGGCGGTTCACAGCAACCTCACCCTGCAAATGCAAACAGTCAGAAGGACATATTGACCTAATTCTAATGACAATAGTGTATGATTCTTTCTTTAAGTATGGAGCCCTTGAAATACCCTGGGATTAATAATGAAGATCTTTCCCCTCGGGATTCCAACCTTAAGGTAGCTAATCTCATCAGTATCTCTATTACCAAAACCAGCATAGAATGGATTGCAATCAGAAGGAAACAATGCCCTGATTTCCTGGTATTCAAAAAAAATAAAACATTAGATGCCACCATCCTTCAGAAATATACCAAAGCAAGCATTCAACTATACCAGTGGGTTTTCAATAATTTCTATCTGAAGCAAATTGACCTCTATAATCTATATTGAACATCAAAACATCTAAAAATCTAATATATGAGCAGAATTCACAACCTCTACAGTCTACCCATAAGTATTTCAATACAGTAACTTATAACAATCAGAGGTTACACTGTAAGGTAAATCAGACTATTTGTATCCCTTTTCAGTATATTTTGGGGCACGATTTTGTCAGTTTGAAATAGAATGGGGTTACATACCAAAGTTTTAAGGGTTTATGCTTTTAGTTAGGTTTTTCTGGGAAATTCAGTTTGAGAGAAATACTCATATTTTCAAGCGCCAATGTCTTTTAATTTGTTGCCTAAGAAGGTAGTTTTCTTGGCTTCTTTTCCGGCTTGTGCTAGAGTTTCTTTCAAGGAGTTGTCTCCTCCATTAATATTACACTTTGTTCTTTCTTAATAAGTTTCTCTTCTTATATTTCATACTACATACACAAAAAATAAAAAAATAAAAAAATAAAAACTAACCTCAAGGCATGCGATCTTGAATTCATGGGGAGCTCTTCTAATCACTGAGAAAGAGAAAAGGGATAATCAGAAGGATATTTGTCAATAGAAAATATATTAATTGCTCAGTCTTCAAGAAAGCTTTATTGTTAGCATTAGCGCATCAGTAAAAACCAACAGAAGTAAGAACATGCATGCATAGCATACATATGAAGTTATCTCTGCATAAATTACAGAAAGTAATGCAACCCAAATCAGTTACCTTCACGAAATAGAGAAGGAAAAAGTCCATCAGGGGATATAACAACAGGACCATCTGGTAACGCCTTCCCATCCTACAAATGGAAAAAAAATACTTTGAGAATAAAATTAAAAGAGCCAAGAGAAACACAGATTTCAAACTTTTTTTTTATCCTGGTTTCTCAAACTTCAAGTTGTGCATTAAGCCTCAATCACCTGCTTAAGGTTAACTAGGAACTGTCTAGTAATATAGGCTTGAGCAATTGCACGAGCACTAAGATAAAGGAATTGGTACCCGTTATCCTGTAGAAAAATGGTTTTCACTAGTTGTAAGTCAAGTTGCAATATAAAGAAATTAAACATTGCCAGCCATGACAATCATATTTCTGCAGAAGGATTACAACATATGAACAGCAGACATGAGGGCTAAAAATAAGGGTTTATATTTGGAACGGATCCTACCTCTAGAGCTTTTCATCTTTCCAGTGATCAATATGACATATCAAGCATTGCATCAAACCAAAATTTCAATTCTCAATTCTATTCCAATCCAAATGCAAGAAAGAGATAATACTGACCTTAATAGCTGAAAATAAATGTGCAACGCCTGTTTGTGACCAATCTACCCCAACCAAGGGCATGAACTGGCCTAGAACATCTGATCTGTAATGACAACGTCAAACAAGTCAAATATGACCAAGAGAAACCTCATGCTTCAGAAAAGAAAAACCAAAGAAAATCAGAGAAGTGTGACTTTCTATTGCAAGACTCTATTGCAATAGAAAAGCTTAGATAACTCTCACTTTGTTATTGTCCCATCAACATCTGAGATCACTATCCGAGTATTCCATTTCCACAAATAAATTCTAGCATCAACCTGTTATTGTCCCATCAACATCTTGAGATCACTAATCCGAGTATTGCCATTTCCACAAATAAATTCTAGCCATCAACCTGTTAGTATCACAATTTTTAATATATCAACTGAAATTAATTAAAAAAGATGTAGAAAAAAAAATTGCAAATATTGGGGGGGGGGGGGGGGGGGGGGAGGGGAAGAGTTAATTCATGATTAATAGAGGCAATGACAAATCACAAAGACCTTCTGCTTCCCCAGCATTGAAGTGGAGAATGTGAATGTTACTGAATTACTCCCTTCCTTCAGATTCAAGGATGCCAGTTCTTCAGATGTTGGAGTCATTGCCTTTACCATCTTTTTCGAGTTCTTGATTTCAAGCACATTTTTATCATCATCGGTGCAAAGGTTCCGGTCAGTAACATTGTCAACATCAGCAACTCTGGTATCATTTACAGTTGGCTGCACAGTCTTCCTAGACCTTGATCTTCTAAAAGGGAAAGGCCAAAGTCTCCAGCTTCCACCACTGGTAACAACTGCTTTTGATGAATCCCCTACAAGAGATTTCTCAACTCAATCAACAGGTATCATGCCTTTTTGTTCAAATATATTTTCACTTCCAAATGCTACAATTCCTAAAACAAAACGAGCAGCTACATCCCATGGAAAGTAATGAACACCAATTCTAACAACAAGCCTATCACCCTTCACAACTGCAGGACCTAAACAAGTTCGAGCAGCTACATCCCATGGAAAGTAATGAACACCAATTCTAACAACAAGCCTATCACCCTTCACAACTGCAGGACCTAAACAAGTTAATTTATTTATGTTCAGCTTTTCAGCATCAAATGCTTGAGAAGCAGCTTTAGCACCCATTCCTTCATATAACAAGTGTTTGCACAGAGACATCTCTGCATACAACACAATGCATGTGATTTTCTATTTAATAAGGACAGTTTAAACAACTATAACAACTAAGAAATAAGACAATTGCTCCCCTGTGTATCTAATTGTAATTAAAATAAAAAAGAGCCAAATATTATCATTTTTAAAGTGCAAAAGAAAATGTTCCAATAAAGAACGTCCAGTAAATTGTTGTCCAAACATAGCTATATTCAAATACATTTACTATGAGAACTAATGACCTCAATAAGTTGAAATTTAACAAAGAAAATATGCTTTTCTAAGTTGTCCAACCAACCAGGAAACAACACAAGCCCACAAAATAAACTGGTACAAAAAAATATATGCAAGTACTCTTACCAACAACAGGACTGCTGACTCCATTTTTGCAAGTACTCTTACCAACAGCAGGACTGCTGACCCCATTTTTGATATCTTCCAAATGATTAGCATCTTCCTTATTGGAAAAATCCTGTGCTGACATATTTTCATTGCCTGAATCTGAATTTGCACACTGTGACTCATTCTTGTCATGCAATTCCCACTCCAAGGATTCAGAATTCAAGTCCAGTGAATGGCTGAGAGGGTGATGGAGGTCCTCAGTGTCCAGATCATCCATGTGAGACCACAAATCGGGTAATGATTCTGTCAAACGGCCATCTTCTGCACTAGCAATACTATGACGTTTAGAAATATCAATAGGACTTGATGTTAACTTCAAATTTTCATTAAAGTTTCCGAAATCGCCTAATCCATTCTTTTGAAAGCTGTCTGGAGAGGAATGAGATTCATCATTAGTATTCAGTGGCCCATTCCGCATGCCAATCCTTTCTGGAGAAATAGAGGGACAACTTTCTTCATCAACAGCCTCTGGAAAATCTGACTCTTCATTGACAGTATCTGGAAAATTTGATTCGCCCTGAGTTTCTCTTTGTTCAAAGTCATCAATATCACTGAAGAAGAATTGTTCATCCTCTGAACTTTCCGACACTGGAATAGCAACTGCTTTTGTTGGGCCATCTTCATCATTAAGTTGTTCCGAGTCAACAACTGAATCCAGAGAAGGCTGGAGTTCACACCTTGTAATTTTATTCCCCATATTCATTTCATCTGGAATTGGATTGACTGAGTTTCCAAAACTGGAATTGGAGGTAACGCCCTTTGACTCTAATTCAACTGAACCAGGTCCAGCGTCAGCATAGACAATTTGAGCATAGGATGTTGACCCTGTTAATGACACTTTAAAGTTTACCTCACCATTGCCATGTATGGAAGTAGACGATGGATTTGGTAGTTGAGAATAAACATCCAGAGAGTCGATCTCTTCTCTTTCCAACTCTATATCCTCAGCTGGCCTTTTAACTGTATCCTGAATGAAACTTACACCACTTCAGTGTCAACAGAATCAGAAACTATCAAGCACATGACTGACACTTGATTAATCTCCCCAACTAGTTTGGGACTAAGGCTTTGTTGTTGTTGTTTGTTTGTTTGATACTCACTTAATCTACAGTTTAGATATGTATATATAGTTTGAGTTTATAGAGTTCAAGTTCTGCTCAATGGAAAAAATGCATGAGCATAACATTGGCTCAAGATACTCAAAAGCACGGCATATGGTACATAAACTCAGACTTTGTTTATTGGTTGTTCCACATGCCAAAAGGCCAAGCTTGACACTGTCACAAGGACAAATAAAACTTGAAATGGCTTCCTGCCTAAGACATAAGAATTTAATGGATTTTATTTCCTTACTAAAGATGAAGATTAACAAGAACAAAAAAAATCATACAGGCTCACGTAACGTTTGGAGCTATTTGAAACTCAAAATACATGCATAAGGCAATAGGTTACACATCCCAGTTCCCACAGGCCTAACCTGTCAGAGGGATGCTTATTTTAGAAAGCAAGAGCTAAGGCTGTTTCACTCTTCTCAAATTGGTATAAGCCGCGGAACAAGAAGACAATTTGATTCATATCATCTAGCTTCAGCTCCAATAAAATCCTCATCAGCATTAATACGGAATATATTCAACAATCAGTTAACCTTTACAGCAACATCTTGAAGAGGCTAGTAGATGCATTGACTATGAAATAGGCTCAAAAGACCAGAATATGAACCTTCCATCAGTTGGATTAAGCTGATCTTCTTGATGAGCTCATTCTTGGGCTTAGGCTTGACAAGTTTACATGTCAGGTTGAGCTCATTTGAGCTTTTGGTTAAGTCACTTACAAAGTGAGGACTAACTCATCTTCTCTCTCAAAAAATTTATGTTCATTATGAAAGTTGAAAGTATTTTTCAAAAACTTAAAAGTAAAAAAATTAAAAATAAAAAATGTTGAACTATTCAAAATTCTTTTGCAAGTGAGACATAAATTGTTAGAAGATTTACCTCAACCAGCAACTCAGTTGTCACATGCAAAGTTTCACCACCAAAATGAATTTCCCCAGGTCCTCCACTAGAAAGGCACAGTGTTTCCTCAGATTGTAGTTTTGAACCATCCAACCGCATTTTTGAACTATCAGATGTCTCAGGATAAATAGACATAATGTTACTTGATCCACTCTCCTCACAAGAAAAACCAAAACCTGGCAACAGAAATTCTCTTTCATCAGAAGCGTGTTTTTCATCCAGCTTCTCAACAGGAAAGGCTCCAAGCACATCTGCAATTTCTGATTGTTCTTTTGAACCACCCAACAGTGTCATTGAACTTTCAGGTGTCTCACCATAAACGGAGGACAGAACATTGTTGGATCCACTCTCCTCCTCAGAAACACCAAAATTTGGCAACACAACTTCTCTTCCATCAGAAGCCTGTTTCTCATCCAACTTCTCGCCAGGAGAGGCTCCTGGCACATCTGTTATTTCTGATTCTTGTTTTGAACTATCCAACCGCATTAGTGGATTTTCAGATGTCTCACAACAAATGGAGGACCTAACATTACTGGATCCACTCTCCTCAGAAACACCAAAACCCGGCAACACAACTTCTCTTCCATCAGGAGCCTGTTGTTCATCCAATTCCTCAAGAGGAAAGAGACCCAGCACATCTGCAATTTCTGATTCTTCTTTTGAACCATCCAACCCCATTACTGGACTTTCAGATGTCTCACAATAAATGAAGGACTGCACGTTACTGGATCCACTCTCCTCCTGAGAAACACCAAAACCTGGCAACACAACTTCTCTTCCTTCAGAAGCCTGTTCCCCATCCAACTTCTCACCAGAAAAGGCTCCAAGTACATTTTCCATTTCTGGCTGTTCTTTTGAACCATCCAACCCCCTCAATGAACTTTCAGATGTCTCACAGTAAATGAAGGACTGAACATCACTGCATCTACTCTTCTCAGCAGAAATATTAAAACCTGGCAACACATCCTCTCTTTCATCAGAGGCTTGTTTTTCATCCAACTTCTCTTCAGGAAAAGCCCTAAGCTCTTCTGCATTTTCTGTTTGTTCTTTTGAACCATAAAACCGCACAATTGAACTTTCAGATGTCTCAGAATAAATATAGGACCGTGTTCTACTGGATCCACTCTCCTCCTCAGAAACACCGGCACTTGGCAATGTATCCTCTCTTTCATCAGAGGCTTGTTTTTTATCCAACTTCTCTTCAGGAAAAGCTCTAAGCTCATCTGCATTTTCTGTTTGTTCTTTTGAACTATAAAACCGCATAATTGAACTTTCAGATGTCTCAGAATAAATATAGGACTGTGTTCTACTGGATCCACTCTCCTCCTCAGAAACACCGAGACCTGGCAACACAATTCTTCTTTCATCAGAAGCCTGTTTGTCATCCAACTTCTCGCCAGGAAAGGCTCCAATTTCATTTGAAATTTCTGAATCAGAAGGGACCTCTGGAGTTACATCCTCTACATCCTTATTCTGGTCGGCATTTTGTGAACTAGGACCATCAATGTTCCCTGATATTTCAGATATCTCCACCAATTTTTCTTCCAGATCACTCTCATTTAACATGAAATTTTCAACAAGGTCGGCTGCAATCTCTGCACGCTCCAGTGAGCTTATCCTTACCACTCCAGCACCATGACCTCCCTCTTGATAACCAACCTTCTCCATTGACCTCAGTTCCGAAACCAGCCCAGATATCCTTAACTGTTGAGAACTAGTCCGAGTCACAATCTCCATATTACTTGCGTTAACCAGGTCACCTGAATTTGAATTACTGACATCATAATTGCAACTCTTGGACTTCATTGGCCTCCTACTTTCCTGCGATTGCTCATCCATTTCATCACTTGAAGAAAAAAGATATGATACAGATTCACCTTCTTGTCTTTCTGATTCCCGGAGAAAGTATGCTTCTCCTCTTGGATCAAGATACATATGGATATTCGTTTCAATTCCATTAACGACAATTGTAACCACCTTTTCTCTTGCCTTCAAAACCCCTTGAAATTTCCCAAACCGAACATACCAAGGAGACGACTTGAAGCTCCCATCTGGCTGCTCGACCACAATGATATCCACAGCTCCACCAAAAGGGTGAAAGGGGCCAGATACAGTGTATACACCTTGGGTGATATAGCTGCCTAGCCTCCCTACAGCGTACATCTTATGACACTTGGATTTTCTCAGATCACCCAATTCTAAAAAACTCTATCATAACTTTAGAACCAGAGTTTAAGAACCCCACAAGATTGTGAGGCTCTATTAGTATAGAACACAAGCCAGTAAGTCAGACAAACTTATACGCCTTCAAGTATCTCCAGAACTTCAATTCTAATAGCCAGATCAGAGAACCCAAAGTCACGTCACAAATTAATAATCCAGCTGATAATAACTCAAAACATTTGGTTTCACATTAAAGTCAAAAAAAATCCAGATGAACAGTTCAGCATTGTATAAATGTCTGGGAAGTATATATGTAAAGGTAGCAATAAAAATTTATGAGCTCGTGAGTTTCAACTCATTGTGAATGAAACTTGGTAAAGTTTTTGATCATTTGAAATTTGCCTTTCAAATGATCATATTAAAGCAATTTGTTATTCCCATCCATAAAATAGTTTTCTTTCGTTTAATTACTGGGTATTTTAAAGTTTACAGTGGCTATACCTAGTCTAAAATCATATTTAACACATTCTGACTGAGCAATCACATTGAATTAGCTCTGATTACTTTATTGCAAAGAAAAGAAAGAGCATATTCGCATTTCATTCCAACAACAAGAAGCATTCAAATGTTAGGCAATTTGGTTTTTTATCACATCAACCTCCCAATGGCATAGCATTACTGGAATTTATTATTAGAAATCTAATCACTTTTCAATTTCTTCCTCGTATAACGTTGAAGGGGATTCAAAAACAACAAAAAAAATCCATGGTTTTCAGAGACTATTCAAAAAGAAAATAGGAACAATTGTAACTCAAGTCAAATACAGTAATTAAAAACCATAGAAATAAATCACAAAATATATGATTGAAGACAAAAAAAAAAGATATCAGAAGTGCAATATTACCTTCAAAACCGATTCGAATCGCACTGCTCGACTGCAGCTTCAGACCCGAAAGCCAATAAAAGATTGAAGGACAAAAAAAACGAAAATAAAAACTTATAAGAATAAGAGAATCCTAATAAGTGATAGATATAAACTTGAGGGAGATGTAAACGACGTCGTCGATAAAGAGATAGAGGAGGCGCAGCCGGCAGGGGCGATGCCGGCGACGTGCAGAGAGCAAAATAAGAGAATTCTGGAACGTGAAAATGGGAGTTTATGAGATATAAATAATACAAACTACGATATTAAATGAGTCTTGGAAAGATCAAAGATGAAGTGCTGTCGTTGGAACAAAGATAGCCTTAGACCAAAATATGAAATAACCATAAATGGATGAAATACATACATATATATATATAATATTCATATGTTAGTAATGGTTAGAGAAAATCACCGACTTGCATTTAAATAACGATCTAAAACTTAGAAGAACATACTTTGTTTTTATTTATTTATTTAAAAGAGCAAAACAATATTTAATTTTTGAAGTATATCTATTTCTAGAGCAAAGACAACTACACCCCCAGCAGAAATGTTATAATAATAGTAAGTCAAAAGAAAAAACAAGATTTCTTCTCTCTTGTTTAAAATGATAAAAGAAAAATGACCTATTTCACATTAATTGTAAATTTGATAAAAAAAAATTATGTATAATACATGAAATATATTTTCATTCTTTCGTCACATGTTGACATAATTTCTCAATATAAAAAATGTTAACATAATTTTTTTATTAGAAATGTGAAAAACATGATTATCAAAATTTCGCTAAAAAACGTTTATAAGTCTAATCATAATTTGACTTTATGAATGTAATTAATCTTTTCTCGCTAAGACTTCTTGCCTTTTATATCACTGAAAATAAAAATAAGACGTAATTTTTCCATTTCTTACGATTACTTTTGTTTCATTTAGGATTAAAATCTTTTTATGAAAATTTAAAATTTTAAACACTGTGTTATGCTAATCATATAGATTTAATATCAAATATTAATAATTAATCTGTGAATTTTTGTAGTATGTAGTATGTTGGAAGCAATAAGTATCAGATAAAGAAATATAACTATTAATGTAAACAGACAAGCGAAAATGTGAATGTTTAGAAGCAATGGACCGCCTTGTGCGCAGAGATGTGAAGAGAGAAGGAGAACATTTTGACACGCAAAGCAAGCCGGAAGATTTTGGTAAGTTCTGAGTTTAGAGAATTAGGTATATACGTAGGTCTTGGAGAATGTGTGAATATCTGTTGCTTACAATTTAGGAACAAGAGAACACGTGTGAATGTGATGTGATGCAATATTTGGAAATTGGAAATGCAACAAAACTATTTTATAATTCGTTTCCAAAAGGAAAAAAAAATGATGCATGACACGTTGAATTTGGAAAACTGGGCCCAGCCACTTGGACTATTAGCCTATTAGGCTAACTTTGGCCCATTTTTCAGGCTCAATTGTTTACCCCAACCAAAGCAATCGGTGATTGACCCAGATCCTAATGGGTCATCAGCCAGTTCGTTGTTAGCCTGTAAAAGCTATCAACTTTATACCAACCTTACAGGGTTAATCCAGCAACAAGTGCAAAAGCTAACAACTTCGTGCCAACCTCACAGTTTCGTAAAATGATTTCGGGTCTATTCCATAAGAACATATTCGAACTCAAATTCGAATCTATATGAGATTGTTTCCAGGAATAAGTGTAAAAGCTAACAACTTACTATTTTCATAAATGATTTCAAGTCTATTGAATAAGGATATAATGGAGCTCGAATTTAAAATCTATAGATTAGCATTTAAAAATGTATTAAAGCTGAATATTTTAACAGAGTAATAAAGAGATTCGTGAACTTTCTAATGTAGCTCCAGCAAGCTATCATTATAATATGAACACAAGATACACTCAATCTAGTATTTCTTTTCCACCGCTGAAATTTCTGAAATTGGAAAATAAAATAAAATGGATCCATGAAAGTTCGGAAATTATAAGGACAAATGCTACGTGTCAGAGTGGGTTTTGCCTGCAGCGTATCCCACAACCCATATGCACGCCTAAAAATTATTCCCTGCGTTTCTTAATTGCATTTCAAATTTCTTTTGACTGGTCAAATCCACATCACAAAAAGGTTTCTGAAAAAATGATTTAATTAATCATCAACACTAAACTTTTAAATCCGTGTGGATTATTTTCTAACCATTCCTCAATTATACTTGTGTATTTTTTTTTTTTTTCTTGTTTATTTACTGATAGATGCTGCCTCTAAATCTTTTTTTTATATAGTATTGGGATAGGGTATTTGGGTCAGGATTTATCACTATATTATATATACAATTACCACTGAACTATACTTTAGTGTCTGAAATACCTTATATTTTCCTAAAAAAACAAAACACCGATGACATTTTTATTTTTTTTTAAGGAAAAGGACATTCTAATATTAGTGAGACTTGAAAGTTCACATCCAAATCCAATCTTAATCAGGTGCAGCACTACCTTTGAGTGCAAAATTCAATTTACAACTTTGGAAAAAGGAAAAGATAATTAGAAAGATCTTTGAAGGCACCTATTTATGAAACAGTGGTCATCTATTTGAAATGGCTTTTGCTTTTATCTTTTGGTTGAAGAGTGACAGAATAGAAGTAATAAGTAAAGCTAATATTGCATTTAGGTTATGATTGTTTATTAGTTCCAATCATGAGAGTTAGTTCTTGAGCCCAGCAGCAGCAGGCATTGCTCTTTTTGTGGGGTTTATGTTGGTGAGCTGCAAAAGGAAATTCATGCCCAAATTTCCATGAATCACACTGATCAATAGCAACCTAGTGCGATTCCCTTTTCCTTCTTGTTTCTGTAGCTTTTGATTGATGGTTAAAAAAAGTGCATGATAGCACTTCCATGTGGGTGGGGTTCAATGTGGTGGTACTGGTGGGATATATACCTGATTTAACAAAATCAACAGTAGCTAATCACAAGAATGTCGAGTGATAATTTTTTAAGGGAAGTTTTAACCTTTTGATCAAATTAAACTCTGGTTAGGTTGATTATAATTTTGATAACATAATTTTTATAATATTTTTTAGAAGTTTGGAAGCTTTTTATAAAACCTTAAATATTTTAACATTTAACTTTTAATTATTATTATTTTTAGAATCATACCAATTTATTTTTTCTTCTGAATTTGGCTAATTAAACAATTAATGTCATTTTGTCAATTAAATAATTATTTTTATCAAACAGACCTTTAATTTTATATGGATGATTATATTTTTTGATGGTAATATTTATATACTCGATCAATATGTAATATATGTTAATTTTCTTTAAAAAATTTGTAAATGATATATTTATATTTTACATTTGTATATAATAACATTATAAACATAGATTATCAACTTTGTAATTATGGTGCCTAGAAATGAAGGATACTTTTGATTTTTATGTCAATGGAGTCCAATTCTCATCTTCCACATCCTTGTTAAGGGAATTCTTGTACTTGGTACGTTTTTTTTTCAAGTTTTAGGGAATTCTTGAATCCAATCAACTCATGAGACCCACAATCTTCGAGTCCCAATGATGCCTTTTCTTGTCATAGCAGCACCTACCATTTTGATTTACGACTAAAAATGCTCATGCTTTTTCCTGTGGAACTGGAGACCTTTTTTTTTCATTTTTTCATTTTTTTAATCTTCTCATTGTCCTTCTTTTGGTCCTCTTTTCAACCTCAACTTTCTTCTGGCATACATCTACTTGTTGGTTTACTACTACTGTATTTCTTATAATGAGAAGACTTTTTAAGCATTAAAAACTTTCTATGTCATTATTATGTCATAATGAGATGACCATAAATATAATGATGTCTTATATAAATAGTAAGGCTGATGTTTTGATTGATCTCATTCTCTTCACTTCTATGTAATTTGTAACCTCTATTTAGATCAATGTATAAATTATATATTATAAGAAGTTAGAAATTAAAATTCCGACCATTCTTTTCAATTTAATAATTTCTGATTTTATTATACATATAAAAGAACCAAACCATATATATAATCAATTGGTCAAAATGATTAAACATTCAAAATTCAAATATCAATACTCCACAAAGCATAAGACTTGATTCTTCCATGAAGCTGTATACTAATTAATCCTTTCAAAACTATCTTAATTTAATATATATTCCAAATTCATTTATCTCATAGATTTATATATACAACTTCAATTATACGCGGGTGTACAAATAATTAATAATAATACAAATCGAATATGAAAAAATTGGAAAAAGGAAAAATAATCTAACATTAAACAACTAGCATTTGATCTTGTCTTCAGCAGCAATGGAGTTCTTGCAGTGAGCAATTGCTGCTTGAATTGCAGCCTGCAATTCCTCCATAGTGCTATCACTAGTGGAAGAAGGAAGTGTCGCTGTTGCTACAAGAAGGCCACTATTTGTTGGAGATGTTCTCATGGAAGCAGGAGCAGAGTATTCTCCTCTTCTTCCTCTACCCAACTCCAGTTTATTTCTCAAGCTTAAATTACCTGAAAATGAATGGGATTGCCTATGCAATTGAAGATGGTGATCTTCTCTTCTTCCTTTAAAGAACAATAATGGCCTAACCTTTCTCACATACCTTTTTAATATATGACTTACTTCAAATGTCTGTTTTTTCTTTTGCTGCTTCTCATCTTTTTCTTCTCTTTCTCTATCTTCAAATCCTTTTCGCCATCCAAATAAAGAGAAAGACTTTGGTTTGCTTTTTGTCTTCGTAGCCTCTCTGTCATTACTGGTTTTATAATTATTGCTGTTACTGTTACTCTTGCTGTTCTTGATATTCTCCTGGCTAGTATTACTGCTGCTGCTGTTAATTCTGTTTGCTTCTTGATGATCATCTAATAATTCTTTGATAGGAAGGGTAAAACTGTCCAAAGAATTAATTGATGGGCGAGGAGAGACAGGAAGGTGAGAGAGAAGGTGAAGAGGAAGCAAATGGCCATGAAAGAAAATATCATCTGCAGGAGATAAATCAATAGCTAATTTGTTGGCTTTATTATTATTACTACTATTATCAGAAATTACTGGTGTAGAAGAAGGGTGAAGAGAAATTGTAAAGGAAAATTCATGCGAAGGAGAAGAAGATGATGAAGTCGGTGAAGCCAAAGATGTTAAGTCTTCTTTTTCAAGCTTTTCTCTGCTGTTTCTATTCTGCTGCTTAGTCTCCATTTTATTCAAAAGAAACAAATTTTTCAAGAAACACTTCTGTATCTGCAACTTTCTTGATTATCACTTTCTCTTATTTGAAGATATTGCCAAGAAAATCAAGAAATGGAGGATAAGGATATCAAGAAGCAGTGGAGAAAGAAAGAAAGAAAGAAAACTTGGAAACTACAAAGAAAGGTAGAGAGAGAGAGAGAGAGAGAGAGAGAGAGAGAGAAGGGTTTTTCTGTTTTTTTCCTTTTTCCTTTCTTTTAATGTTCAATTGGGTTTAAAATGTCTTTAGTACAAAAATTGTAACCCATGACTTAGCTTATCTATTTGCATTATACTTGAAAAGGGGGTGGCGAGTGGTGGTGAGAAATAGAACATTAGAGATTATTATGTGTTAAAGATTGGTGGGTCCTTGTCAAAATCTAACAGCTAATTTGCAATTCTGATTGTAGAATTGCAAATCACAAGCATCCAAATTTGTACACAAAACCCTACGTGTATGTATGTACATTTGCTCTGCCTACGTCTTGTTAAGTTATTTTTCAAGTTTTATTTTTTAATTAGTAACACATTAATGCCTGTCTCTATTCCTTTATGATCTTGTTGCACACTGCTGTATATATTGGGGAATGGAAATTTTGGGTTCTTTGTCTAAGAGATATAGTTTTGCAGTTTTGAATGCGACAAGTAGGCGAAGTCACAAAACTGAAAGTTGTATAATTGTACAATGTAACGTATAACTGTTGTATTCCTTCTTTTTGTTTTTTTTTTTTTTTCTTTTTCCCTTGTAATCCATGTGTGTTTTGCCATATCTTTTTCCATGACTTCATTGATTTGTAGGGCAATTCTTTTTTCTTTTAATTGAAGATTACCATCAAAAAGTCAAAGTTTTCTTCATTTCTCAAATTGATTGCAGTTTAAAGATATTTATTAAATTTTAAAAAAATATGTTTATCGTTGTTTTATTTTAATTAAAATCTTAAAGATATTATAGAACTAATTGTGATTGAGTAAGTAGATATATTGAAATATATATATGTAATTGTCTAAAAATAATAATATTAATTTGAAATTCAAAAAAAAAAAAAATCTTAGTAAGATATTTTTTTTTCATTTTTAGATGATAAAATTAAAATTAAAGCGATAAAAGTATCATTTAAAATATGAATGATTAGGCATTTAAATTAGTTTTTAAATTTTAAATATTATTTTTCCTTATAAATAAAGTAGTATTTCAAAAATGTTCCTTGAATAAAATACTTTTAAAATCCAATTAAAATGTAGAAAAAAAAAATTCAGATATAGATATAGATAATTATTAATATTTAAACTTTTTTTTTACTGGAAATATTTAAACTTAAAAAGTACCTCTATTGCTGATATTTTCCTTAATCATTTGTCCCATTAATCTTTAAATTCTGGCTCCATTTATTTCTATTGAAAGATTAGATGATGTAATAAATTAGTCATTAATGATGATTAAACTAAATTCAGAAATTATTATAAAATGAAACTCTGAGTGTAAGAATATGATTGGCAGCTCGTGAGAAAAGACAGCTTATTCGTAGCCAACAGGGATGACTTTGGACAGTGTCAAATGGAATAATAGTAGTAATTAATTAATTAGTGCTAAATGCATTTGCCTCGGTAGATGAGAAAATTTGTTTAGATAAGAAATTAGAAAATAAATAAGTAATAAAATAAAACTGAACTTCACTCTCAAGCCTCAACACGTGTCCGAATAACCTCAATAATATCGCTCTCGTTTTGTGTAGGATTCTTTTTTGAATTTTTTTCTATATTTTTCCATGTCTTAAATCGACCATTTAAAGTATTTTATGTTTAAAAGTTAAAAATCCATTTATAGTAATTATCATGAATTCGAAAAATATGTGTAATATTTAAATTTATTTTATAGTTTCCTTGTAAGTCTGAAAATTAATATTTATTTACGATTTATATTTATATCTATATTTAATTTCTATATCTACATATTTAATATCAATCTATATTTTATATTTGCATACATATATGATATATATATTCTCCAAAAGAGAGTTAGTATTATAATTTTTTATAATAATTGAAAATACGCAAAAAAAAAAAAATAAATTAAAATGTAGATATTTTTTCAACAATTCAAAGTAACAAAGACATATGGTAAAGTAGCTAATGAAATTACTTGATCGACCAAAACTTCATGAGATTGGACGGTGATAAGAGGACGGAACACTTTCAAGAGACAAAACCAAAGTTTCCACAGTTAGGTGAGATGGTGGACCCACACACACGTGTACAAAAAGTGGTCCAATTTATAATTTTTTTACAAAAAAAAATTATATTTCCAGTAGGGGAATTTGTTTGTTGGTTATAGTTAAGGTCAACATCTCAATCATGGAGGCATTGTTTTGGTGGACTGACTCATTTTTACCACTAAACTAAACCACTCGAAAATATAAAATATATAAAAAATATATATATATAATAAGATAAGAAGCAGGAAGAAGAAGAGAAAGGCTGAAAAAAAACATTGTATAAAACAAATGTTTCGCACTCAATCTCCAGAAGATCGATGGTTCCTTTTTCAGCTTTTGCCTCTGGCCACTCATCAATATTATTCTTTTATTCATACCAAACAAACTCTCCCATCTCTCTCAATACCATGCATCCACACGTGACACATTTTTCTTTTTTTTTTTTTATTTTGAATGATTTTCTTTTGGATATTTTTATCTTCTATATTATATTTTACTTAATTTTTTATGTGAAAGGAAATCCATTTTGGTATGTACGTGCCTATTCATGTCCACAACACTGCTTTTCCTTTCTTTTATCTAATATGGACCCACAAAAACCAGAAGAGCATAGACAGTAACTGACGTTAATGACAAACAAAGCTTGCTTGTTGCTTGGTAATGGCTTGGAAAAATCAAAGACTCCCTCTTTTGCCACCACTAAGTCAAACTTCTTGTCTACAGCAATATGCCATATATTACATGTGTGAATATGTACATATAGGAAAAATATGAATTTATCCCTAAATTATAGTCAAGTTAACAAATGAGGACCTCTATTTTCTGTTTTAGATGGAAAGTGTTAACAGAATAATAACTAACTTACAGACCTTATAGTTAATTTTTGTTAAACAGGGGTCCTTCGTGCATACAAACAAGTCACAATAACTAAGCTGGGTTTCACGTGTAACTTGACTCCAGCCAACCACTGTCCACATGTTGTCCAGCAAGACATGGTCCTAAATCTCAATCATATGATCCCACAAACACTATAGCCAAAAAGAATAACAGCATAGAAAAGGGATTTCAAGCATCGTAGAAAGAAGCATGAACTCAAACTCTCTAATATTTGGTTCAGGACCACTCACTCTGTGACAGGAGCAAGTAATAGAAATTGGTACATTCATGACTAATTTAGTGATTTACTTTCTTCGGTAGAAAGAAGATGATGATTGATAAAGCTACATACAAGTCACATATAGAGAAGGAGATAGTACTGGTTAACATAGCCAATTTTTCTATTTATAAAAGGTTGCATTCCTACTTGACAAAAGTTAGATTCAAAATAATACTGAACAAATTCATAGAGTAGGCTGCTCACACAAGTTTCTTGCCTCATTTCAAAATGAATCTATATATCCCTATATAACAATATTACACAAGGCCATAATGATTTGACATTAGCTCTATGAATAAGAGAAGAATTAAATAAGACGGGAAACAGATAATCCCTTACGTGTGTCACCATGCACTGCCAAGCATATCAAAGTCTTCCAAGAATATTTGAAGGTGGCAATCATAATTGTTGTTGCTCGTGAAGTCAGCAACGGACTTCTAAAATTGCAGATGGCTCTAACTCTGATCTCTTCTGACTTGAAGCAAAGTAAGCAATTGTGAGAGATCCAAATGCATCCTTTATCACAAATGGTTCAGAATCCCCTAAGAATTGAACGGGGCTAATTGTGTGAAAAAAAAATTCCATCTTTCCATTTATGTTAAATTTGAAACAATTGTTAGTGTTGTAAAATGCAAACATGGTAGGATGATGGCAAGCTAGTCACTGTCGCTGCTATTGCGTCTATCTGTAAAAATAAGATCAGCATAATTTTTTTAAGAATTATTATCAAAATTGCAGTTCTAGAGCAATGCATAGGGAAAAAATAAAAAGAATCAAGGAGCTACAGTACCTCCTGATGGTCTTTTCCCTTCCATGGCCTCTTTCTTCTCTTGGCAACTTGAGCAAAGGAAAGGGCCATCCCAGGGACGCAGCTTTCTTGAATCAGTTGAGCCAGCATGTATTGAAATACCCTCTTCAGGTTTCATCTCCATTTGACAGACTGCACACATGAATAACTTGAACATGTTGCACAGTGGATACTTCGTATCTAACCTGCATTTTTCCCAAACATGCCTCATGTCAGAATATTAGAACCTAGTATAATCGCCCCCTGTACATAGCTGAGCGACCATTTCAGGCAACAGCTATGCCACATATATACAAAAAGCATCCTGAATTAAGAATAGGGAAACCACAGCTCAATCTGAATATTAAAAGACGAAGTTTAGCTAATCCTTGATATCTTGCTAACACAAACCTTTCTGAAAGCATGGCTGATCCTTCCTCGAACAATTCCTCTACCACATCTGGCTCCACATGTTCTTTACCAACGTGAGACGATGATTCTGAGGATTTTCTGCGAAACATGGACTTCAGCATTCCCTTCATCTGCCTCCTTGTTGGTGCTGGCGCAGGAGGAGGTGGCTTTTCCTGTGGTAATAAATCAATCACAATGCAGGTTGTATCATCTCTGAGTCCCTTAAAATGAACAGCTTCCTGTAAAAGGACCACAACACAAAAACAATGTATAGGTAAAATATATATTTGAAGATTACTAAAATTGACATGTTAGATGTCAAAGCAATGCTGTGAGAAAAGTGCATAATCATAAGTGAATAATGATTGGATTTTCCATTAGCAATTAAAAAATACAAATAGAATGAAAGAAGTTTCATAGGAAATGTTAGTAGTAGCATACTCTGACAATTTGTGCAGCTGCAGCTTCCGCTGGCATCCCTCGACAACAATCAAGAGCCGCTTCTGCAGATAAAGCATCCCAAACACCATCACTTGAGATAATAAGTCTACCACCTGCTGTGGATAGCTGTAAGTAAAATCATGAAGATCAGCAGCAGATCATGCAGTGAGGCAGCTTTTCAAATAAGTCCAAACAATTTTCAACATTTCAATTAACTCAACTAAGTTTAAACCCAAACTAGTTCTCAACTTATGTGAATTATTTAAAAGAAATTTCAAGTCAGTCCAAATTATTATCGACATTTTAAAGCATCTCAAACAAAATAACTTGAGATAATATGTCTACCACCCCTGTAGGTAGCAGCAAAATACTGAAGATCAGTAGCAGATCGTGCAGCATGGCAGCTAATCAAATAGGTCCAAACTGTTTTCAACTTTTCAACTAACTCAACTAAGTTTAATCCCAAATAGTTCTCAACTTATGTAAATTATTTAAAAGAGGGAAAGAGGAGAATTTAATTTAAGGATGATCAGGGTTAAAATTCCCTGAATCCTTTCATCCTTTCATCCTGGCCAAGTGCAAAAGAAATGTATATCAAGTATAATGTACACATAACAAAAGAAAGGAGAACAAACCTTAATTTGCTTTACATAAGGAACAGGAACAATAAATTCCCCTACATCCACATCTCCAATCGATCGTGAAAGACACAGACCACCAGGCCAACATCTTAAAGGGCCAATCTACAAGAGAATTGATACACTAGTTAGACAAACTCTTCAATCTATAAAATGAATCAAATACAATTGTAAATGAATGTAATCAGGTTTCAAAGGCAATCTTATTTCCATAGGCAGACAGATATGATCAGTTTCAAAGTGATCACACTGACAATATTCTTAGCAGAGAATTGTATTATTGTACTTGCAATACTTAAAATATTACAAGTCGCCTACAACATTAAAGTTCATATTAAACTAAATGACATCATAATTTTCGATATCAAGTAGTTGGATTAATCCACATTTTGACACTAACGTACTCCACCAATGTCGTTTTAACTGAACGCAGTCAGTTTCACTATGTTCAGAAAAGAAAATGCAAATAAAAATTTTATTTAGAGAGCAAGTAATGCAAGCAGCTCGTATGGAATAAAAAGAAAAAAATACCTCTGCACCACCTCCAGTATTTAGTCGCCCAACCTCACCTCCACTAGCAGTAATGCGCTCCCTCCTAATGTAATATAAAAACCAAGGCCTTAGTGACCACAGGAACAGTCAAGTGAATCCAAAAACACATCATAACTGCTGACTTACTCCTCAACATTGCATTCAAGCCTATGATCTGCTGACAAGTAATAGACATCACCTTCAGCAGATTCAAGAATGCATCGGGAATCACCAACAGATGCAACAGTAATGACCCATCCTTCAATTATCACAAAGGTGACGGTTGTTCCCGATGTTTGTGCTGAAAAGGTGAAAATGACAAGTATAATTATCATGTGCAAAAACTCCTAAAAGTAAAAGGATATTTAACTGCAGACACATTCATAATAAGACGATGCATATGAATCAAAATAAACGATCATCACCAAAAGGTATGTTGGTAAGATATTATACAATTATGCAAAAAATTAAAGGCATATAGAAGCATAGGTTAATTATGGTAGCATTATTGTGATCCCAATCTACAATGTGCACAAGTATTGGTTCACATGGCCAACTATTGCATTTCTTGATAGATAGCAAGTCTAAGACTGAAACAACAAAATAATAAATTAAGAGCTCATCATGAACACATTCCAATAGATTTCCTTGTTCATAACAAGAAACTAGTATAATGGTTCATGATCAATGAACTGTACCACATGTAAGTTTGAACATAATGATTGGAACCAATAAATACTCTTTACAAATCCATACAAATTAAGGACAACATTAAATCATGAATCAATGTAAAACTTTTCCCCCTACGATAAATAGCATCCTTCAAAGTTTGGAAAATCAATGTGGATCAGCTTGATGGTCACATATCTAGATTTCTACAAGGTAGCATTTGCAAAAGGGAAATTGAAATTGAAGGATTTGGCTTTTAATTTTTAGTTAAATAAATACTTCAATGAGATTACAACATAAAATTATATAAATTTGTCAGTGGACAATAGATTCATGAATGGGGATAAGAACAATGAATTCAAAATATTCATAGATTAGATGCAACTTCAAATAAACTAAAAACATGTAATCATTGTACTGCTACACTACCCTAGGTTTGAAAGCATATCAATAAGGAATAAATTTGTGAATAAATTCTAACATCTATTTTTTATATATTAATACTTGTTAATTCAAGCCATCAATGTGTTTGTAGCAAATGAATTCAATATGCCTTTATTTCCTAAAATGCCCTGCATGCATTTGGAGAAAGATAGAGAGAGAATGAAATGGAGAGAAGGTTGGTCGCATTGTTGTTTAAAATCACGGAGAGAAGGGAACTTAAGTTCGCTTAATTATGTAGCTTAAGCAGCAAGTCACCAGTTAAAAAAATAAATAGAATTTGTCACAAGCATGCTGAATCAGATGAACCATGGAAATTTAGAAAAATTCTTTTGAGTTTCAATCATAACAAAATTCCATACTCTGTCTAATTGTTTCACCCGTACAGAGGATTGATCCTTGTTCAAAACTAAAATTCAAAAGTTCTGATCTCAAATTCTTTTAACCAAATGCAATCTAATGTTTTTGCCAATCAATGTCGCTTATTTTGACTCTTAGAAGAGCACATAAAAAGAGGGAAACCGGTCTCCAAATTAAACATAAAGAAATCTCCATGCACAATTTTGCTGCAAAGACAATGGCAAGCCTAAAGTTGATGCTGACAGAATATGTTGACCAAGTAAAGCTTTTCTAATTTAATGCCCAATTTTATGTACATAGAAGTTTTAGAAGTTCTCACTCTGCAAAAACATATTCCTCAAACTGATTAAATGCAATATAACACATGTTTCTCAGAAGAGACTCAAATACCTTTTGATTGAAAATCTTTATCAGTTTTAACAAAGCCTGCAACCAAAGCCCTTGGCAATGCTGCTACCCATTCATCTCTGTTAAGATCAGGAGGAAGGGCGGATGTGATATTATTTAGAAGATTCTCTTTTGTGTATATTGCAGCGGCAGAACCATTATGTCCATCAAATAACTGCAAAACATACTTTGTTACCAAACTTGGATATTAACGGAGGATTTGGAACTCCCAAAAATTGGAAAGCAATAAAAGGCCTTATGGCATATTCAACAGTCTTCTAATGAATAAACATCAAACATGGATTGCCAACAGTGGTGGAATTCCCTAGAAGTCCCCAAACAAATAGCAAATGGCTTTTGGAAAAATTTACATAAATTGCGAAAATGGATTAATTATTAAAATTATAACCGTAATCACAAGTCAAATATAACAAGGATTAGACGCTGAGATTTACCCCGAAAACAGAATATGTGCTGACCCCATCGCCAACGACCCTTTGGCATTCCGTCTTGATCAACGTGAAGTCCTCCCCTTTCTTACTCTGACTGGCATGCCCATGCAATATATCAGGTTTCTCTACCCTTTCACTTGCCAATTCTCGCTTTAGCAGAACCGAAAGCGGAACCGTCTGATGATCCCTTCCTGTACTCATTATTTGCGCACTCAAAAATACACCCAACACTAACGTCTCAATTACCTCTTAAGAAATGTCAGACAAGCACTTTCTAATTCTTCAAAATTTCTTGATTATATATATCCCTGGCACGAAGCAATGACAACAAAGAGAGGTAAATAGAAGACATTCCACATTTTAGCTTCAATCAAAGCAGCCAAATAATCAAATACAAGGAGATTGATGAGCGGCAAAATCAAGAAGATCTCGACCGAAAGAAAGTAATTAATATAACTATAAAAAGACAAAAACAGAAAGTTTCAGTGAAATTTCAGAATCTACAATGGACCAATCTATCTCAGATTAATCAAGGAAAAAAAATCAACCTGTACACCAAGACAAAGAATTACAGATCAATGTAGAAAATATATCATCCTTAAAATCCTGGAAATTACTCAAGCGAAATAAATCTCGACGAATGGATGTTAAAATCGAGAGTATGCAAACAGATACAAATAAAAATAAAATAAACAGGGAGACAAAAGAAGAAGAGAAAAGGGAATTTACAGTGACAGAAAGGGTAGAAGAGAATATTTTCGCATCGGTGGAGATTACACGCGAAAAAGAAGAGAATGTGATACAACTGGTTGTTGCTGCGATCGAGAAACGCGGATCCCAGCGTCCTGCAAAAATTCCATTGTTGAAACTAACACAGATTGAGAGAGAGAAAGAGAGAGACACAGAGAGTGCGTTTCATTAAAAATATAGCGCAAATAGAGCTGTTCTTCTCTTTTTTGTTCTTTCCTATTTTTTTGGCTAAATAAATATGACGTGGCAAATACGCACCGTTCTGTCAATTCGGCGCCCTAGAGCCGTTTTTTCCGAGCCGCTATTAAAGCTAATGTTTGCTCCCCATAAGAGCTTATCTTCACCGTTGGATTAATCCATGGGAAGAAATGGCCCACAGAGAGACATTTAGGTGGGGCCTAAAACAGCCAATAATCTAACAAAAGCGAGCTTATTGGAAGGAGCCTAAAAAGGAAAAAACAATTGATATTGATATTTATATTTAAGATAAATTTTTTTTTAAATCGTTTATATTTGAATATGAAGAAATAAATAATAAAAAAAATAACATTTATTGGATAATATTTAATTGCCTTATTTTTATTTTCTAGATTTGGAGGTGGGGCCGGTTAAGGGAAGTAACGCGCAAATGGACCTGGACCTAGTCCTAGTCAATCAATATATCATTATAAAGAACGAAATATTTACAAGTAAAACCACCACGGCACGGGAAGACTTGCAAAAATTTGGGGGATAATAATAGTATTAAAATGTTAATAAGCCGGTCATTAAATGGTAATTAGCTGTTGTTTTTTGTAATTAAAAGAGAAAAGTGGACAAAAGTTGACGTTGTTAATGTCACGTAGGAGAGGCCGAGGGTGTCTGTTTGTGAGCTGGGTCTTTGGGCCTATTGGGCCCACTGTTCTTAATATCCTTTTCTTTTTCGTCTTTACAACCTAATCCTTTGACTTCCACTTGGAGGGCCCCCGAAATTCTCGGCGCCAATTATCTCTATTAACTGTAATGCATAACGAGGGAGTATATTATTAGTGTGATAAGAATAAGAATAAGATTATCCATTAGTTTAGGATTAAATTTAACTGATATAACTGTTTTTTAGAACATAATTCATTAATAATAGTATAATAAAATTTTCAAAATAAGTTACTAAAAATAATATCAAGTATTATTGATGCTTATATATACCAAATGCATAATTTTAAAGAGTTTGCATATCTTTTACTAAATTAAAAGAATTATTCATATTTTCTTGAATAATAAGGAATTAACTATTTTTGCTTGAAAATAAAATATTTTAACAAAATATATAAATCTTCGTAGTAGGATATAATTATTCTTTATCTCCTATGAATCCAAGAAGTTCCCGACGCCATGTATCAATAAAGCAATATACATCATTACTAAATTTCATTGATCGAAGAAAGGATAAAAAAGTATCTCAAATATAGAAACAAAACAATAATAACAAAACAAAAAAAAAAAAAAAAAAAAATTTAAAAGAATTTATTCATATTTTCTTGAATAATAAGGAATTAACTATTTTTGCCTTGAAAATAAAATATATAAACAAAAATATATAAATCTTCGTTAGTAGGAATATAATTATTCTTTATTTCTCCTATGAATCCAAGAAGTTTCCCGACTTCCATGTATAAATAAAAGCCCAATATATCAATCATTACTAAATTTCATTGATCGAAAGAAAGGATAAAAAAAGTATCTTCAAATATAGAGAAAACAAAACAATAATTAACAAAACAAAAAAAAAAAAAAATAAAAAAAAAAAAAAAAAAAAAAAAAAATAAAAGTTTATTACAGAAAAACATATTTGAGTTTATTAAAAGGGACAACTCCAAACTAAGGTCTTGTTTATCATAACAGTTTTTTTTTTTTTTTTTTGCAGCATTTAGTGTTTGATTTAATCAAAACGCTGTCTTTATTATTTATGGTATATAAAATGTTACATCCTCATAGTATTTAGAGTTTGAAGGAACAAATTACTTTTTTTTAGTATAAAACTATTAAAACAACTAACGGTTACATTAAAAAAAATATAATTATTTAAGATTAATTCAACCATATGTCAATATGTAACGTCGTAGGATCAAAATGATTGGTGGTTATAAGTTGCGGGCCAAGGAAGAAGAGTATTAATGAGGCTAGTCACATCAACCACTGATCTTAATGGGTTCGAACAATCCCCAACGGCTTAGTGGCTCAAACAAGTCTATATGAACACACAAGTTCCAAACCCAGTTATATATAGATCATTAGAAGTGAACTGAGACAAAGTCAAAGTCTTTGGTTTCTTGAATTTTCTCAATCTTCTTCCTTTTTTTTTTTTTTTTCTGGGTATTTGGTGTTGACAAGCATGTTCCATTTATTTGCGTTGCTAGAATGCAAGCTGGACAAGGGTCCAGCTTGCCAAGCAAGTGTTGCTATCGACAGCTACAAAGCTCCAGATTACCCAATATCAAACAGCTCACCACACCTCATCTATTTCTCATTCCCAGGGCAGAGGAGTCATTACACTCCCTCTCAAACATTTCCCACAAATTAAGGGTTACATTAATATACATTTTGATCATTGATAATTCAACATTTTGGTTCTTAGAATTATAAAATTATAACAAATTTCATCATTTGTCAGCTATTGAGAATTTGATTAGATTACCCTTTAATCCTTAAAAATTTAAAATCAATCACATCTTGATTCTTCAAATTTTAGAATGCTTTAATCCCTCAAACCTATTAAAATCTTGTTTTTGTCCTTGATAACATTATAGTAATTTCGAAACAATATATATGAACAGAAGTGTATGCTAATACAAACTTCAAGGGTTTTTTTGTAATTAAATCATAAATTAAATTACTAATTTCCTATAGAGTGGATGTGATATGAATATGATGAACAATTATTCTGCAATTATATATCTTCTTCAAGTTTGCAAGACACATGGGAATGAAGAGTTCTTGCCCCCTTCTATATACCTTCTAGGAATGTTCACCTTCTGTTCCTTCCACTCTTGTACAAGAGCCATGCCAGGTCAGTTCTTAAATATGCAAAAATATGTGTATCAGACAAAAAAAAAAAAAAAAAAAAAAAAAATGTTATTTCAGACAAAAAAAAAAAAAAAAAAAACAAAAGGAATTTCACTTGTGTGATCAGAAATAAAAACATGTATTGTGATACTGTGGGACTGGGGTATTTCATTCCTTAGGGAAGAAATTCCAAAACAAAAGATCAAGTACTTCTACATAGAAAGTTCATTTCTTTTTAAGTATCACGTTGGACCGAGGACCATTGTTGCCAGCCACAATGTCAATGGAGTTAAAGAAAAAAAAAAAAAAAAAAAAAAAAAAGAATTTCACTTGTGTGATCAGAAATAAAACATGTATGTGATACTGTGACTGGGTATTTCATATCCTTAGGGAGAAATTCCAAACAAAGATCAAGTTACTCTACATAGAAGTCATTTTCTTTTTAAGTATCACGTTGGACGAGGACCATGTGCCAGCCACAATGTCAATGGAGTAAGAGACAAGTTGGAATTGGATTGTCTATGTCGTTCATGTAAAAGTAAAGCTCAATTCAAACTTTTGGATATTAATAAAATATATGATTTTTTTTTTTCTGGATGCAACTAATTTGTGCTTGTAGTCAGACAAGATTGGGATTATCCTTATCAACATACTTTTTTGTTTATATTTATATTTAGATAGAGATAATCGTAGAGTAAAATTCTTTCGATAATTGCGGTTGTAAATTTTGAATATCCGATTTTATAGGTAAAATTATTTTTTTTCATTTATTTTTTAAAATTTTGAACATTTAATTTTACAAATAAAATTTATCACTTTACAAATAAAATTTTAATTGCAAATGATTGAAGCGAATGCAATAACTATTTTCATCCTTAACTGTTTTATGTATGTTCAACATATGGCTGAATCCAATTTGGATGTGTATTACAAAATCCAAAATAAATTCCCAAATTTTATTGGTCGCTTCCAAAATACAAGTGGATAAGTTTCAAGGGTGGCTGCTGCTGTTTACCGTTTCTTACGCCTGGACAACACACGGATAATGGGTCCTACATTATCATTGCAACTTCTTTGAGGGGATTGAAAACGACATTGTTTGCTGCAGACTGAACGTCTTGTCGTCATTATATATCGTGACTGAACGTCTTGTCGTCATTATATATCGTGACATCTAACTAAAAGTGTGTCCATTGGTTATAAATCATGAAAAGTCTGCTAAACGACACAAAACCATTGAGAAAAAATGTAGTAGGTTAAACTGAGAAAAAGAAGACCTCAGTGGACCTATTATTTAGCAGTCTTGCCAAGTTAAGGTGTTGGAAACCTTCGATTATTTTAATGTTACTCATCGATTTATAAATGAATTACGCTAATTATTTGTGAAAGGAAATATCTTTCTCCGTTCTATCAATTTAAGAAAATTGAATCCATTCCTCGACTCATCTACTGGACGATTCTTCACAGAGGCATCAGGGATCATTGATTCAAAGTCAGTGAATGATGGCTGCAAAATGACTTTCTAATCGTTCAATCAATAGTGATGACTTCTAACAGGATAAATCCATCACTGATCGCTTCAGAGAGAGTGATTTAAAACAGGAAAGATATGATAGTTTCAAGAGATACAACAACACAAAGCAAGAGCTAGATGATATTCTACAAGAAAAAAACACCTTCAACAATAAATATTTTCTACTTAATATTTTATCACCCTTGAGCTTTTCAACCAGGGAAGTAACTCCGTTAGTCCTTCCTGCAAGCTTCTAGGATTATAGTCCACTTTTGCTTTGGCCTTCTCACAAGAATATGCCCATTGGTGTCTTAGAACATGCACTGTCTGCAAAAATGGTGAAAGTATAATGTATTCAAGTATCAAAAGACACAAGTCTGTAATAGTCTAGTTAGCAATCAAACAATTCAATCAAATAATAAGATCGGCATACCGGTGGACTGATAAGTGGAAGCTTTCCCGTAAGTCGACAGAAAAGAACTGATAACCATCCATAAGCCTCAATCAGCCATAAAGGAATGCTAAATCTTGGTTTCTTTGTTTTAGTGATAATGGCAGCTACATTAAAAATATGCGTGAATGATGCATTTTCTCCTGTGAGTAGATACCTTTCACCTGGTTGACCTTTGTTCATTGCTGCTATGTGTCCTTGGACTACATCATCAACATGACTGAAGGAAAATTTATCATTTCCATTGCCTATGTATCCTGGTAAACGCCCTTGAAATCGTTCAATCAGCTGAAATTAGAGTTTATAAGACATCAGAAAAGCAAAGTCTACTATTTGTCAAAGCAAAAAATCATTTTACATTACTTTCGTCAGTAATGTGGATCACAATTACATAGTGTTTGAGTTAAATGAATGAGGATTTTATCTCATTTACAAATACATTTTGTTACTAAAATTTATTTGAAAATGAATTAACATGTCGTTAGCCTAACTAATGAGTATAGAATTCACTAGTGAAGTCAACTAATTTTAGAGTTCGTTTGAAAAGTTCAACGAGATCTGCTTCAAGCATAACAAATTCCATGCTATCTTTGTGGCATACTGAAATAAATGCTAAAAGGGTAATCCCACATTGCATGATAATTGTGTCTAACTGAATGAAAAGTTATCACAGAATGTATCATATAACCTACAAATTAAATGAAAACCAGTTCCTGACCTAAGAATAGGCACTAGCACTAACTTCAACTGAACTGAACTGAATTGTATTCAAGAAAAGAATTACGTATCACTTTCGTCTGTTCGATCAGAATTCATTGTATCTTAAGAACTATGTTGATTATTAGTAAACATCACTACTTCAAAGTCAAACGAATAAGCAACCAATCTTACCAATTGAGCCACAATATTACCCGTAGTAAGCTTGCCAGGACCATAAATGACACCGGGATAAACCACCACTATCGGTACACCATTGGCAGCAGCTTGTAATGCAATTTTATCAGCGATCGCCTTGGATTTCTCGTACTCCGTACAAAAAACCCTCTCTGAGTGCACCTGTAAAATACAAAAGATTACAATGGCCAAATTCAGAATTTGAGGGAAAATGAAGCTGAAACCGATTATGCTGGTTGCTAATACTTGGTTCTCATCGGCAATATATCCATCGGTTGGTCCAAGGGCGAAAAACGACGACGTGTAGATAATTTTCTCGATTGTCTTTGTTTCTCTAGCCGCCTCTAACACGTTCTTCAACCCCCCTACGTTGACCTAACAAAATTAGATATTTTTGTCTTTCAGTTTATCGATTTTGTGCTTTTGAAATATATTGAAATGAAAGCGAACTTGGACATACGGAGAAGAATTTAGAAGGATCCGGTAGCCAGGGCTCGACTAGAGCGGCAGCGTGGAAGATGACGTGACAGTCAGAGAAGGCATCCAGGAGGGACCGATAGTCGGTGACATCACCGTAGGCGAGCTCGAAGTCCCCGCCAGTGGATGGAGAAGGGAGGGCGGAGACATCGCTGGTGCGACGGACCAAGGCGCGGACAGAGTAACCTTGTTGAAGCAGGCCGTTGCAGAGTCTCCCACCTAAGTAACCCGAAGCACCAGTCACCAGCACTCTCATACTCGCAACAACTTGCACTATGGTAGTATGGCTTGCTTGGAAGTATAAATATAAACTAGAGGGTTACACACTTATCGTTGGCCCTAACATCTAACATCTCCGGTAGAATTTTTGCTTAAAATGGATTAACCTCATTCTTTTAGATTGAAACAATTTTTTTTTAAAAAAAGACAGATTTGATTGAAGCTTTGCCGCTAAAGTAAACTGTACATTTAGTTAGAAGAAGAAAGGTCAGCATTTCAAGTAATGGCAACGATTTCATTATTGCCTACAGAAGACCAATACCAGTTATTACAGTTACCACATCTCAAGTTCCTTTTCGCTAGCAGGTTTATTTCTTGGGAATTTCATGTTAGGTTTGATATAAAGCATTTCCTCTTTGAGATACTCTAAGCCAAGTCCTTCAAGCAGGTTCAAATCCCGCGTATTCACATGATTATTAGCCTTCATAGGGAAATCGCAGTGAGAGATTACAGTCTTGAACGGAGTATGCATTTGATGGGATTAAATGGAGCATGCCTTCGGGTAGAACTATATGGCTGTCTACTTAATGATGCTGATGACTTAATATCCCAATCTTCAACGGTCTTTGGAACACATACGTCGAAAAGTACTTGACCAAGAACACCATGAGCGTTAATACGCGGAGGGTTATGCAAATGAATCAAATCTTCCTTGTGTTCATCTTGCAAGGAACCCATATCTCTACCCTCATAATAGCCCACTGAGCTTGGCATGAAGAAATTGTCACTTGGTTGGATAGTAACTCCACAAAAGCTCTGGTTTGGACTTTCTACTGCTTTCCTCAGATCGCCAATTGGTTCCGAGATCTCATCATGCGTCCCCTCTACACCCAATCTTTCTCCTTCAAGTCGTCGAATTCTTTGTGAGTAAACTGCAGCTGCCTTACCGAGGAGTTCAGTCACAGCAGCCTTGTAGTCAAATGGATAAAGTCGAAAATGACCTACAACAGTGATGAATCACGTGGAGAAAAATTGGACATGTCAATATGAAGATATCCAAGAATATCAGAAACATATCAAGTCCACAAGACAATTCCCTCAAAACTTCTTGAAAATGGCAGTTAAAATTCAATAAATCAAGTTTTAAGATAAATAAAAGATAGAACGCATGCAGCAAGATATCTCAATTAAATGTTCAATGATTTCCAATATGAAACAGAAGCCTATCCATAACAACTTTGATTCTAACATACCAAGTCTGCTATTGATTCTAGTATTTCACCACTTCTACCATAACAGAGAAAAAAAAAAAAAGCATGCTGGTGTCAGAACCTGACGTATCAAAGTACAAATTATTGAAAGAAAAAGGATTATCTCAAACAATGAGTACTTGATAGCAGAAAGCATGAACCAGAAAACCCATAGTTTCTGCAGGGACATTAAAAAGATGCAGTAAGGATTACCAAATAATTGCAAACATTTAGACAGACCTACATGAGGAGAGCCACTCATTGTCACAAGTTTTACATCAGCCCCAAGTTCTTGCAGTCTTTGACTGAAATTGCAAATAACTTGATATGAAGCAAGATCGTCACTTTCTGAACAGACAATGAGATATGGAGCCCCCATACTCTGCAATAGAATGATAATATATTCAAGTGTGGGAAAAGGTATAAAAAAATTGCATAACAATAAGCTACGAAATACTCACAACAGATGAGTATAGTGTCTGCCAATACTCAGCACGTTGTGATTCAAATTTGTTGAGGAAGAGAGCATCAAGACAATCAGAAATGCTGTTTACCATCCATGATAGGACTTTTGGTGGACGAGACATTTTAAGAACAGATGGGTGAACAATAAACTCTCTCCCCAGAACACTTGTAAAATCCACAGGACTAGAATCATAGATATGGCCCGAAATACAGTCCCTAACCAGTCGGCGATCATCCTTTATATAGAAGAAATTTTTTAAAAAAAGGTATCTCAGTGCACAAATCAGAAAACACTAGCAAAAAAAAAAAAAAAATGCATATTAAAGCTATTATCTCGACATAAATTTTTCCGAGAAGGCATGATAAAATTTCAAGTAGGGAGCCAAGAAAGGAGGAAAAACTCCAGCTGCATAGTTGCAAAGGGCAAACATACCAAATTCAGTTGTAATTTACACTTCCCCTCAATGATCTGCAATGGAAAAGTAAAACATATTCAATATCCATATTAAATTCCACCAATAAATTTTAAGCACTCACAGTTTACCTGAAGAACCTTGTACATACAGGCTTTTGGACCTCCAGAAAAAGACATGAAGACCAGAGGGCAAGGCCTCGTCTTTAGTTCCTGAAATCCAAATAAATGAAGCAATGAAATCATTTAGATAATTAAGCTCCAAGCTTAAACATGTTCCATGTAGAAGGAGTACAAAAATTCAGCAAAGTAGGCCATATAAAATCCACAGCGAAATGCTTTGCAAGGTTAAAGGTAATGGAACATAGAGTGGATTTCGTCTAGACCTACTGAATAAGCATTTATCAAACATATTAATTGACTGAATCTCGTGTGTCTGTGCAAGTAGAGGGAGCACAGCTATTCAGCTTAAGAAGTGAGGAGATGCTTTGTCAAGGTAAAGTGGTAACTGAGCACAGAGCGAAATTCCACCAAATGATATTCACATAAACATTCATACATACACAGAGATAGAAGCAAACAGAACTAACCTCAACAATTCTGTTGAGAATATCAAATGCTAAAGCTTCAGCTTTGTCTGGGAAAAACCTGTGAAGATAATTGACATTATGCTCCAATTTCAAAATTAATTTTGTGGAGGCGAGATATATGAAAGAAAGAAACTGTATATAACTTCCCATTATCCCTAGACTAACATTTCAAAGCAGTAGACTACTTGATGTTATTTATTTAGAAAAATAAAATAAGTCAATCCCATCAAGAAAAAGTCAATAGCATAGATCCTAGTTTTCAAAATATTAGCTTTGGTGTATGAAACTCAAACCAAATACTATGTTTAGAGGAAACGCAAATCTTTATTCATTTCCAGCATGAAAAAACAAACAGGCAGTTTAGTTGTTTATTTTCAAACATCAGATCTTAATATAGCGCTTTTAACATAAAGTACTGCCAATTGAAGGAACATCAAAAATAGATAGAAAAAGGAGAAGTTTACTATTACACCATCAAATCAAATATCTAGCTAAGCTAATATAGCAATTTGACGCACAGAACTTCAATTTAGCATGAATCAAATAATTACTAAAGTACAAAAAATTCTACCAGTTTCACACCCAACCCCCAAATCCTGAGAACTAAGTCAAAGCAAACCAAACCCAGAACCAATATATAACATAACCTTACGCATAATCCGAGTCAACCAAACCCGGAATACGTATCATCAGATATGCAGAAGGACCAACCAATTTCAAGAAAAATAAGGAAACAAAACAATCAGAGCAAAACCGGAACTAACATATTGAGGAATTGAGAGTGACAAACAAGTGAATTCCATCCCAGAGACGAGTAGAGCTCTACATAGTTCTTCAAGTGCCTCTCTTCGCTCGACATCCAAGCAAACAGCACTGCTATTCCTTCTCTTTTCCTTTCTTTTCTCCCCCAATAGTACCTTCCCCCATATCCCCACATTTCCTCTTCTCGATTTTCTTCTCAATCAGCAGATACAACTTCCAAGTCTCTGAAACGCGAGTCGACGAACTCACCAATATCTTAAAAAAATATATAATTCTAGAGAATCGGAACCATCCACAGAGCAAAATTCAAGACGCAATAATACGGCTCTAGTTTCTGTCTCTCCACTGGTTTTTTTTTTTTTTTTTTGCCAATGTCTGCAGCGTTTTATTTATAATGGAAACTTTGGGGCCTCAGATTCTCTGGCAAAAATATCATTCCTTTCTGTGTACTTGCCATCCGGCAAATCAAAATGGATATTTTTTTTTTTTTTTTTGCCAAATGTCTGCAGCGTTTTTTATTTTTATAATGGAAAACTTTGGGGCCTCAGATTCTCTGCAAAATATCTATTCCCTGTTCTGTGTACTTGCCATCCGGCAAATCAAAATGGATATATAATCCACGTGTAACTTTACTGCTGTCTTGGTTTTTGATAAATCATATGCAGTAAGCTACAGTTAGAAAGTGTGGGTGTGAGTTTCTGATTCGTTGGAAAATCTGTTCGGTTGCTAAAAACGGACACCCTTTAGCAATCAAAAGTGTAGACGTCACGTCAATGTGTAGCGACCAGGCGTCGGATAATTCTTGAATGGGAGTTTCCGTTTTTTGATTTTTCCTTGGTATTTCCATTTGAACATGAAAAAAAAAAAAAGTTTAGCATTAACCTTTTATTTATACGTTACAAAATTTAGTTTAATTGTATTTAAATTATATAAAATTTTTATTAAAACTCATATATTTCAAAAAATTATTATTTTATCTCTACATTTTGCTATATTCTCATCATAATCACAGTGTCTTTTTATACGATGCCTGATATTAATTTAAGAGATGAAGACTTTCTATTATTTTAGTATTTACTTTTAATTTGACTGAGAAAAGTTTTATATTAAAAAAATTAAAATTCATGCATCTCTCCAATCTAATTCTTATTACTTTTATGAGTTTTAAACATTTCTCATTTAAAATTACCTCGCTTTGCATTTAAAATTACATTTCTTTATTACTTTTATGTGGTCTAAACACTTCTCAATTTTAAATTGTCTGTTAGTTGCATTTTTAAATAATGGTCACAAAACAAAACATGCATCTCTCATTTTAAATTCTCTCTAACGTTCACTTCTAAACATATATTTTTTTTTTAATTTATGAGTTATAAAACTTTGATCTTTCTTTCGTCTCTCTATCTTCAATTTGTCTTTTATATTATCACTTTACTGTGAAATAAAATGAAAATTTTTTGCAAGTAGATGATAAAATTTGTTTGTGTCAATCCATCAACCATCGATATCGGTCTCATATACCTTTGAAACAATGAGATAAGATGGTGAATAATATTGTTTCTTTTCTTTCTTTATAATATGGTAATATATTATATTCTTCAATTTATTACTCAAAATTGATATACATTCTTATTCATTTTTTTTTTCTTCCTGTATTTGCTATTTCAATTAGCCACACATACTTACTATAATAGTATTTCCTTTCAAGTTTATTACATGAATAATTTACTCATATTTAGAATAAAAAATTTAAATTATATATAATATATTTAAATCATATTATCTATGCATGGTATGTATTTTAATTTGTTAGCAATTTTACTCATAATCATATCTTATACTTTAAATAAAAAAATAAATACTATATAGTCGCGCAAAGTGCAAGAGATCGCCTAGCATATAATATTACTCAAAATTTTTAGAAATACATAGTTTTATTCATATATTTTGCATCCGCTACAATATTATATCATTTTGTCAATTTTTTTATACTTTTATTGTTAAAAATAGAGATAAATTATTAAAATACATGGAAAAAAATTAATTTCTACCTTAGTCTTAAGGTGTACATTTAAAAAAGTCACACGTATAAGAATTGGATTCAAGACTTGCATAGAATATTTTTTAAAAACAAAATAAGTGAGGCGCACAATTGCCTTGGCTCAAGTATATGTAGCTTCGTCCTTGTGATTAACTAATTAGCTTTATGTTAAATTGAATCCACAACGTACTGAATCCTATTAATTATACACTTTGTTTGATAATATTCTTGACTATTCTAAAGTAAAAATATAGTTTTAAAAGAAAGTGGTTGTTAAGAAAATTATAAAAATGTTAATAATCAAATATAAATTTTTAATTTAAGATGAAAAATTAAAAATATTCATACATCTTTACCATGAAATTACCTCATAAAATAAACATCATTTTAGTAACTATATGTGGTGGGGTTTAGGTATTTAAGTATGTCGTTTTGTTTTTTGTTGATCTAAAATTTGTCGTTATAATGAGAATGGGCTAAGATCCAGAAGAGGGACGACGAGAGGTGGGGTTGAAGTAATGGGATGGGCGTGTGGTGGTGGTTACCTCATAATTGACGCAACGGCAGACATATCTTAATTAATTTTAATGTGACCCAGTCGGAAATATGGTGTTTGAGTTTGACAATTGCTAATATTAGGTTCCATGGTCCCATGTTCTCACGAACCAAGTCCTTCCTTATAAGACATTTTTATCCAAGAAAAGAGGGAAAAAGAAAAGAAACCGATGCTTATTTAATGTCTATTATTGTCAATCGTGTGGTTAAAATAATTAAATTCATAAAAAATAGTGATTTAAATGCCCCATGAATCCAAGAAAAGAGGAAAAAAAAAAATGCCAATGCTTATTTAATGTCTATCATTATCAATCGGGTAGTTAAAAAAATTAAGCCTATTAAAAATAATTTAAATGGTAAGATATATTTAAATTTACAAATATATTTGTATAAAAGTAGAATATATGATTTTTTTTTTATTATATGAGAAAATTGCAAAAACATTTTTGAACATAAATTAATTTACATTGTATTTTGCATGATGTTAAAATTTAACAAAATTATATTATTTTCTCAAAAAAAGAATTATATTACTGAAATTTCTTTGATAGTGCAATTAATATTTAGACTTTATATATTTTTTTGTTCATATTAAAATAAAATTATCATCTTATTATTGAATATTATTTTTTATTTTAATACTTTTATTTTATTAAAAATATGTTTTTAACATTTTAATTTATAGATAATAATTATTTTTAACATTTAAATTTATTAAAGACGTGCTAATATGAAAATATAAACGTGCAATGTATTTACTAAAAAGAACAGTAGATTGAGAAGAGATACATTTCGTTCCGTTCCCTTGACTTGAGATTTGCTGAAATCAATATATTTTGGGCTGATGAGTATAAACGTTGCCGTTTAATGGATCAAATTCAAAATCCCTTAATTGTGTAATAAAATAACAAATATTAGTCGTTCCACAAGACGACAATTCCTATACGACAGTCCAAGGCCTGAAAAGTGAAAACCAACAGAACGACTTTCGTTTATGCAACAAAAATGCGGCGAACATCTTCTCATTACTGTGATTTAAAAACGAGACTTACTTTACTGCTTCTTTTTAAAATTAGCTGATTCGGTTCATGTTGAAAACGATAACTAATTCTTCGTCGGTTGCTCGTCTCTGTTACGCAATATCTCCATCGGATTGCAAAAATCTTAATCTACAGTACGTCAGAATTCTCTCATTCTGCATCTGTTTCTCAAATCTCCTAATTAATTTTGTGAAATTTCAGATTATGAAACTTTCGATTGTTTCAATTACTTAGGGTTTGATTTGTGCATTTTTGTATTTTGCTGCTTTCTATACTTTGATTACTTATAGAAGACCTGTCTATTCTATCTCTTAATTTGCTTTAATTGATAAAATATGCTTTGACATGGTATAGTTAGCATTAACATGTTCATCATAATCTCTTAAAAAAATGTTGATCATCTGTTAGTTTTGCTTCGCATTTGGCAATTATGGCTTTACCTGCTGATTCATTCATGGATCCCCAATATATTCTGCTTGCCCCTTTCAAATATTTAGTCTAGTGCTCTCTTGAAGTTTTCCATTTATTAGGTCATTTTCCCCATTAGCAATAGATCTGCTTTTCCATTTGCAACAACAACAAAAATTATTGATTTTATCCCGAAAAAGTAAACAAGCAGCATTAATATGTATTGCGTTCAATTGGTACATTTCTAGATGTTGAAGTTATCTGATGGTATATGTGGAAAAGATAGAATGTGCGTTACTGGGATAAAGATCAAAGAAGCTGCTGTACAAGGATTTTGTTTTTATACCTATTTCAATGTTTGTGTTAAATGATTCTCAGTTTGGAATAATGGTGCAGTGGTACATGTTTGTGATGAATTGTGGTTTTTACTCAAAACTGTTTGAGCAACTTCTGATTTGAAGTTTCATTTTTTTGTTCTCCGATGACATGTTCAGTTTTATAGCTTGAGATAGTGCTTTCTTTCTAAGAATCTGAAAGACTGAAATGATGAATGACAAGTACATTTGTCTGTCAAATAGTATTTTTCCCATTTACTAACCCGATAAACCAATAATCCCTAGCGTATTCTGACCTTGTAGATTTCTTTATTAATGGACTTAAACTTGCAAAACTCCATTCGTTTCATTCGTAATTTGATTTAATTTCATTCAATATTTTATCTTTTTTCAGATGGATCCGGAGGTTACAAAAACAGCCAGAGAATCCCTAGATTTGGCATTTCACATGTCGAACATTCTTGACACAGGAATTGACCGACACACACTCTCTGTGCTTATTGCCTTGTGTGACTTGGGTCTAAATCCAGAGGCACTAGCAGCTGTCGTGAAAGAACTGCAAAGGGAAAGGTTATTTTCTACAGCAGCTCCTAATGTTTCATCATCCACTCCATGAAGTGTGCTTATTGCCTTGTGTGATTTGGGTCACGCAGTAGCAGCTGCGGTGAAAGAACTGCAAAGAGAAAGGTTATTTTCTCCACCAACTCCTAATGTCTTCATCATCCATTCCATAAAGAAGTTTCAAGTGTGAATGAAAATAATAAGCTTTTAATGTTTGTCATTTTGAAAATTATATAAGATTTTTGTCCATTTTAATGCCATGGAATTTCCTGGAGTTTGGACGTTGTAGTGTAGGATCGAATATATTTTAATATATTGAATTGAAATGCGTGTGGGAGTTTCTATCCTATCTCATTAGTTGATTGTAACACAAGCATGGCTTGAAATCTCATTTTGGTTCTCTGTAGTTGTACCTTATACTCGGACAGTTTATATATTCCTATCAGTCACTCAATTTCTGATTATAATTTTGATCTTCTCTGTATTATATAAGTAGTTACATTGTCCATTTAAGTTACCATTTGAACTTAGGTTCATATCTAATACTAATGAATGTATTAAAACTGCTCTTCTTCTTTAAGTATCTTTCTGCAGACTGAGTTTTCAAATAATAATGATAAATAAAAAAGAAACATTTAGTAAATTAAACATTTTTTATATTTACAACAACGAACTTAAATTCAGGAAAATAACTAAGGGGGGAATATAATTAAGGTGTGCTATGTATAAAATGTCTTTTCCCTAACTGATGATTCAATTGAAATGCTCATCAATCCAATATAGAAATATTTTCCGTTGCTAAATTGCTCTAAATGAAAATTGATTCGATGTTCAACTGTAGTGTTGATGCACATTAACCATATATAATGTGTGGTTTACCTAAAATCAACCAAATGTTTTGAGTTTCAATATAGTTGCTATAATAAAATTATTTCCCCCAACTCAATCACACAAATTGCTTACTAAAGTAATCTGGATTTTTGTTTATATCATTTTTATCCATTTCTATGTATAAAAAGCAAAATATTAATCACACAATCAGAATCAGAATATTTATTAAAATAGTATAAAGTAACAGTTTAGACATGTGTCCTTTAAGGCTTTAACCCCATAAATATGCCAAGCATTCTTCATTTAATGCACTTTGCGTAACCAAACACCCTTCGGCGCATGTTAGAAGAACCCAATTAAACAGCATGTTATAGTAATCAAATCGTTAAACCATACTATAAACCAACAGTGCACAAAATCGTTAAACCATACTATAAACCAGCAGGGATTAGTTTATAATTATAATGAGTCGGATCGTTCACCTAATTCCCTCCATCCCCCACTTACAAGGAAAAAGCGCACGATAGCACGGACCGAGTCTTAACAAAGTGTAATTGATTAATTATTATTAGTGCAATTTAATTTCAAATATATATCATTATCGCAATTTAGCAATAGAAAATGCGATAGTGATGCTAATAACAAAAAAAAACAAAAATAAAAGTACGAAAGTTCACTTTACTCTGTTTTGTTTCACGCGATTAAGAATCCGTAAGAACTTGCCATTACGGACACAGGCGTAAATTTATTCCCTAATCTCCATCGTGTTGGATGCAAAAGTGAAGAAGGCAACCAGCCTATCGGAGAGCTAAGTTTCTATTTTTGGGATCTATGTTTTTGATCTGGTAAAAGAAAGCAAATTTTCATTTGTTTGTTTATTTTTTGATTGAATTTAGAGAACGTAGAAGGAAAAAAGAGAAGGAGAGAGAGAGAGAGAGAGAGTGGGATATGGTGGGATGAGGTGGAGATGGCGAGAGGCGTGAAATGGGGATGCTCGTATAAGAGAACGACTCTTATAGTTTGCTTCATCAATATTGTTGTTGCTCTTTATGTTCTTCGCTCTCTCTACGGTTCACTGTATATTTACTCCAATAATGATTTAGATAATGGTAATACCTCATTATTGTTTCTTAATCCAATTTCTCTGCTCTTAAGGTTTCCTTGTTCTGCGGTTGTCGAATTTGATTTTGAGAAATTTTTGTTGCAGTTGTAAAGTATACGCCGGATCAGATTAGTAAGATGGAGGAATCAATTCGGATTCGAAGAGCGAATGAACCTGTGCAGCTTGTTAAAGTGGTAGAAATTTTTTGTTTTATTTCGTGTTTGAGCTATTGTGTTCTTTTTAATTCGATAATGGTTGATGGGGAGGATGGGGCCTTTTGTTGACAGGTGAAGGAACTCAAGAACGAGCTTAAGAAATATGAGAAGATGGTTGAATTACCCTTGGAAATCAAAGAGAGGATAACAGAGGAGATTTTGCTGCGGTTGAGAAGCTTGAACGCAAATGCCAATATTACTGAGCAGCGAGGTTGGTTCACTTTCAGTTCATCGTTTTTTTATTGATATTGTACTGCCATTGTGTTAACTGAATTTACGTTGCAAAGCTTTTTATTAGACTACGACATTTAAGTAATTGTTATAACTGGAGGGAGTTGGAAATTCCTGTGGAGTTTTACTCGGCCAGTGGTTTCCTTGTTGATTGTAACTCTTGCATAACAAATGCTTGTTAGGTAGTCTTAAGGTGGCTTTATAAAGGCCGAGTTTTGGTTGAATTAGTAAAACTTTTGGCAGTGGCAAAATGTAATAGACAAAAGTTTGTAGGAAGGCTACATTATTCTTCATTATCTTTTTCCGTTTCATGAAGGTTAATATCCACAGTTACATTAGCCAATGCCTCATTTGTCTTTGATAATCACAAGTGCCACCCAGGAAATTGTAGTCATACAATTGCTGTGCACATTGAACTGGACACTATGGTAATCAGCGCTATATATCAATTTCTTGGAGTAGATGCAGAGATCATATTTTTTGTACATTATTCAGCATTTGATTACCATCATATTAGTAAAGTGCTGTGGAAGCTTAGAAAACCTCTATTCTGCTTCATTTGGGAATGTGAAAAAATAAAACAAATAAAATAAAATACTTTCTGTAAGAGCAGCTATCCTTAAATATACATATTCAATTAGCTTTATTACTTATCTATTATTGGTCAGAAAACAATGATTTGACTACATAGGAGTAGGTGTTGGTTGTTTTAAGCAGTCTTTCTTTATCCCCTAACCCTTCTCACTTGTGTTCTTCGGTTGCTTTCTACTTCAAAATTTCATCTATTTTAGAAATGTAGAACTCAAGAGGTGTGGAGCATAGAAGTCAATAGAACTAAGCTCGATAATGCTTTAGTTGCAAAGTATAAGCATTTCAGCTTCACCATTCTAATGTCAACAAAAATGACTGCCAGCGAGTAATTGTCATTGCTTGTTGAGCTCTTCAGCTAAATTCTTTGCAATTAAATTTTTGGTCTGGTGTTTGACTTAATACATTCTTATGTATAAATAGATATCAGTAGCTGAATTCACATTAAATTAGATATCAGTCATTTCGTATTAGCTTGGTTGGGAATGACCGCTTTACAGAGGGTTGCTACTTCATTCCACCAATACTGACATGTTCTTTGTACCTTTTCCACCATTATATCTACCTCCACTTCTGGTATGCCAACCATGCTACTGATTTCTGTGACAACTCATTTTTTGTACCTCAGCCACAGCCATATTTGCCTGCTTCTGCCCTCTTTATTTGTCTTTATCTCTTTTATTATACACACTTCAATTTCATCTGCATCAATGCTAACTGGATAACAACCTCAACCATTTTCCAGCTAAATTTGTCCATAATTACTGCCGTCCTTTCTGCTGCATTAATGCTACGGCATTGTTTCATCGTTGGTCTCCATTTAGGCGTCTACTTTACTAGTTTACTACAACATATCATCCTACATTGACCATGGTTTGCAACTTGCTTGGTTTCTCATTGTTCTCCTTGTTCACTTCAGCCTCAAGCCACTCGTGATTTAGCAAAATTATTATAGTGTGATAATGGAGAAATCCATTCTCGATCTCTTCAGAAGAAGCAGTAGCCATATACTGAATATTTAACCTGGAAAAAAAAATTCTTGTTCATGGAATTTGTGAACCCATATTATAAATAAAAAAAAAAAAAAAGAAAGAAAAGCACAAGTGGACTTCTGTTCAACTTAATTAACCCTTAATTCTTATCTAATTGGGTATGCACATGCTCATGCACATGATAATTGATATATTATGATTTTTGTGTTCATTCGGTGGGCTTATGGAAAAACACCTAGAGTCTTTGATTCAAAAACTAAGCCATGGGCTATCTATATGTTTGCTTTAGGGTCATCACATGCCTTGTAAATCATTTGGAGACTCATATTAATTGCTTTGTTAAACAGTTTAAGGCTAGCTATTCTGAAATTTTAATGTCACAATTTCTCTTTGTTAGGCGTGATAAAATTTGGGGATAGAACCATTATAATGGAATCAGTTTGTTGATTTTCCTTTACATATCTTGTTAATTATCTTCTTGGCATTCTTGTGTTGATATACAGAAGCAGTAGAAAGATGGCGCAGAGAAAAACTGCATGAAGTTGAACAGTTGACTAATGGAACATGGGGACTGAATTCAACTATTCTGCAAGAGGAAGCTGGTATGTAGTTTACTTTTGAAGCCCGCGGTTTGATACTAGAGTTTATTTTGTAAATAAAAGTCTTAAGGATCTATCATGTATGATCCTTGTGGTGAGTTTTGAATACTTGTTGGGTGGAACCTGTTCCTCATTATTGTGATCAACGATTTTGTAGGGCCGCTGGTGAGAGCCTTGGAGTCTGATTGGGCAATGCTGTTGGAGAACATTGGCCTTTGGATACCTGCTGAGATTGTTAACCAGGAACACGATGATAAACCTGAGGGCGAGGAAGATCCTGGTAATTAAATCAATCTCATTTAGTTTTTGTTGGTACACTGTCTTATTCCATTTAGTCTGCCTGAGTCTTTTCTGCCAAGGAGTAGGAGCTGGTTTATAGGAGCCTGCACAATTGCACTATGACTTGCTCTGCATGTGACCATCTCCTCATTACCCCTTTTCATTTATCTGGAACGTAAAAAATCATCTATTATTAATTTATGTCCTTTTCCTGTGCAGATGAAGATATTTTGCCTGGCAGGCCACTCCCACCAGAATGCCGTGCTGAGCTTCATACAGACTATGATGGTGCTGCTGTCAGATGGGGCCTTACCCACCATAAAGAAAGTGCAGCCGACTGCTGTCAAGCTTGCTTAGATCAGGCAAAACGTGCAAAGCCAGGTGAAAAGAAATGCAACATATGGGTCTATTGCCCATCTGAGACAGGATGCTATTCACCAGATATATATGTGCATAAGAACCAGGAATGCTGGCTGAAATATGTAAGGCGTGACTCTCTCTCTCTCTCTCTCTCTCTCTCTCTCTCTCTCTCTCTCTCTTACATAGTAACATAATTTAAATCTAATATTTATAGCAAACTAAGATTGATATTTTAATCTGCCAAAATGCAGGCCGAAAAGCCTAGACTGAATTTTAAGGACAGGTATTCTGAATCATATAGAAACTCCCACCCAAATGCACCACTGATTGTTCCCTGGGTCTCTGGTGTTGTTAGTGCATGATTGGATTTTAACACTGAAATGGTGATCAATGTTAAAGCAACTCGAGCTGCAAGCTCTATGTTCTCAGAATTTTGCAAAGATATGATTTTGGTTCTGCTTACTTCTGTATCTGGCGAATTTTGACTTTCAAAACATCTTTTCATTTCCCTTTTCACTTTGGATTTTGAGAAAAGAGAATAGTAGAGGAGTTGGATTCCTCGTCCATTTATCAGAAGCATTCTTGTAACATGTGATATGGCAGTCTTGCTCCTGGTGATCCTGAAAGTAGGGAAATCGGGTGCTTACCTCTTTTACAATTAACACGAAGGAAGGAAGATTCAGAATGGATTAGCCTAAAAAGATTGGTTGGTGTTAGGAGCTAGGTGGGGTGGGCAAATTGATTATTTTTTTTAATGAGTTACAGATATTTGTAAGCAATTAAGAACTGCCTATTGCAAATTCGTTCTCTCTAAAATTGAAATGATGACTTTTGCTTGGACCATGTTGGATGGTGAGTCGGTGTGCTTGTTTGTAGATTAATCATGAAAGGGGAGAATAGAAAAGAGCTTCTATTTCGGTTGAAAGACAAAACCAGACCAATAAATCTAGCTGAAATGTGTATATGTGTGTGTGGCTTTATATAAATATGCTATATTTAGGAACTATTTGCAATATAAAAATTTATACAATATTGATAATAAATTGATTAATTTAATTTGAAAGCATGAAATCATTCTTCTGTTTCTAACGGTTCATTTTGTTCTGATTTTGATTCGAAACTAAAATTTTCAAACCACTTTTAATTTAATTTTGATCCAAACTGGACTGATAATCAGTCCTATTCATAGCGTCTTGAACTTTTATGGTGCGCAAATTCCTATGTATTTGATGTAATTCAACATTCTTAAAATTACCAAATTTAACTGTGAAATCTTTGAATTATAATTCCGTTTATATTTCAATTCTTTTGTTCAATATAATTTCTTTTGACCGTCAATTGAATTAGAAAAAAATGAAATTGACCTTAAATAAAAAAGATTTTAAGGTGATAAATATAAATTGATCCCTAAATTTCAGTAACTAGCACATGAGGGACTTCTATTTTTTAAAAATTAACTATAACATTTTTAACTCGTGGTTCTGTCAACACTTTGGTTATTCTTTAAACCTATTGTAATTCAAGAATCATTTTGTATTTTTTCTTTATATTAACTGTTAACTGTTATATAATATTTCTCACGTTTGATAAAATAATTTGTTTTAAAATACTTGTCACATTTATTGTTTTAAGGAGTAATAATTTTTTTTTCATATTTATCATTTGTATGAACTAATAATTATTTCTTCAATTTAATAATTTTTAAAAAATTAGAATTAAATTAAGGGTAATATAGTTGATTTACTCAATAATTTATTTTAACTTAAACAAATTTAATGATTTTGTTCCAAATGCGACAAGTATTAATAACAAGATTTTTTTTTTTTTTTTTTAAAGAGGAAAACCCGAGAAATGCTAGTATGCCATGAACAATATAGTAAAAGGAGACCTCGCTGAGACCCTCTTCTCTCTACTTTCGTTTCTCTTTTCGGTGCTATCTCCCTACCCTACATTAATTCCTTTCATCGCGATTCCTCTCTCCTTATTAGGATCTTTGATACATAGTTAACATAATGTTTAAATAATTCTTTTTATAATTCCTCATTTATTCGTGATGGTACGCCGAATAGACTGAGTACGAATTGATATTTTAATCTGCCAATAATGCAGGCCGGAAAAGCACTCCACGGAGAAATATTCCACCCTGAACATTTTTCTTACATAGCGGCCACAATCTTGGGTATATATTATAGTCTCCTGAACCTATTTTCAGTATTCACGTGGAGTTGACTCTCGGAACCCAAAATATGCACCCAATTTATTAACATCGAGACCGATGATTGTTGTCACTTGTTTGATCCATACTGAATGAATATAGTGTTTTTTATGTGTTTTCTCAACAATTGATTTGGTGTCAGGGATTATATAAACAACTTGGAAGATGAGTGATACTTCACAACTTGTGTTGTTTAATGAGACAACTTTTGAGGCCTCGTTGCCCACAAATATTTGCCTCAAAATTGTCTCCATGTATATTCTTGCTTTTAGAAAAGATTTTATGATAGTATCGTGTTCTGCCTTATTCTAATACCTTGAAATTACCTGTATAATTTGTGAGAAAACGGGATGTGGCCATCATAAGACCATATCAGTGTAGCTAGTAAAGTTGATATATAGCGCGCATTCAAATAACCAACAGGTTCCTCTTTACATCACATTATAATATCACATATAGTCGAAAGATAGATATCTGTGTGTGTTTTAATTAATGACACAGCATTATACCTTATTATCATTAAAATAAATCCAATCCTTTACTGATTGATCTATATACTTATTTTTGAGAAGGAAATGAAAACATTTAAAATGATTTTTTCATCGAAATAGGTTAGAAGTGACGAGTATTTTGCATCTAGATTCCCTTCTTGGATCATGTATTATCCCAAAGAAAGCATTCTAATTAGCAGCAAGAAAGTTGTCTATGCGTATGATGAAACGGTGGTTATCTCGGACATATCGGTCGATCTTGTATAACCTGCCGAATGTAGATCCTGTAAGAAGGATTTAAGTGGGAGAATATACTCAGAAAAGGGGTGTGTCATTACCTGCCGTTATTGATACAAAATCATAATGACCAGCGAAGTGAGAGTAATATACGAATGTTTCCAGTACTTAGTAATTGAACCTCTAACACAAAGTATAGGATAATGGCGATATTGGATATGTTAGGAGTAACCCGAGATTGTCTAGAGTTAGCGCATACAAGTTGATAATTATTTATTTTATACAACCTCCAGTATTATCAGATATTGTTGTTAAGTAAGACTTATTAGAAGAGAGAACTGAGCCTATCTAGTTGTCACTCTCTCGTTCTCTCTTAAAATTGAGGTAAATGTTGTGATGAAACCTTTTTCGATTTAGGTTTGAGCAATGATTGTCGAAATGTGTCAGTCGCTTGATGAGTAAGCTGTTTGTTAGTCTGGTGTGATGAGTTAGATATAATTTAAAGGGATCCATGAGTATAAGTTCCAGAGTATATTTTGATATTGGAGAGAAATATTCAAGGTTATATTAGAAGATGTGAAGACCTGTATCATTTCCTTTATCTTGCACACTCGAAGAGCGGTGAGAAAGTTTTGCTATTTTATTAAGATGTATCATCGGAAATATCAACCGAGCATGGATGACTGCCAATAAATAAATGTTGAGCGTGGAATCTTAGGCTCGAAGAGTGTATTGGATACTGTTCCGAGCGTTTGGGACTTTGATTCATATAAATATGCTTATATTGTCTAGATACTAATATTAGTGAGTACTAGTGTTGCAATATAAAAATTTATAATTATATACACAAATTATCTATATGATATAGATTGAAATTGGAATCTATAAATTATTTGTATTACGGCTCTCATGGAAATCATTCTTTTCTGTTTTCTAACGGGTTTCATTTTGTTTCTGATTTGATTTTTCGAAACTAAAATTTTTTCAAACCACTTTTAATTTAATAATTTTCTGGTATTGATTTCTCAGCAAAACCGTGGAGGTTATAAAGATATTCCAAGTATCTCACTTTAGTGACAGTCTAAAACATTAGGTCAGTTTACGCTCTTTACCTATGATTGTTGTGTAGTAGAGTGTTGCGGGACAAAATTCACTTTAATGTAAGTGTGTTATGTGGAGAGTTCCATGTTCTTAATATGACAAACATATGCATCTGTAAAATTACCATAACGTAAACGTGTGAGATGATCCTTTGACGATATTTTATAACAATTATATCACTGTATGAATAGTTATTTCCATAATATATTTGTATTCTCTCTCTCAGATATACAACTTCAAATAATAATTACTCTATTAGCAGGATCTCCTGTGGGTTTCCAATTTGGCGAAATTTATTAGGTATAAATGGATGATGGTGGAATATATTAGGACACCTTATATATTAAGAAGTTAACGATAATGTATATAAGGTTATGATAAATAATATATTAATTTGAGTGTCCCACCATTAATGTGGAATCATTCCATAGTTAACCTCCTCAGACCACATTTGTTAGAGAGGACTTTCTAATTTTTTTATATGAAATATAACGTTAAGTTTTCAAAGATTTTTAGAAAACTTAGTTAACTTGTTCGTATTGACCCTATGTGCCAACACTCTTTGTGTAGGGTTTATTCCCTTTTAATGACATGCTTAAAGATTGTACAATTCAAGAGATTCATCTCATTGTGGTAGATATCTCCTCATTTGATTATTTACATTTCATGAGAGAGAACCTGACCTTGTTATATAAAACGATGTCGTATTGATCTTATTATCTCTCATAAAATATGTACTAGGACAGAGTGTGTAACCGTGTTCGTGTTTATACAATACAAAGGCATCAAGAGGTTCAATACGTTATATTACAAGGTATTTCCAATACTCTTGTCAGACCATTATATTTTTGGGTTTTATATGAGGGGAAGAGTTTATATCTTAAATTTGTTTTTATGGTGGTCTAGGTTTAAGTCTATGCTTTTGGTTTAATCGACAAAGCTTAATAATTAATTTGTTAGTCAGATGTTAATGAAATATTCTTAAAAAAAATCAACATCTCGATGAATTTAAATTTTATAGAAGTTGGGAGTATGGTAGACTACTCATAGATATTGATTTTATTTCCCCATTACATAATTTTGTGTGTGGTCTCATTCCGGAAGCGAAAAGCACGCATGTTACATGATTAGGTATGTTTTGCCAGAAGATGCCGTGTGAAGTGTGACTATAAATAATCAGGAACTAATTATTTATATTCTTTTTTTTCTTGCTTTTTTTTATGAGTGAAATATATACAAAATCGAACATTAAATGAAAAAGCTTCTCCTTTTTTTTTTTTTTTTTTTTGGAAAAAACATAATGAACCTCCTGGGAAATGATAATTCTCCCTATTGCAAAAATCTAACAAATAATATAGAATCATATATTAATTGTTTCCATATTTAGGAATTGGACGAACAATGCAAGACAGATGAAGGGAAATATTTCCCTCCTCGTAAAAGGAAAAAGAGACGATTTTTGTTACCTGAGAAATAGAATTCGAGCACTGTAATCAGATAAGATGTCAACGAGACTACTTTCGTTTTAACTCTAGAAGCCGTTGATTGTTGTTCCGGCAAACATCTTTGCTCTCGAGCTTCTTCGCCAATCCACATGAAATCGCTGAGCTGCTACAAAGCTTGCTAATTACAAAAACTTCGGTTGCAAAATCAAGTAACTCCAGGTAAGGGTTTCTACTTTCTGCCATTTGCTTTTCCACTTCATTCACTCATGAGCGAGAGTGGTGAAAAGATTCAGGACCTTATATATCATATGAACCCAATAAATTCCAATTTGAAAGATTATTTGTGGGAAATTGGCCTCTACAACAGAATTTTTCATCTATTGCTAGTAGGGAGTAATCATGTCCAAAGGTTGTGTATTTATTGCAAGTGATTTGAAGTTAATAGCATAAGGGGTTTAACTATTCGTTGATGTTCAGTTTGGTTGGGCAGGTTTTATTGTACCTTTAAAGCTTACATTCAAGGAATATTCTGATTCTACATTTATCAGGCCGTGAATCTTACTTTTAATACCACTGAAGCAATCCCCAGCTAGTGAGGAAGATGGGCTCTGAGGAAGGAAGTCCACATTGGAGTGTCTTTGATGAAATCAAAACGATACCACCAACTCCAGACGCTCTCATGGCAAAGATTGATACAGGTATTACTAATTTGGAGTATGCTCGTGCCACTGCAGTCCTCGACTCTCCGTCTCCATCCCATTTAAAGAGTGAGATTCCCAATGGAGGTGCAACTCCTCGATATGATGCCCGAATGGCTGATGAAGCTTATAAGGCTGGATGTGCTGCATTAGCTGCAGGCAAGCTTGATGAGGCCCTTCATTCCTTGAACGTTTCTCTTTCAAAATGTCCTCCTGATAAGACCTCTGCTGTTGCCAAGCTTCAGTCTCTCATTTCTCTTACATCACAGCAACTCCAAAAATTGCCCACTTGACTTGATAGCGGTATGCTTAGTCCTTCAACAATTTATTTATCTTAGTTTTGGTTGTTCATTGACTGATGTTACATCTTTGGGTCTATTTAGTGAAGTCTTTAAAAATCTCATACCCTTCTTATAACATGCCCTTCACACAAAAATTTCTAGCTATGATTTTCCTTTGCTTACGATTCTTCAGTTACTTTTTGTTTTGTTATTATGCTGCTATGGATGCCTTTTCACACAAATATTTCTAGCTGTCATTAAGTGTTTATTAATATGCTTAAGAGGCGGGACTTCATATGTGAAGAGTAGGACAACCACACGAGTTGAGTCTTGCCACTCTTAATTTGGCTTGCAGTAGGACAAGTATGGACGCTTGTCGTATGAAATGTGGTGTTGGCCTGGTAATATTGACCTAAACAAGAGCAATATACAGGAACTATTACTACTTCTTGGTAGGAAACACTGATGATCTTCTGACATCATTGGTTCTTGCTAATTCTTTGATCACTGATGGGAGCAACGATGTGATGGTAGGAGTTGAGAAGGCCTCACAAGATTTTTCTTTGGCCATTGCAAGAGTAAATAAATGAAGGAGATTGTACCGTCTCATCACTGCTGTTGCAGTCTAGCCCAGAATTTGCTGAGTAGTTTTGTTTAGCAGAAGTGAAAGAGGTGAAGAAGCTGAGTATGAGTAAGCTAAGCAAGGATTTGACCCATGGTGGACGGGTTTTTTCACAAAAATTGAGTGATGGGTAGATAAAAAGTTTAGGATTTGAAAATGATAATTAAAATGGGTTTAGCACACTAAACATGTTTAAGGATTATAAGATGCTGTGAATATTAAACCGTTACCTTGACTTCTATTGGCCCAAAAATCAGGTTTGATGCTTAGTTTTGTCTAAACAAAAATATCTGATTTGATTTATTTTGGAGAGTACAAATATATAACAGTAACCTTGTCTCGACCCAGTAATCATGTTAATTATGCTGTTATTGTGAAGACGATAAGATTATTTGAGTCCCCATCTGACAAGATTACAAGCAAATTTATATATTTATGCTTGGCCGTGTTTCATGTTTGTTTGACGTTTATATTTACAAGCTAATAGAGTTTCTAATTTCAGTTGCTTAAGAGAAAAATTCTTTCATGCAGTTTTTATGCTTATTTTGGAATAAGATGCAATTCTTTGTCAACTTAGCAGTTGCAGAGGTTGACTGTCTAATTGCTTTCGTATTAAAAAGCTTGGTAATCATCATTAGTCACTCTCCTTTTGACATGGTTTGCACGCTTTTTGATCTCAGTGGCTTAAGCATCATGATCAGACAGTGAGTTGGGTGGATACTGTTCCAAATTTCAGCAGCAACTGAATGAAATGAAGTATAGAAACATTAAGCTGTATATAATTGCACCATTATCTTCATGAAAATTGTGAAAAGACTTGTCAATATCTGATCTATTTTGTAATAGACTAATTTCTTTAGCTGTCTATTATTGTATAAAAGTTGTTACATACTTGTTCTTTGTTTTGAGATGACTATGTTTTGTGTAATAGACTCACTTTCTTGCTTCATGGTCAAATTATATATCCGAGAATTGTTCGCTCCCATGTTTTTAGACCTTTGTTTCTTCATAGATGGTGAGCTGGGTGTCGGTGTATTTTAGCGGCCCGCGTCCCACGTCCCACTTAGTGTCGTTCTACGACAGAACCAGCGTGTGACGTTAACGGGTTGAGGGCGGTTGGACCAAGACAACGTGTTTTTCGGACTACAATTACTATTCTGCGATAGGTAGTTCAGTATTTTAGGTGGTCATTCGACACATGCGTTTGCCTCTAACGGATAGAGGATCGTTATTTAGAAATAAAAGTGAAAAAAAGAAAAAGAAAGATGTCTCCATAAACGATAATATCATCCCTACGGTGAAAAAAACAATCCTATAGAGCTCTTATTGTTTATTAACTCACAGCTTAAAGCTTCCACACGGAGAGAGGAAACGGAGTGGCGGGATCTCATATCTATTATTCTAAACACAATCGCTTTTGGAGAGGATTTCTAAACATAATCGCTTTTGGGCGAAAGAGATTAGCTCTCATTTAATTATTAGATGGAAGATGAGAGGACACCCTTAATAATAATAAAAAATATAAGATCTCATATGTGTTATAGAAAGTGTCTGCTGTCATTAAATTATTATGGTTTTGTGATGGGATGTGTATACAAAAGGCCGAATAAAACAAATAAAGGAATTAATTAAATTTAATTTCAAAACAATTTATGAATAAAGGAATTAATTTTATATTATTGCATGCACGTTCTTAATACCCAAAATAACAAAAATTAAAAATAGTAAGATTTTGGGTTTGGTGGGGAGGAAGAAAATAACAAGAAAAGCAAAAAAAAAAAAAAAAAATAAATTGTTAATTTCAAAACAATTTTATGAATAAAGGAATTAATTGTTATATTATTGCATGCACGTTCTTAATACCTCAAAATACAAAAAATTAAAAATAGTAAAGATTTTTTTGGTTTGGTGGGGAGGGGAAGAAAATAACAAAAGAAAAAGCAAAAAAAAAAAAAAAAAGGCTGAAACCTTCTGTCATTTTTTTTCTAGCAGAATTTTACGTTACCCATTCTGAGTAATTAATTAAATTACTAACGTGATACCCAATGCTATGCATGGTGTTTAAATATTTTATAATTTTTTTTTATTAATTTTAATTTTATCATTTATAATATTTTAAATGATTTTTTATTATGTTCCAGTGGAGGAGGCCTAATTGGAGAAATATGTCATATTATTCAAATTAAAATGGCCAAAATAGATATGCCACGTGTTAACCTGTCTAAGGCAATAATGTTTGCTTTATAAATATATATATATACTATTATAGTATATAGTATAATATATTTTTGATATTGACGTGCCTCTCCTTGTTTTTGTTAGAGTTTACCCTTATAATACTTTCTTGGACGGTTCTTTTATATCCCTTATAATAACTTGTCGGTGAGCCATATCTTAACTTCTTTTCAATTATCAGGTAATCAAGATTAAATAAGGGTTCACGGTCAATGGTTTTGGTATACGTCTAATACGACTCCCCTACACTTTAGCTTCAGGTGATACTTGAAAAAGAACAAAATTGCATATAAATCCCTTTAGATTACCAATTCAGAGTCGGAGATTTTTTTATATATATTTTGATATTGACGTGCCTCTCCTTGTTTTTGTTAGAGTTACCCCTTATAATAACTTTCTTGGACGGTTCTTTTTATCCCTTATAATAACTTGTCGGTGAGCCATTCTTAACTTCTTTTCATTATCAGTATCAGATAAATAGGGTTCACGTCAATGGTTTGGTATCACGTCTAATAAGACTCCCATAACTTTAGCTTCAAGTGATACTTGAAAAAGACAAAATTTGCATATAAATCCTTTTAGATTTACCAATTCAGAGTGGAATTTTAGCCGACAAATTTGCATCAGACTGTACTGAAAAGAAGGGGTAGAAGACTTTTATAACTTTGTCTTTACCCCAAAGAATGGATACAAAATGCTTCTTGCTTGGTGCTGAACAAGTAAGTTGCAAGGCCACTGTCATACAGCCAGGTCAATTTCCACATTAACTCAATGTGTGACTTCTTTCTATTACATATGTTGGGATCTGTGTATATATTTCTGTGTTGAACAAGTAAAATTGCGAGTTCCATTTTTCTCCAACATGGGCGTTTTTCATCATGAGGAGTCACCAAATCCTTCCAGGAAATGTAAATTCCTGTCTGCAACTTTCAAGGATGCATTTTCCAATTGCCGCCCTTGTGGACGGATTTCGAAGCCAAGCCCGGATGTGGAGTACTCAGCCAGTGACATAGATTATGAGCAGGAAGTACTCACTTTTAACAATTTTATAAACATAATCTTCTATCTCTTGTGTTTTCAGGTTATGTTATGGTGTGTGTGACTTTTTTTTTTGTCTAGGTTCTTGTTTCAGAAATCCGAAGCCGAGCCATGGAAAAATCTAGGCAAAGATCATTTGTTCTGACTGATAGTTTTTCTTGGGTATTTTCTCCAAGGACCGGGGAATTGTTCTTGGCTCCGAAGATTGTGAAGCAAAGGGAGGATGGTGATGAAGATGCTGATGATAAAGAAGATGATGGCGATGAAGAAAATGATGAAGAAAGAGAGGAATTTCTCTCTGTTGGGAGTTGTTTTACGTGTTGTTCAAGTGCTTTGAGCAAAGAAGTGTTTCTATCTGTGCAGACAAACTTGTCTCGCTGCTCAAGCTTTAGTGAGCTTATTGACTTTAAAGATTTTCCAAGGCGTGATATACTTCAGGAGTTATGTCACTGTGAAGGATGGCCATTTGGTCTTTGCAGGAAAGCTGTGTTACTTCCACCTTTGCCCAAGTCTCCGACAGAATCTTGGTCTTGGCGTAAAGGCAGCAGAATAGTAAAGAATTAAAATGGCTCGAGGGCGAAGTGGATGGGAACCACAGTTAGCGGCTACCTTCCCTGAAAAAGAGTTGATTCTGTCATTAAAATTTAAAACCCCAACAGAGATTGAGGAAACAAAAGGCAATTTTTCCTACAATAGAATGACCCAAATTAGAACTTGCAGAGTCCTGGATTTGAAACCAAATGTACCAATTACATTTCTGTTATAATTGGAAACTGATCAGTGTTTTTATGTTTTTTAAACAAGCTACAAAAAGCTATTTACCGAGGCCAGTCAAAAATGCTATTTACCGAGGCCAGTCAAAAATTTACCATGATAAGCTCATTTTTTCACACAATCCTCCAGTAACTGAGTTACTGCACCAAGTAGTTAAAAAAGCATCCTATAATTAGCGAGACAATTACTCACCTCTTAAAACACAACAATTGCATTAAGATAGTAGCCAGTGGCGTTTTTACATAAAAATCATATGATCAGACAGCTTCATTTGACTCGACCAACCAAATGATCACTAAGAATTAGCAGTAGCACTTGTTAATTTTTCACAGCACGAGCATATGAAGTTCAGTAAACGGCATGTGTCTGAGAAATTTACAAATTTTTATACAATAAATCATAGTAATTGACTACGTCATCATTAGCTATGGTGTGAATGGAAGACGGGTCCAAAAACGTTATTAACCACCATAAAACTGGAAAATAAAGAAATTCTCAAACTGGATGAAAACATTTCATATTCAATTGGTGACATAGATAAGCTCTTATTCAACAGGCGTCAACACAATTTTGAAGGTTTGCCTGAAAGAACCACTCAAAAACATGATTCCAAACATAGAAAGCTCACAATTACACCAGATCCTTCCCACAATATGGCACTAAGATCTTTGCTCAACATAAGAACCAGCAAGTCCAGAAGTGCCAAGAACAGTAACCTGCAACCAGAAGATCAAATCATATTAGGAAATAAATTATTACCTCAGCACTCATCAATAGGATCACAAAAAATGAAGGAACAAAGGCTTAAGGTTGCCCCACATTCTTTGGCTCAGGGCTCTCCTAAGTGGCTATATCATTAAGATATGAGAACATGTGACTCCACATGATCTATTTTACTTGTTGCATATTCATTTCTCTAATAGGCAGTATTTACTATATGGTCCCCAAAATAATGCTTTTTGACACAAAACACTAGTTTGATTTTGATACATAATCTAGCAAATATGGGTGGCAAACTGTGTAAGGTTTAGTGGGTTTACAACAGTGAAACAAGTCCTAGTACCTTCCCCCACTCTGAACCAAGCCCACTGCATCTCATCTTCAAGTATATCATTTTTGATCCCAACTCTGTCTCTACTTTCTTCCGCAAATAACTCTCATCAGGTCCAAATGCGTCCAAATAGGCAGAATATCGTTCATAAACAGTTGAAAGTGCTTTGGTTAACTCAGATGACAAGGGCCTTACATTCTGCATAAAAATTACATCCATCATACAAATAATCACCGAGACAGAAAGAAAGAAATTGAGCATGAAAACCGTGTAAGTTATAGTACCTCGCCACTCATTCCAATGCTGTCATCAAGTTCCATTTTCAGAGAAATGAGTATGCCACTGAATTCCTCAACTGCTTCAGCTGCACGGAAAACATTCTTCAGGATCTCTTGGCCAGCATTGTCATCAGTCTTTTTAGACAATGCATTCTTCACATCGTAGATGAGAGGGTCAGGAAGCTCATCCCAACTTGCTGCCATCAAGTCCTTGAAAGCTCTTTTAATTTCAGGATCCTGAATGGCAGGCAAGTGACTTACATCCTGGCTAAAATATCGTGTACTTCCGATTCCCATTGCAAAAGAAGATCTGAAATCTGTATGAGTTTTCCACATAAGAAATAAGTTATGATAGTTATCACTCACAAAATAGCATTAATATAAAAATAATCCTCTGTCTTTCCCTAGATGTTAGTGAACACTTGCAAGAGGGCATTCAATATCACAAAGAACTGGATGTTTGGATTATTGGATACTAACTGAAACGTGCAGATAGAGACGCCACAGGTTAGGTCCATTTATCCAACACGAAAGCAACATACTTTAATCCCACAATGATATGCCTTAAACATATGTTTTACAATCATAATATCCAAAAAAAGACAATAAAAAGAAAATCCCCAAATCAAATTAAAATTAGTGATCCCGGAGAAACAACCAACTATAACATAAGCAAATATGAAGTTCTATGCTTTGCTCGTAAGTTGTGAATCCATAATCGACCCAGCATATTTAATCGCATAAGGCTAGCTATAAAGGGCATATAAACATCCAGCAGAGCTATTTGAAATATATGCAAAAAGATCCATTATCCGAAAAATTAAAGAAAAAAACTAAATTTTGACAAAGGAATTGCAGACAACAGAATTCGATTAAAAGCAAAACATAAAGTCACCACAACCAAGTCATAATCGAATCAACAATCAACTTAAAGCCCATAAACTTGAGAAGCTACCGGATATAAAAAGAGAAAAAAGTGGGAAACAAAAGTACCGGAAGGGGTCGAAACGGAAGGCGAAGAAAGACTGAAGATGGATCGAGAAGCCAAGAGGTGGCGGAGCTGGTGGTGAGTAATAGCGGCGAAACGTGAAGAACGGAAAGAGGCTGCGCGGCATATGGATCTAACTAACATCATCTTCTCCATTTTTTTCCCCGATTAGCTGCAAAGCAAACTGGTAGAATGCAGCGATGTTTTATTTTTATTTTTATTTATTTTTTGTAACGTGTTTTTGATGGGGTGTAACTGAGAATCAGAATTCAGGAATGGGCAATTGTAGGAAAATGAAAATAGTATGACATGACCGGTGCCGTTTCTTTCCATTCCATCTATCTTTTCTTTTCTTTTTTTTTTTTTTATATATTTTTTTAAAAAATAGTTTCCAGTCACAGTTCAAGCGATTATAAACTGGGCCAAAGTGAATAAGTGGACCTTAACTATGTATTTGGAGTGTAGAGCCCAATGGGATTTGACTTCCTTTAATTTGTATAGAAGGAAGGAAACCTTTCCGTCCCACAGGAAAAGTTTTCCGTTCGACCAGAACGACAGAAAGGCCTTTGAACGGCACAAAATTACTCCATCTCAACAAGGAAGATTCGAATTTATTTTAGTATTTTATTCTATGAATACTTGAATTCAAACTTAATAATAAATAAATAAATATAAATACCAACGGAAACTATTGATCCTGGAGAAAATAATAAAAAAAAATTGTAAATAAATGTAAATAAAGATGAGAGGATGAGAAGTATCATCTATACAGATATCCACAAAACACCTCTGCCTCTCTCTTTCTCTCTAATTTCCATGGCTTCAGCTTCAACCAATGATCAAGAAGTAGCCTATGAGCTTCCAGGTCTTCTCCGACTTTACAAAGACGGCCATGTTGAGAGACTCCGCAATACTGATGTCGTTCCACCATCATCTAATCTCTCTGCTGGTATTTCATCCAAAGACATCACAATAAATATTTATGAACCCAACATCTCTGCTCGCCTTTACCTCCCAAAACTCAACCACCCCAACCAAAAGTTCCCTCTCCTCGTCTACTTTCACGGCGGAGCTTTTTGCGTCGGTTCGCCATTCTGTAACAAATATCATAGCTACGTGACAAAGCTCGTAGCTGAAGCTAATGTAGTTGCAGTTTCTGTCAACTACAGGAAAGCGCCGGAGCATCCTATTCCGGCGGCATATGAAGATTCATGGGCTGCACTCCATTGGATAGCTTCCCATCGTAACAGTAACGGACCTGAGCTATGGTTAAATAACCATGCAGATTTTGGAAAAGTGTTTCTAGCAGGAGAGAGTGCTGGCGCTAACATTGCTCATAACTTGGCTTTAGCTGCTGGTTCTGAAGATTTGGGATCTGGGCTTGGTATTGAGCTTTTAGGAATTGCATTGGTCCATCCATATTTTTGGGGGTCGGATCCAATCGGTTCGGAGGCAGCCGATCCAGATAAGAAGGCACATATAGACCGGTTGTGGCCATTTATTTGCCCGTCAAACCCGGATAATGATGACTTGCGGATCAACCCGGTGGCATTGGGTGGGCCTGGCTTAACTGGGCTGGGATGTAAGAGGGTGTTGGTGAGTGTGGCTGAGAAGGATGTGTTGAAGGATAGAGGGTGGGTTTACTACCGGGTATTGAGTGGAAGTGGGTGGATGGGTGTGGTAGAGATTGGTGAGACAGAAGGCGAGGACCATGCTTTCCATTTGAATGATTTGGAGTCTCAGAAAGCTAAGAATTTGATCCAACGTCTGGCTCATTTCTTTAATAGAGATATGCCTTTTCTTTGATGTTAACTAATTTCTACTTAAAACAAATTTTATTTGTAAGTCATTTTTCCTGAAGTTTTGTTAAAAAGCTCTCATCTTTCTAGTTGGGATTGTCTTGAAAATGTAAGCTATTTTACATTTCTAAAATTTCCATCCTCAAATACAAATAAAAAAAGCCAGCAAGATTAACCTATGTTGCTCAAGTTGTAATCTTAAAATTCAAAGGTTTCCTCAGGTTTAAATTTGTCTACCTTAAATTTAAAATAAAAAATCTCAGATTAGATTTGCAACCTATGAAGAAGTTTGCACCAAAAGATTTACATATATAATTAAATATAACCAAACTACTATACAAATTTGAAATGGCTTCTAAGCAGCAGTCATCCAACAGAAATCCTCACAATCACACACGTGGCACATATGTCCTTGGCTTACAAGAACTTCAAACACAACGGAATGCCGCTCAGCACCAATCTCAGTTTAGATGACCTTTCAATTCTATCTCTCCCGTTGGTTAAGCAGATGTATCTGGAAGAAAAAAAAAATCGTAACAATTTATTAATTAATATAAAGTGAATTGTTATTTGCCTCTTTTTTTTTCCTTTCCATTAGCATTTAGCAATTAAGATTAAGACAATCCACGTGTCCTTAATTAATTCCATGAAGTCTAGAACTATTAATGTGTATTTACCCATATTTTTTCAACAAAATGGTCAGACATGTCCTCCTTATAACTAGAAACTTGTTTTCAATTAAACATGGTAAAACAACCGTAATAGTATATATAAAATAACCTTATTAACTAAGTATCATAAATTTTTTTTTCAAATTTATTTTCTCACCTTGGGGCTTGAGACTAGCTCCTAGTCCTAGCATAATTATTAATAATATAATGTCTCACCAAACGAACCTATTGTTCCTGTCCATAAAAACCCCATCTTGCATCTTTGGCCTTAAATTTCTTTAACTAAACACCTCTTTTTACACCTCGCCTTCTGTCCCTGTCTACTGTTCTTTTCTCCTTCCCAATGGCTCCGGCCAAACAAGTATCCCGTGAAGTTTTTCCTTACCTTCGAGTATACAGCGATGGAACGATCCAGAGATATGCTGGAATAGAAGTTACACCCCCAGGCTTCGATTCTCCAACTGGGGTTTTCTCCAAGGATATCTTTATAGCAACGCCAGAAACCACTCTTTCCGCCAGACTCTACAGTCCGGCGGCTACTGATTCCATCAAGAACAATAACCAAAAGCTTCCTCTTTTAGTTTATTATCACGGTGGAGCCTTTTGCATAGCATCACCTGCCGAGCCCAAATACCACCACTGCATCAATCAGCTTGCTTCCCAAGCTAAAATCATCGTTCTTTCTGTTGATTACAGGTTAGCTCCGGAAAACCCTCTACCTATTGCTTATCAAGACTCATGGGCTGCACTTGAGTGGGTGTTTGCCCATGCTAATGGAGATGATGGAGTTGATAACATTAAAACCGAAGCATGGCTACACGATTATGTAGACTTTGGACAGATTTTTTTAGCAGGTGACAGTGCTGGTGCTAACATTACACACCACTTAGCTTTAAAGGCAAGGAATTCGGATCCGGGTATTGGAAATATCAAAGGTATTGTTATGATCCATCCATATTTCTGGGGAAAGGATTCCATAGGAGAAGAGAAAATCGATAGTATAAGAAAATCAATGGTGGATAATTGGTGGACGTTTGTTTGCCCGTCCAACAAAGGGTGCGATGATCCATATATTAACCCGTTCATCAATGGAGCTCCAAGTCTTAAAGGGCTGGCTTGTGATAGTGTCCTTGTCTTTGTTGCAGAGAAGGACATATTGTGTGAAAGAGGGAAGCTTTATTATGAAAATATAGTAAAAAGCGGATGGAAAGGAAAAGCAGAGATTGTGGAGACAAAAGGAGAAGATCATGTTTTCCATATTTTTAAGCCAGATTGTGAGAATGCTCATGTGTTGATGAAGCGCTGGGCTACTTTCATCAACCAAGCATAGTAGAGTAACTTTGCTTTGTGTCAATTATATGTATAACTTTACAGGTAGATTTGCAATTCCAAAATCTAAAGTATTTACTTTACTGTAACCTAGTTTTGATTTTAGATTTGATTGTTTGCCTCCTTATATAATGGTTGTCGCTTTTAATTAAGATTGTTGACGTGAACATTTGGCTAAATAAAGATTGGAACAAAGTTTGTAAATTAAAATTAAAGAAATTAATTTTGTAAGTAATCAACCGTTTACTTTGAATAGAAATGATTCAGATATATATCTTGAACAAGGGATCCTGTATTCAATTTTTATAAATAGAAAAATCTTGGTTGTCAGTTCGTCTATAATATAAATTAAAAAAAATATTATTACAAGAACAACTTACCAATAAATGGGGATGAATTTTTCACTATTTAGTTGTTATCATTATTTTGATATTTTTTTAAAAAAATCTTCACGATCTTAAAAAATAATAAACGATATATCAAATATAGTTTAAGGGGTATGTTTAATTTTTTTTTGGTAGAATTCATTCGGTGTCCAAAGTTTATTAACCAACTAATCTGCATTTATGTTATATAGACCAAAACAAAAGGGCACCGAGCTTTCTACTAAATTTTAAAGACTCTTTATATTCAAGGCTAAACTTCTAGTTAAATAGAGAAAAGACTATTGTCATCTTACAAAGAAAATTGGAGAACAAAGCTCAAAGAAAATTACAAACACATCAGACTCAGAGGATGGGCAACCTGTAAATGTTGAACTAATATTAGCCAATATTACTTGTCAACTGCTCGTAATTTATTGTCGTGACCAAAGGTTAGCTATTAGCGACAAAGTAATTACACACGACTGTATTTTTACCACGAAAATCGAAAATCTTCAACGGTTGGGGGACCCACAAAAATCTTTGTAAGTACATGCAAGATAATAATGACGGAAGCATGAAGGAAGAAATAGTAGACCTATGTGATTTGGAATTCAATTCTCCTGCTGCTTTAAGAAAATAAGTATAGAAAGCAATTGCATTTTCTGTCTCTTGGTACATTTTACTATTCCTAAAACTCATTTCAGTCCATTTCAATTTAAGTAAGTGAAATAAAGGAAGAGAGTGTTTCAACTTCCAACGGTCTCTGGTCGATACATTTATTTCCTTTTGGGTTGATATTGAAACATTAGTGGGTAGGTTCTTCGTGGTATGATGTGCATGTTAATTAAGTTGCAAATCTGATATATAGGGTATTGCTTTTTAGGGAGCTTCCTTCCCAGACAAGAGTTCTGGAATTTCCACAATAACTGGAAAGCTCTCTGATATCATTTAATAACAGGGAACATGAAGTTGGAATCGTCGGTGATGGCTAATATCATTCTGGCTGCCTCCATGTTTCCGTCCGTAAATGTCTCATTTCATCATCTGTATTGTGGGTGTCAAAAAGTCATCGCCATCATTAATTAGAAAAAGACTAGAATTTTCCATTATTTGATTAATCAAACTTCTCTAGCTACAAATCTTAGCTTTAAGGGGCTATATTTCTTCAACGAATTAATTTTATGTGCAGAATTTCCTGGGTGGAATTGTATTTTTGTTTTTATTAATTTGACAAACATAATGTTATATAAGCTGTTGTCTGTTGTCAGTGTTTTTCACGTGTATGACAAATTGTATGAAAATAACGTCTTCCAGTTGGGTCGTGTATGCAATAGCCACCGCATAAGTAAAGTGAATTCCCACTTAAAAAATTAAAAAAATAAAAAAGAAAAAGAAAAAGAAAGAAAGAAAGAAAAGTGAACTTGAGACGGGTTTTAGATGTTGATTTCCTATGTAACTTTTGCTTTTTTTTTTTTTTTTTTTTTTTTTTTTTTTTTTTTTTTTTTTTTTTTTTTTTGAAAATTGATGTAATTTTTTTTTTTTTTTTTTTTTTTTTTTGAAAATTATGTAATTTTTGCTCGAGTTTAGAGGTTACACCGATAATATAATAATTAAGAAAAACATATCAGAAGCTCCTAAAGTTTTCAAGTTTGAATTATTAATTTTGTGAAAATTTATTTGTTCATATTAACCGCTTAAGATATCATTTATGGCGAGTATAATGTTTTTCCAACCCATAAAAAGAAAAAAAAAAAATCTTCCAAGGATTAAATCGTTTGAGAAGTCAATGCAACATATAAATTTCATAGGTAAATAACGTAAAACTGAGGAGCATTTCCTTAATAATTAGTACAACTTTTGACCGCCGTAACAATGAGATCCTCCAAGATGACAAATGCACATGGCGCAATAAATTAAGAAAGAGAGAAAAAATCTCGCTTCGTTCCTCTTTCTGGAAATTCTCGAATCAACTGGTGCATAAACGGTCAATCACAAATTAGCTCTGCCTTGATCAAGAGTCTGAAGTTATATGTAGACTAGAGCTTCAAGGAAAATAAATCTTATCTTCAAGATAAGAAAATACTTTTCAAGGAAACTGAGATACATCATCATCCTTGGTTCTCTACCAACACATTAGCTTGAAATTTCAAATATTCATATAATAAAGATAAGTCACTTAAAAATTTGAATGAAAAATACAGCAGGGATTTGCTTTGTTTTATGCCAGAAAAATTCATCTTCGCAACTCTTCAAGATGGCATTAAAAACCAGTTTACTTGCCCATTTCAGTTGAAGTTAATTCTAAAATTCCATGAACAATACGTCCAAAAGCCAGCTCACAATAAGGGTAGATAGAAATGACAGAAAAAAAGATAGCCTCGCATAGAAATAAGATATTTGTCATTCCAACAATTAAATTTTGTCCGTAGCTACGGATATCCAAACATATGAAGCTACAATGCATAGTCCACTAGAACAAAAAATGAACTGAAATAAATTCGGATATAATATAAAAATCCAGGATCGTTCTACTTGAAACAGAGAATACAGCGAAGCAAGTAAAAGTAAGGGATTTTAGAGAGAATATAGAAATACAGATAATCTAGAACACAACTGTGTCGAGCATGGTACCCAAAGTTTGAACTATGTTTGAAGACATCAAGTTAGAGACATGCTCTTCAAGGTGCTTCTTCGCATCTTGCCTTCCCACATTTGCAATTGCTAGCTTCTCAGGTGGCAGCTCATCTTCCTCTTGCACTGCCTTGTTGTATTTAATAGCTAAGTTCAGCATCTCCTGCTCATTCCAATATGAACCAATATCACATTACTAGGCTACTGATAAAATATCACTACCATATTTGCTTACTACCCACCAGACGTGCATAATGAAATTAGAATGGTCCATATTGAGTCACAAATAGGAGAAGAGAGGTTCATAAGATCCATTGAGAACCCATGCAAAGAATAGAGGACGCACTTAAATTGTTCGATGGCAAACCATCACTAGATACCAGATCAGATATTAACAGTAAATTTAAATCTTTAACCCCACTCTGCTTTGGGTATAAAATATCCAATTGTATGGTAAGTAGGATAACAGACAAGTGAAATGCCTCACAGTAAAGCTGACTTTTGACCACTCAGGTTCCCTCATTTAGTGGACAAAAAAAAAAAAAAAAAAAAAAAAAAAAAAAAACAAAACAAAAAAAAAAAAAGAAAAAAAAAAAGAAAAAAAAAAAAAAAGAAAAAAAAAAAAGAAAAAAAAGGCTACGCATGACATCTCATGACTCGATGCAAGGGTAGTAAATTCAATACCCATTAAATTGCAAGAACACAGAACAAAAACAGTCAGCTCTAGTTTTCAAATAATCACTCACCTGAACAGTCTGCTCATTGGTTTTAGAATGAGTATCAAACCGCCTAAGGGTCAATCCATCTGTCCACTTCTTCTTGTGCAGGTTAAGAAGCATTTTTTCCTCAAGTTCATTCTTTCTGTAATTAATGGCTATCGAGTAATAGTGTCGGTTCAATCCATGTATCAATGCCTGAATTTTTTAAGAAAAGCATGTCGAAGTTATATATAGCACAACAAAAAACAAGAGTGGTGGGGTTGGAAGTGAGAAGGGCAAAAAAAAAAAAAAAAAAAAAGGAAGGTCAAAGGTTCAGCATTGGTTATTGAACTCACCTGAATGGAAGGTTTATTTAGATGCCCAAAAGAGGGCAAAAAAAAAAAAAAAAGAAAAGGAAGGTCAGCATTGGTTATGAACTCACCTGAATGGAAGGTTTATTTAGATGCCCAAGGTTGGAAGTTGTCTGCCGTGGTTCTTGTCCAAGCATCATTGTTTGAGGGTTGATCAAACGAAAAGCATCAATTACCACCTTCCCTTTAACACTCTGAATTGGGTCCACCACAACTGCCACAGCCCTTTGATTCAAAGCTTCAAAACTCTGCAAATAATATCAAACATCATAAGTGGTTATCAATAGTAATAAAGAGCTAACAATCAAATGCAAGAAGTTGTAATTAAAACTGATCCCAATTAGAGTGATCAACTTAGAGTCATTGCAACAATCCAGTACGCATGACCTGCTCAGATCAGTAGTCTACAATCTCAAGTCTTCAAGATTAAATTGCATCGAACTTGTAAAAGAACAAATAATGTTTTGAAAGAATGCTATAAATTTCTTCTGGTACAGCGTATGTCAAAATCTTAAATCTTTCCAACCATGAGATTGGTAGAGAGGAGATAAATTTTTTCGTCCAACTACCAATGAAATGTCAAATTGGAACAAGCCTTCCTGTTCAGTGATCACAAATTCACAATTGCAGTCCTCAAATCCAGGAAATCTTAATCTAGAAATTCAGCAATAACATATATCATACATCAAAAATCAAACAGCATTGTCAAAAAAATGTTTTAAGATCTTATGTATAAATGTTTTCAACATTTGTACACAACATATTCTAGTGTCAATTTATGCTGTCCTGACCACCTACAGCACTCCTTCTATCAGAGGCATAGCTCTCCAGCCATCTTATTCATTATTTGGATGCTAAAAAGGTGCAAGTAAATCATACTAGTAATAGTAAAACGTCTTTGATGCTTCCAGAGAAGCCAATTAGAGTACTTAATCTAATAGGTTTCCAAGTTCAACAGAAGACCTTTCACCATTTCTCCTTAACAGGATCCCACCAAAATTTCAAGTCTGGGGTGCCTATGCTACTACCAGGCAAAGACTGGTGCTCAACCAAAAAACTGCAGAATTAAAAGGGAAAAGAGAATGGGAGGGGAAAAGAAAAAAAACCGATACAATCCAATAAAGAGGTAGCATAGACATGAGGTCACGCATGGATTAGAAGCATTGATACTAAGTGAATAATAGACAAACCTGTTGTGTGTTTATATCAACACCAGAGAGCCAACAGCCAAATCCAGGATGGGAGTGATACCATCCAACAACCATCTCTGGCCTGCAACACCAAACAAATGAAATAAGCTACTCAAAGAGGTGCAGTGCATAAAGTGAAAGGTCCAGCAAGAGGACCAAAAAGTTGGTAAGTAACAGAAATTATGATTTTTCACAAAGGGCATCCAAACCACCAACTTCAGCTACTTGCCACAATATGGGATATCTGATAAATATGACATAAGATAGTACAGAACCCATTGCTTTTCTATTGAATTACAGTTAAAATTATTAATTTAGATTATCAACCATCACATTCTACCACATTCACATGACTAATGCTTTTGAAAGTTACAGATTTGTCCTTCGAAGGTTCCTAATTAGAAATCCTCCATGAAGAACCAGCTAGAGCTAATCCATCTGGCGCTAACAAAATTGATCCTTGTTAAAATGGCACACCCCGCAAAACAACCAACTCCAGCAAGTTGTGCAACAAAAAGTTTCTCCAGAAGACTAGTGTATATATACTAAGGCAATTCAACTGTTTTTTTGCGAGGGAAAAAAAAACCAAATATCAAATGAATTTCCAATATATTCCAAAACTCATCATATTTAATATAAACCAAATTGATTGAAGAATACCTTCCTGTCTGTTTGAGCATGTCAAGCATATTAGTCTGAAATACGTGATCAACAGCTTCAACGCTAACACCAGTACCGCTTTGCGGCATTGCAAATACATCAACAACCCGAACTGTGTATTCATCAACAAACTCTCCAAGCATCAAGCCCATCACTTCCATGGGGACCCCAGCTCTTCCTATTATTCACATAAGCCAAATCAACAGTTAAAAAAAAATATCAACCGAATTTTATTTCCTAACCAAGTCTCAAAGAAGCCAACGGAAGCCAACAATAAGAACACCTAAATCATCCATCAAGAAGAATCCAACATCGAAGACAATAAAATTTGCACAATAAGCATATAAACACCACGAGGCATAAGGGAAAATAATAATTGAGATCAAATTATACAAACATGATAATGATACACATCATCAAGTAACAGAAATTTCAAATTCAAACTTCAATTAAAAGGCAAGAGCATACTAGTAAATAATCCAAATCCCTAAGTTACATCAAATATATGCAATCCCAACGCCTGAAGCACGATACTTAGTCAGAAAAAAATAACGCATGAGATCAATAAACCCTAACTTCGGTTTCAATTTCAAATAAAGAAAAATTTGAGTAAAACCCTAAAATTTTACTTTGACAAAAAAGTATCTACAAGTCTAGATTGTTGAGAATCATACCGTGTTTGAGCATTTTGAGGAGTGCGAGTGAGGAGATGTACACTTGCTCGGAGGAATCAAGAATTGGAGAATCCGGGGGCGGATGACCTAACGCACCTCCAGCACCCGCAAACATTCTTTGCAGTCTCTCCATACCGGACATTTTCTCCCACTTTCTCCTAGACAAGCAGAGGATCTGGGGGGTTTTCTTTAGTAGCAAGACAAGGCTTCTGTAATGAGAAACTTTAATGGTTCTGGTATTTATATAAGCTATTAAACTGCAGCTATAAACACTAAACAGGGACTAACTTGTGCGAGTGGATTTTGCTGTTATGCCCTTGTATATTCAAAAAATTACAGTAAACCTGCGTCTATCTGTTTAATAGAATTACAAAAGAGTTCTTGTCGATTATAAAGAATACAATTGTTATCCTTATATTTGGCGGAATTTACCATTTTTTCGACCATATACGGTGGCATAACATTTAGACTCGCATTTTAGAAAATTGGGGCAAAGTTGGACTTCAATTTTTACAATAGGCCTAAAATTTGTTTATTGGAGGCCCAAGCTAAATCCAGTATTATCGGAATTAAGTTAAAGGTTATGTTTGTCGGGAGCTTTTTAAGTAGTTTTAACTGTTTTGATATTTTTATAATATTTGATAATATAATATTTAAATTAATTTTTAAAATTAATTGATGTAATATTTAATTTTCAAAATTTTATAAAAAATTATTTAAACCGCTAATAGTTAAATGCTAAAAAAAACTAACTAATTTCGCTTAACACGAATTTCCACGACGGGCTATAGTAAGTTTATTGGGTGCTAGAGCAATACCACTTTTTCGGCTCATTATGAACCTCCAAGGCCAATTTACCAAAAAAATTCAAGCCCAATTAAAGTTGGTCCGGAATCTGCTGGTAGGTCTTAGTATATTTATTGGCCTAAAGTGACCAATATTTAGATCCATTATGAAAAAATCACTTCCATTTTTTAGACCATTTTGTCCCGAATTCAGTGTAAACAAGCGAGTCGAGCACGAGCCTTATAGGCTCAAAACTCGACAAGTTTAAAACTTTTAGGCTCGAGTTCAACTCGTAAAATTTTAAATTCAAGATTCAATGATCGAATAAATTTAAAATAAATATTATATATTAGGCTCGAGTTCAACTCGTAAAATTTTAAATTCAAGACTCAATGATCGAATAAATTTAAAAATAAATATTATATATATATATATATATATATATATATATATATATGATATATAAGTCCAATTAGTTTTATATAAGTCCAATTAGTTTCGACGAGCATTAAAACTGATCATCCTTAAGATGGAGTTCGATTCGAACTGAAATTTTTCAAACCAAGCTTGAACAGCTTGTGAATCGGCTCGAATCATTTACACGGAAATTCCCCAACTGTAATTTAAAATTTTGCTAGCACATAAAAAGCACACATATTTACCGATGGCAGTGCATGCTGAGCCCAGTTTAATAATTTTGTGAGCCATATAATTATATTAGATTTGATTTGTGCATCATATATATTAAATTTTATTCTTTTCAGTCCAATTATAGATAGATTCTTCACGGACATGAATATAGCCAGGTCTAGTAGTCTATATATACAGTATGAACCAAAATGTGGATGGAGAATTGCAGGTGAGCATACGTGTGAACTGTAGGTGAGAAAAGTGTCTAGAGCAAAATAAACAGCAAATAAATTACTTAATTAATATAGAAATTTAGACTTTAACGTGTAGCTTTGAGTTGGAGTGAAATTCATAGCAAAATAAAATATACCAGCAGAAATAATGAAGTAAGTGAAGGGTTCATTGTGGTTTGAACGATGGAAACTTTTCCTTGAGCTTGCAGACAACAGAAAAACTTCTCTGTCGTCTGGAAGACAACGAAAAATTTTTTTAAATAGTAAAAGTTGTTCTCTGAGACAAGTGCATAGTTTTTTTTCGCTTATTTTGATCACAAGCAAATAAATTTGAGTGATAATACCACATATCAAATTCTTTATTCAAGAACTTAGGGAGCCATGGTGGTCTAGGGCTAAAATATTTGATTTCTGCATCACATTATTACACTGGACATGGAGAATTGCAGGTGAGCGTTCTATGGGATTAATTTGTAGGTGAGAGACTTGTAATGGGACCAACGACAGAAATAGTTAGTTTGTTAGTTAGCTTGTGAGCTCCAAGTTGATCCTTGAAAGCTAAATTAATTAAGGAATGCAAATTATATATAAACCATAAATGCTTAAATCATTTCCAGAAAATGCTTATATCTTTTTTGTTTTGGGTGAGAAAATGCCTTTGTATCTCCGTTAATTTCATCCATATATATCATGTAGGTTGGCCAAAATATTGTCAAGGGAGAAGCAGCTTCGTGAAGCTACAATTTTTCTGAAAGAGGTTACTTATACTCATGTGATTTTTCTGAAAGAGGTTACTTATACTCTACTTAGAGGTTACTTATACTCAAGTGATTTTTTCTGAAAGAGGTTACTTATACTCTACTTATGTGGATTTAATGTAACAGCTAAAATTTAGACTTTTTACATGTACCTTTCAATTACTGTCACGCGTTATTATAATTTTTTTAAAAAATTACTAATAAAATTAAAATTTATCAACCAGTTATATTTTAATCGATCTTGAAAGAAGATGTATTCCATATCTCATATTGTACAATGACTTTCCTATATATAGTCATACAGCTCAATACCCTAACTATATACAATTAGGAAACTAATCTATATAAATCAGATCAAACTAATTATACCAACAGAATATTACATATTCTATTACTATATAAATCAGATCAAACTAATTATACCAACAGAATATTACATATTCTATTACACCCCCGCAGTCTGAGGGTTAAAAGGACGAACACTAAGACTGGCTCTGAAATCTTCGAAGAGAACTTTAGGCAAACCTTTGGTGAAGATATCAGCAATTTGAAACCTGGAGGGGAGATGACTTACACGGATTTCGCCCTTCTGAACCTTTTCGCTAACAAAATGTATGTCCAATTCTATATGTTTAGTTCTTTGATGTTGTATCGGATTGGCTGATAAGTAAACCGCACTTATATTGTCACAATGAACTAAAGTAGCCTTCGAAATGGGACAATGAAGCTCTAACAACAAATTCCTTAACCAACAAGACTCGGATACAGCATTCGCAACACCCCTGTATTCAGCCTCCGCACTAGATTTGGAAATAGTAGGTTGGCGCTTGGAAGACCAAGATACAAGATTATCGCCCAAGAAACAAACAGTAGCCCGAAGTTGAATGGCGGGTATCCGGACAGCCGCCCCAATCAGCATCAGTATAGGCTAGAAGAGTGTTTGTAGCAGATTTTTGCAAATGTAAACCATAGTCTAGCGTACCTTTAATGTATCGCAATATCCGTTTCAAGGAATTCATATGGCTTTCAGTTGGAGAATGCATAAAGAGACAAACTTGCTGGACCGCATACGAAATGTCTGGTCGCGTGAAGGTCAAATACTGAAGAGCTCCAGCTAGTTGGCGGTACTGCTTAGAATCAGAACAAGGTATACCCAGAATCAGAAACAAGGTATACCTTTGTGGAGCTCAATTTCCTTTAGTATCAACAGGTGTAAAAAACTGGACTTTGCAATGGTGTCATCCCTGCTCTTTCTAAGATATCTTCGGCATACCTCTTTTGAGAAAGAAAAATAGCATTTTTAGAATGAGTAACAGCAATCCCCCAGGAAATAATGTAAGCAACCCAAATCCTTCATTGCAAATTCTTGTGCCAATAGATTTATTATTTTCTTTCGAAAAGCTATAGAGGAAGCAGTGAGTATGATGTCATCCACATAAAGTAACAAATAGGCAATGTCAGCATTATGGCAATAGACAAATAAAGAAGTATCAACTCGGCTTTGTTTAAAACCAAGAGTGGTGACATATTCTGTAAACCGTTGATTCCAAGCTCGGGGGGCTTGCTTATGCTTAAGGCCATAGAGAGATTTCTGTAATAAGCAAACATGATCAGGATGACTTGAATCTCTGAATCCCTGCGGTTGATGCATATATACGGTTTTAGTGAGGTTGCCATGAAGGAATGCATTCTTGACATCTAGTTGATGTATTTGCCATGAATTAGCCAATGCAAGACTAAGCACAGTTTTGATAGTAGCAGGTTTCACCACAGGACTGAATGTATCAGCACAATCGATTCCTTCACGCTGAGAACGACCATCACCTACAAGACGAGCCTTATACCTTTCAAATGAACCATCAGAATTTAGTTTATGCCTCAAAATGAACCATCAGAATTTAGTTTAAGCCGAAAAATCCACATAGACCGATAACAATTGACTTAGGAGGACAGGTCTAAACCCACGTCTTATTCTTAAGGAGAGCCTTAATATTCCTCAATATGGCATTTTTCAATTCAAATCATGAAAGAGCTTGTGTTGGATTTTTTAGGAATGGGAGACCAGAAGCAACTTGTCCAACATGATATCGAGTGTTGATATTTAGGATTGGTTTGACAATTCCATGTTGACTCCAGTTTACCATTCGGTTTGTGAAGGAGGAAGGTGGAAGAAGGTGGAAAGAAGGTGAGTGAGAAGACTGTGACTCGACAATGGAGGAAGTAAACCGGCTGGATTACTTTGAGAGTAAATTACGATGGATTTCTTATTTGGTGTTAGGTGTCATCGAAAAATCATAGGAGTTAGAACATGGGAACAGACAGTAGAAATATGGAAACGTTTGTTTTATCAAATTTAACATGGCGACTAAGAATGATTTTTCCCAGAAGACATGTCAAAAACACTTGAAGCCCCTGTGACAAAAGGAATTTCCAGGAATAACACAAGGCCAAAGGATCTATTGGCTAATATGAATAACAGATGCAGGACGCAAGCGAAAACAAAAGCAAGCCAAACAAAAACCTTAATGTTTGTATACGAAGGAATTTTGTGATACAAAACTTGAGTTGGTGACTGAAATCCTAATATTTTGGTGGGTAAAATATTATGGATATATGTAGCATGGTGAAGAGCATGATGCCAATACTGATGGGGTGTGGAGGAATGGGCTAGAAAAGTGCGAATAGCATTATTAAGTGTTCTGATTTTTCTCTCAGCTTTACCATTTTGGGAAGAAGTATAGGGACAAGAAAAATGAAATGTTATCCCATGCTGAATACAAAACTGATGCAACAGTTGGTTATCATATTCCTTGCCATTATCACATTGCAATTGTTTAATCGAGGTTTGAAATTGTGTAGTAACAAAAACATGAAACTGAATAAATTTCGCAGTAACCTCAGACTTGCGTGAGAGGGGAAAAACCCAAAGGAAATTCGAAAAATCATCCAGAAATAACAAATAATATTGGTGCCCTGAAGAACTAAGAACTGGTGAACACCACAAATCACTATGAATTATTTCAAAAGGTTTATGAGTAACATTAAATATGAGTAACAATTAAACGAATCCTGAAAAAGGCAACCGAACCAAAATTTAACCAAAAGGCGCAAGATGACAAAATTCTAACTTGTCCTTTTACAATCAAATCAATTTTATTTTGTCTAAGAGATTGAAGAAATGACTTTGACTAAGGTGTGACCCACAAGCATGCCAAAGAATTTGCAAACAGCAGAGAAAGCAGACTCCATGACCAAAACGCTAGGAAATGGAAAAGGATATAAATCCCACAGAACTCCACCAAGACCACCGCAGAATTTGTTCCCCGTCGAAAAGACCTTCACAGAAAACCCAAAACGGATCAAACTCAACAGACACCCAATTAACAGTTGTAAATTTACGAACAGAAATAAGGTTTTTAATCAAAGCATGCAAAACATTACGAAGGTGTAAAGTGGGATTAGAAGGAGACAGCTGAACATTACCATGACCTTGAATTGGAATAATATGCCCATTACCAACAACAATACCGTCTTTGCGGCTCAATTTAGAATAAGAGGTGAGCGTACCTGGACTTGCAGTCATGTGAGAAGTGGCAGCTGAATCCATATACCATTGTCCTTCCGGCGACTTTAAAGACATGTTGTGCAAGGCCTGTTCGATATCAGTCGGAGCATATTCAGTAGACTGAGATGGGGCAGCAGCAGTGTAAAAAGATTGCTGTGAAGGATGAGACCCTAAAAGTCCTTGGATGAGACCCTAAAAGTCCTTGCTGCCGTGCTCGCGGTGGACGTTGAGGCCAAGGATTTGTTGGATAGGGACATGGTGGCGCCATCCACGGCTGTGATGGGTACCAGCCATTCCACGAAGGAAAATTCCAACCAGACGGCGGCATGTAAGGAGGAGGCTGCGGATAAAAAAATTGTTGTGAGTTCCGAAAATTGCCTCGACCCCCACCAGAATTCGGATGATTCTGATTAGTCTGATACCCACGCTGATTATTACCACGCTGTTTCCCTTGCCGCCGTTTGCCTTTGAAAGTGGCTGGCACTGGAGCCGGATCCTTGTAAGAAACAGATGGAGGATTAGTAGCAGCAGTCCGCATAAGCAACGCAGTATTATTCGTTGCCTCTGATTTAGCACGTTCGGCTTTCGTAGTCTCATCCAAAATAAGCATAGAACAAGTATTATTCGTTGCCTCTGATTTAGCACGTTCGGCTTTCGTAGTCTCATCCAAAATAAGCATAGAACAAGCTTGTGCAAAGGTAGGCATAGGTACTTTGTTCTGAACAACAGTAATAAAACCATCATACGCATCGGTAAGGCCGGTGAGGAGTCGAAGAACCATCCTCTGATCACTAACCTTTTGATCAACATTGGCTAGTTGATCAGCCAAAACTTTAAGACAACGAGTGTAAGCCTTTGCGTCCGGAAAATCTCTCAGATTAGAGTATTAGCGAACTCAGTTTCGAGATGAACTGCACAAGCAATTTTATTATCCTGGAATAAGTTGGCAAGATGATTCCAGGCATCAAGTGCAGTATCCTCTGGATTTATAATGGTGTTGAGGAGATCATTAGAGATCGTACCATAAATCCATTGGCGCACGATGTTATCAATACGAACCCATTGCGCTTGTTCATCAAAATATTGATTTAGTATGTAGATAGCATAACTCCTGAAATATTAATTTTCACATTTTCAACTATTTAATAGATGTTTAATAAATCTAATTTTGAATGGTGAACAAGGTAGCCCAATTGTGATACTGGGCAGATTCATAATCAAGGGTTAAGGGAATGGCTAATTTGATATTCGTGATGGTGGTGGCTGGGTGAATTTTGTCCGCCATCAGAAAGGAATAAAATTAGCGATGAAGAGAATAAGAAGGAATAGAAATAGAAGAAGAAAGAAGATCGATAGAAGAAGAAAGAAGATTGATAGAAGATAGGTATCGTTCACGGCTCTGATACCATGAAAGAAGATGTATTCCGTATCTCATATTGTACAATGACTTTCCTATATATAGTCATACAGCTCAATACCCTAACTATATACAATTACTAACTATATACAATTAGGAAACTAATCTATATAAATCAGATCAAACTAATTATACCAACAGAATATTACATATTCTATTAGATCTTCCCACTTATATAAAAGAAAGTGGGAGGTTTCAAATTCCAGATCTCTCTGTCATGGTAATTTCTTATTCTATTTTGAAGCAAATTAAAACTTTTTTATTATAAAACTGGCAAAAGAATTGTAAATTTTGAGAACCCAATAACATCCTTTTGTATATTTACAGTGAATATATATCAACACTACAAAAAAAATGGCATTTTGCGACCGACCAATCGGTCGCAAAATGCCAAAAAATCGGTCGCTAAATCAATTAGAGACCGATTTGCGACCACGCAAAATGCCAAAAAATCGGTCGCTAAATCAATTAGAGACCGATTTGCGACCGATATTTGTCGGTCGCAAAAATGCTGGTCGCAAAATATTTTGAGACCGATTTTTTCGTCGGTCGTAAATTAGCGACCGATAAATTGGTCGCAAAAAATTCTGTCGCAATTAGGTCCCAAATCGGTCGCAAATTGTAAATTTAAAATTTTTATTTTCGGTCGCTAATCGGTCGCAAAATTGAAAAAAATAAAAAAAATAAATATTATTAACCCATAATATTGTTATAATTTATATTATTAATGTTACTTTCATACTTTCAAGCACTTGACCTAATGTTGGTTACATCAACCAGCTTGAAAACTGAAAGAAAATGGTTTACCGAAAGAAAGGAGAGGATTTTCGGTACCGCAGTTGGGAACCAAGGGCCTTAGAAAAATCATGTAATTCTTTAGTATGATCAAGTTGGAAATAGTGTTAATCAGAAGATGAAATAATGCAGATTTTACCTTCAAAGATCAAAAAGTCTTTTACAATTGCATTTGTGAAAGACTAAGCTAACCAGACTATGAATGGCACCGCAGCAAACCATGTGAAGATGAAGCTGAATGGTTCTAGAAGCTGCAACTCAACAAATTAGAAAACTTTACATTGAAGCTCTAACTAATGATTGTCTTATCAGAATCTTTTTCATAAAACCAAAAGAAGAAAAAGAAGAATGAGTGCTGTTTACCTCCAGAAGATATGTTATTTCAAATCCAGTCAAATCATCCAAGAAGAAAAACCTGTACAAAGAAAAAGAAAATGAAAGTTATTAGAATCAACAAATTGTGAACTTCTAATGTTTAGATGGAATCTCCTTCAACAAAGATTGTCAAACAGATAAAATGAAAGAATTGTAGATTAGTGAAGAGAAAAGGAAAACGACTTACAAGCCTAATGCAACAACAGTTGCAGGGACATACAACATGAACATCTTTAAATAGTCAACAGACAGGTCACTGTAAACCTGTAGAAAGACGGTTGAGCAGGACAAGTAAGGTTAACCATTAGAATTGCAGGACATGGAAAAAAAGAAGAAGAAATAATCAGATTAACGTCTTGAAGTGAAATAATTAATATAAATGATAATGTGAAAGTGAAATAATTAATTAATAAATGAAAATGTTCAGGGTTAAATATAAATAAAACATGCTGCATTAGAAAAACCAAATTTGGCAGAGCTTTAACCTACTTAGAACTCATATTGAACAAATTATATGTAACGTATTACAAGCACAAGAGGAGAGAAAAATTGGGGAGGCGATATGCACCTTTCTACTACGAAGACTGCATCGAAGGACCTCAACTAACGATATCACTACCAGTTCTTTGCTGCAGAACAATTATTAATAAAAGATAAAATCAAGATATACATGAAGGAAACCTGCATTTATTTTGAAGAACTATCCAAGTCATTATTGCAATGAAAAATATATTTGTAATTGGAATGTTATAGATGCGAACTTTCTTAGTCTCATCTTCAACTCATTCATATGCAATTATAAACTAAAAGGAAAGAAAAGAAGGAAGAATAGGAAACAGAAAATATAAATGTAACTTCATTTTATATATATACTAGCTAAAGCACACCTCATGTCCCCAAAACGCACACTAGTCCAAACACCACGGTCTAGCCTATGTTGGGCAGCCTTTGCTGATGCAAGTTGAAATCCACTGCAATAGGAAGAAAAGGTTGAAATGAACATGTGATTGGGATAAAAACATTAATAAAAGAAATTAATATAAACAATAAACATTAATAAAAGAAATTAATATAAACAATTGAATCACAAAAAACTATATATAAAAACCAAACTAGTAATCCAGTACCTCGAACAGCCAAATACTTATCCTGGATTTGATTATAAAGAAACAAACAAGCTGAGGCATATATTATCCTCCTTATGTAAAGGTAATGCATTTGGACTCCATAGTTCTAAATATACAGATATGTATTTCTCTTCAGATGCTTTCTTGTTTCCTTTAGGGTAAAGAGCCTTTCTTGTTTCCTTTAGGGTAAAAGGAGAAGTCTCCAAAGCATCAAAAACGATGTAGGTGGAAAAAACAACCAGCAAATTAAAAAATTAAATACTCATTTTGTCTCCAAAACTAGTGAGATAGAAGTTTGAACTGCAGTTGAGACCCAATCGCCCAAAAAGGCATAAAATAATAATGAATGCCCAAATTTCTGGGCAGACCAAGCCATAAAAATGCTGGCAAATAGAACCCCACAATAATAATAATAATAAATAATAATAATAATAATAACAATATTATATTTTAAATAATAATAATAATAACAGTACATAATTCCTAATCGCAAACACACACAAAACTTACAAAGAGATTATTATATATAAAAACACAATAAAATGGCAAAAAAAAAAATTGAAAAAAAAAAAAGTCGCAAAACTTACCCTCAACTTGCTATCCAAATAAGCAAATGGAGTGGACCGGAGTTGCAAATGGAGCGGAGATGGCGAACGTCCAATGGCCGGGCCTGGAGCGGCGTCAGGAAGGGCTGGAGCGGCGTTGCGCAAACAGAAGGAAAGGAGAGGGAGGAGGCAGGAGAAACAGAAAAGAAGAAGAAAGAAGAAGGAGGGCGTCTGCGTGTTTAAAGCAGCCCTATATTTGTGAACACGACTTGTCAGGTCGCAAAATTTCATTAATATCTGTCGCAATTTTTAAACTCTGAGGACGTTTGTTTAGCTTCGCAAATAAATTGCGACTGATTTGCGACTCAAACTGTCGGTCCGCAAATAATCGGCGGCAAATCAGTCACAGAATGCGGTCGCAGAACTTTATTCTAATTTTGAATGCGCGCAATTTTGGCGACGGAATAACAAGTAGTCGCAAATCGGTCGCAGAGTGAACGAAATACCCGTAAGTACATTAGTCGCAAGCTGAAAAACAAACTCGAAAACAAACTCGTGGAAATTTTTAGCGCTACAATTAGCGACTGTTTGTCCATAGGTCGCAAATCGGTTGCAAAATTGCGACTGATTTGAGTCGGTCGCAAAAATCGGTCGTAAATCGGCGATTTTTTTTAGTGCAATACTTCAAATTTCATAAATAAGAATTGATTTTTTGAATTTAAAAGAAGTCATCCATGAAGTGACCTAGAAAGTGAATCTGCTGCTTTTCATCGAGTAGTTCTGCAAATTTATAAGACACTATAATTACCTATTCATTTATTACCAAGTATTGTGATGAATAAACTACTATTAACATTTTATTATGGTAAAAAACTTGATAAAGAAACGTTTCATTTCTTTTGATAGCCTCCTCGTTAGTGCCTGATCAGTAGCCTCAAACCTACGAGTCTCTAAGTTCGCTCTTAAAGCAAATTTCTTTGTTTAATAGCCTTTTCCCAACTTCCATATAACATTCTCCAAATTTGCTAACACAGCATCAACGGCGAAATAATTTTTTTTTTGCTTTAATACATTGTGATTTGAAAGATCCAATAAATTGAAATAACATCATAAACTATACAACAGGAGTTAATTCTTGCTAGAAAATTTAGATTGGAGATTTAAAAACTAACTACAACACACATGGTTTAAATATTAAAATTAAAGAAAAGAAAGAGAATGATCATATGTTAGTGTTGTTAGGCATCAGCTCTAATACCACTTGTTGGGCATCAGCTCTGATACCACTCGTTAAGCACTTTCAACCACTTAAGAGAAAATTGACACATCGAAAAATAAAAATGGAACACACATAAATTTACGTGGTTCACACATTGAAGTCTTCTAAACCTGGTTGAGAGACAGACAGACAAGAAGCTGAAGTGTATGAGGACAGATAATGGTGGAGAATGCACTTGGTGGCACACAAAGTGTTTCCCAAAAAAACACCCCAAAATAATTTCCTCACTATTTTTCTCTCCCCTAATTTAGGAAAACCCTTCCTAAAACTAGATACCTCTCTCTCTACATTTTTGTATTACTCTCTTTGTGTACCTACTATTATTTTAAATAGTGGAAGAATTATTCGGAGTTTGTCCCGTGGACGTAGCCCTAAACAGTTGAGGGTGAACAACGTAAATTTCTGTGTGTTCCATTTCTATTTTTCGCTGCATCAATTTTCTCTTAAGTGGTTGAAAGGGCCCAACAAGTGGTATTAGAGCTGAAGGTTTCGGCAGGTCCAGCAGGTCAGATAGCGGTACCGGATCCGTGGATATATTTTGAAAATAAATATACCACGATGAAGAGAAAATTACGACTTAGAGGCTGAAGGTTTCGGCAGGTCCAAAGCAGGTCAGATAAGCGTAGACCGACATAGGATCCGTGGATAAATATTTTGAGAAAAATAATATACCACGAATGAAGAGAAAATTTACGACGAGTCCATTGGGTGCTGTTCGCGTCGGGGAAAAGACGTTGCAGAATCAACTTAGTGATGAATAGTATAATAGTAACTCGAGGTTGGTGGTGAATAGTTACTATTGGCGTTACTGTTGCTGAGCCCATCACTATTCACGTATAGTACTATTCATGCATACAGGTATTATTCACATATAGTATTATTTATGTGTACAGTTACTATTCATGCATACAGTTACTATTTGAGTATATTGTTACTATTCATGATCACTATTGACGTATACTGCTGTTCACGTATATGGTTTATGTTGGTGATGATATTCTGCACAAGTCAAAATGGACAAGCAAAATGATCAGTCTAAATAAAAATGGGACAAGCAAAATATGATTCAGTCTAAAATGGCGAAATTACCAAATATGGAGAATATGAGAGATCTCCTTATAGTAAGTCAGAAATGCATTTGCCCTTGTTGTAGTTGAACTAAACCGGGAAGAGAAGATCTGATGAGGAATGGGCTTTGGAGCATGCGTCCCAAATCTCGATTGGTAGATTTGATGATGAAGGTTTCTGTAGCACCTTCAGAAATGGTCAGTGGAAGCTCACAAAAGGTTCATTTGTGGTAGCTAAAGACCCAAAACTATACGTGATGCATGCGAAACTTTCCCAAGACACTTTGAGTGTAGCGGAGAATGACAGCACAATTGAATTGTGGCATAAACGACTACGCCACATGAGTAGGAAAACTCTGGCAAGAAAGAACGTACTACCTAGATTGGATGAAGTTCACCTAGACAAGTGTCTTGATTGTATGGCGGGAAAGCAAAACAGAGTAGATTTCAAGATTACCCCTCCTTCTAGAATGAAGAATGTATTAGATCTGATTCATTCAGATTTGTGTGGACCATTGACGATGTCATATGGTGGGAACATCACATTTTTGTGATATTTATCGAAACATATCTCAGGAAGACCAGGTTATTACACATTGAGCTGCATTCAGGAAAGATAACTGGTGGGAGAAACAGCGGGCCATTTGATGCTTTCTGCCAAAGAGCATGGCATTCGACATCAACGACACCTCCCAAGGGTGACACCGCAAACTGGAACAGTGTGGCGCAGACGGATGAACCGAACTTTGTGATGGCGAGAAAAGTCCAGATGTTACTTCTCACATGCAAATTTGTCTAAGAGAATTTGGTGAAAGCGTATTACTCAACAGTTAGTTATTATCGATTCACCCTTATATTCCCTCTATAACTTTGATACTCCAAAAAAGAGGAGTATGGTTAGGAAATGAAAGTCCTATCGATACTTTGCAGGGTTTTTTGATTGCAAGCCTTCGTACATGTCGCCGAAGGATATATGACCACAGGTCGAAGGCTAATGTCTAGACTTAGACAAGTGTCTATTTCATTGCTATGACCAAGACCATATTGGCTATAAGTTTGATGTATTCATTGGCTATGACCAAGACCAATTTGGCTATAAGTTTTATGACCCAATCCAGAAGACGATTATAAGAAATCGTGATGCTGTATTTGTTGAATATCAGACTATTGAAGATATTAAAGCAGAGTGCCAATAGATTTGATGAAGACTCAATAGACATACAGAGAGTCCCTCCAATAGAACGCAGACGAATTGGAGATGAAGAGAATGTTCCACAAGAACAAGTGCCAGAGGTAGAAAATCCAGAAATTCCTCATGAAAATGAACCAGATGAAGATTATGGTGTTCATGTTCAGCCACCAGCACCAGAAGGTTCTCAAACATTAAGAAGGTCTAGTAGAGTTTGACAACCATCTACTAGATATCCAGTCAAAGAGTATGTACTGATGACTGACGGGGGAGAACGTGAAAGCTTTGAAGAAACTATTGGAAATGAACACAAGAGGAACTGGGTTGAAGCCATGCAAGATGAAATGAAGTCCTTGCATGAGGATGAAACATTTGAGCCGGTGAAGTTGCCTAAAGGCAAGAAAGCTTTGAAGAATAAGTGGGTGTTCAGGATCAAGCAGGAAGAAAACAGCTCCCAACCACGATTCAAAGCTAGACTGGTTGTGAAAGGATTCAATCAAAAGGGTATTATTTTATGTCCTTTTCACCAGTTGTGATAATTGAATCGCACTTTAGAACAGTGCTCCCAAAAATTAAATGAGTCAACGATCTAAAATTCTTTAGAAACTGAAAAATCTGTAATGCAACATGAGGAATGAAGAGATACCCTCACAATACAATGGGAGAAATTTATGGAGAAAGAAAAATATACGATGGAGCAAACCAGAGGATTTCGATAGAAAAGAGAGAGAATATGTGTTTGCAAACATAAGAAGAGGTTGACTTACGAGATTGAGCGACACTGAGAACCAGATAGTACAAAGAAGTTAGTGAGTCTATTATGGGGGAGCATGGCTACAGAAAGACTACTTCAGATCACTGTGTTTCTATTCTCTGATGATGACTACATTGTTTTTGCTCTATGTGGTTGGTATGTTGACTGTTGGTCAAAATTACTAGCTTGAAGAAACAGCTAAGTAAGTCTTTTGCCATGAAAGACTTGGGACCAGCAAAACAAATTCTTGGCATGAAGATAGAAGAGCTAAGAAATTATGGTTGTTACAGGAGAAGTACATTGAGAGAGTACTTCAAAGGTTTAGAGTAGAAAATGCTAAAGTGGTTAGTTGTCATGTTACTAATCACTTTAAATTGACTTCTAAACAGTGCCCTTCTACGGATGGAGAGAAGGAAGAAATGAAAAGATTTTGTATGCTTCAGCGTTGAAAACTTGATGTATGCCATGGTTTGTACACGGCCAGATATTGCTCACTCAGTTGGAGTAGTGAGTCGGTTTCTTTCAAATCTTGAAAAGGAACATTGGGGACTGCAGTTGAAATGATTTTCAGGATATCCAATCACATTTGCAAGGGCGCAGTCGGATCGTGGCAGTCAAAATATTGAAGCGGCAAGGAGTTGCTTGGTGAAAAAATTCGATTGACATGAACTCGGAATCCATCAAGAATGATATCAGATATTTTTGTGACAGTCAAACGCGCAATTCACCTTGGAAAGAATGCCTCCTTTCCACTTGAAAATCAAAACACATTGATGTTAGATCAGCGATGTGCTTGGAGATGAGCTGTTACCAGCTTGAAAGATCCATCTACAGAAGAAAAATGTCAAGTCATGTTGTTATGAAGATCTCTTTCAAAGGGAAGTTTTGAATACTATCGAATAGTCGCATGGATGAATGATGGCATAACGTCCCACTGAGTTACAGGATTTGTCTTGTGTCCAGTGTCCACCTCAATGGGACCCACCGTTTGAAAAAAAAAAAAAGAAGAGAAAACGCTTTATTTTGAACAAGAAGAAAAAGTTTCGGCAATCCTTTGATTTTGACAAAATGGAGAGCCATGAATGAGTTATACACGGCTCTCTCGTAACCTGCCTATAAATAGAGGCAGATGCACCTCAACAAAGCACACAGCAGAAAAGGAAGAAAAATATGTAGAGAGAGAGGTATCTAGTTTTAAGAAGGGTTTTCCTTAATTAGGGGAGAGAAAAATAGTGAGGAAATTATTTTGGGGTGTTTTTTTGGGAAACACCTTGTGTGCCACTATTTTTGTATTACTCTCTTTGTATACCTACTATTATTTTAAATATTGGAAGAATTATTCGGAGTTTGTCCCGTAGACGTAATCCTAAACAGTTGAGGGTGAACCACGTAAATTTCTCTGTGTTCCATTTCTATTTTTCGCTGCGTCAATTTTCTCTTAAGTGGTTGAAAGGGCCCAACAAGTGTTAGGCACGTCATCTTTAAATGGAGAAATTACGTACATTCATTCATATAAATTATCAACTTTTTCATTTGTGGACAAAACCCAGCAACCATTCTCATTTATCTATCGTCAACTAATATGAAAGTATTGAGTCATATCCCAGAACTAGATAGATTTTTTATGTCCATTCGAATGGGTTAATTTGGATGAGTTAAATCTTGAACAATGTGTTGAAAATTTAAAGGTGGCGTGAAGGGCCTGGTCTATAAATAACCTTCAATTTCCCTTTGGGATATTTCAAGCCTCTTCCTACGCTTTCGTTTCAGTACTATACCCTAGCTTATTACATGCATTTTCCTCCATTAATAATATCTCCTATGGAAGTTTCAACTCCAAGATCACCCTTACAGCCTCCAACCTTCGGAAACTTAATCACCATTCTTAGCATCGATGGCGGTGGTATTAGAGGACTTATACCTGCAACAATTCTTGGCTTCTTAGAGTCTGAGCTTCAGGTAAAGAAATTAAAATCTTCATTAATCATAAATTATATCTATATTGCACGTAAATTATCTTCATATAATATATCTATATTGCACGTAAATTATCTTCATATAATATATATACATATATTGTTTGTAAAAAAATTAAATATTTTTTTATACATGGGTGTGTGCAGAAGCTGGATGGTGAGGAAGCAAGATTAGCAGACTATTTTGATGTAATTACAGGGACAAGTACCGGCGGTTTGGTGACTGCTATGTTAACCGCACCAAACGAGCAAAATAAACCTCTATTTGCGGCTAAGGACATTAAAGATTTCTACACTGAGCACTGCCCTAAAATCTTTCACCAAGATACCTCTCCATTTGCTCCTGCTGCGAACTTAGTCAAGTCTTTAACCGGACCCAAATATGATGGCAAGTATTTACATAACATTGTTAAGGAAAAATTAGGCGATATACGAATTGATCAGACCTTGACTCATGTTGTGATCCCTACGTTTGATATCAAGCACCTCCAACCTACTATCTTCTCTAGCTATGAGGTTCGTAACAAATGTGTGGAAATTAAATATTTGATTATATCTCCAAGAGTTTTTATGAAGGAAATTAATTTTCTTTTCCAGGCCAAGAAAAACCCATCCATGAATGCCCTTCTATCAGACATATGCATAGCGCATCAGCTGCTCCAACTTATCTTCCTGCTCATCGTTTCGAAACCAAAGATTCGACAGGCAAAGTAAGGGAATTTGATCTTATTGATGGCGGTGTGGCTGCAAATAATCCGGTATATACCTTTTCATCAAATTTATTGTATATCTATATGTACATGCTGAATAAATTAAGTTCATTCGGGTAAATTATATATTCAGGCTTTGGTAGCTATGAATGCTGTGATGAAAGAAATTATGGATAAAAATCCTGACTTCTTTCCGATAAAGCCATTGGACTATAGCCGATTTCTGGTGCTCTCACTGGGGACTGGTTGGCCAAAATGTGAAGAAAAATATAAAGCTACTGAAGCGGCGAAGTGGGGTTTGTTCGGATGGCTAACGAGTGGGCATTCAACCCCATTAACGGATGTTTTTGTGCAAGCTAGTAGCGATATGGTTGATTTTCTTTCATATCTGCACTGTGTTTAAAGCTCTTCATTCTGAAGAAAATTACATCCGAATTCAAGACGATACCCTAACCGGTAACTTGTCATCAGTGGATATTGCAACAGAAGAAAACTTGAACAATCTTGTGAAAGTAGGTGAGGAGTTACTCAAGAAACGAGTGGGAAGAGTCAACTTGGACAGTGGTGCCTTTGAGCCTGCTTATGAGGCTACAAATGAACACTCCCTCATAAAGTAAGTTTCTACACGGATGTAAAAAAATATGTGTTGACAAAAAGAAATTAAGTATAATTTATTTTTTAAAAAAAATCCATTAATAGATCTTTTTAATAATTAGATTTATTTATTTCCTAATTCTAGCCATGTTTAATTCTTCCTATTTAATTTCATTTAAGTCCTTATAAATATAATAGTTTAAAGCAATATTTTAATTATTTTACATTTAATAACAATCAATTTTTGCATAACAATTATATTTTTATTTTACTAAAAAATTACAAAAAATGGTATTTCTAACAGTTCTAGTCTATCAGATACACTTAATATTTTAATTTATTAAAGTATTTAATATAGAGTTGTGTTTTTAAAAATTATGAGACATGTAAATTCAAAATCATAAATAATTAATGATTGGATTCTAATTCAAGTTTTCTCCCACAAAATAAAATCAAAGTATTGGAAATAATATTCTTAAATTCAAATTTTCTTTTGGGTTAGAAAATTTTAGATTTGGTTTAATTTTTGTGGCATGTATGTAGGTTGGCTAAAATGCTGTCAAGGGAGAAGCAGGTTCGTGAAGCCAGATCACCACATTGAAAAACCATTGTCATGGATTTTCTAAGCAACATAAAAGAAGGGTCGTGAATACTCAATTCGTCAATTAAATGTTTACTTTGTCGACAATTGTTTTCCAAACGCGTGAAAGACTTTCTAAGCAACATTGGCAACACTGATCAGTGACGACGAGTTTAGACGACCACGAACTACAGCATCAAGATCTTTTTTTCTTTGTTTTTTTTTTTCCTTTTCAACTACACAATAGCGAAAATAAATACGACAAATTGTTGATATATAGTGCCGGTCCGGCCCATGGAAACGGGTCGTGACAAAGGTGGTATTAGAGCTTAGGTTCATAATTCTAGATATAACTGCGGAGTAATTCCTGTCACGTCTTAACATAGTCTTCCTTGCTTTCCTCTTAAACGTTATTCGCAGCTAGATTAAAGTCAAGTCATTTAATGATTAAAATTTGTATAGTTGTTCTTGAAAGATGTGATTTAGTGATTGCTGCTAAAGGGGTGGTTTAAAAAAAAAAATCCTTCTATGGAATAAATAATGTTCATTTGTAATTTAAGTATGTAAGGTGATAAGTGATATATGATTAATAGGTTGAAGATAGGTTGAAGTAAATGATAAAAGCACGCTACTGTTATTTAATATGTGTTGGACGTGGAATATATACATGAAAATACACTGAGTGTGTATATGTGTGCCTACGGAAGAGGTATGTTGAGACTGAGTTGTTAGTGTGAATTGATAAGAAAACTAAATGATTCGGATTCAAGCACATTAGGATTTACTTAATTAGAGTATTGATTTTAGCATATCTATTTGATGAAGTTTACGTGATGTTGGTTGGTGGAATTTATTATGACTATTGAGGTAAGCATTCTTCTGGATGAAATATATATATTAATTGGTGTAATTACATAAATAATATTTATAGGGTTTAAATAATAAATGATTTGGTGTGCTTTGCAATAATAATTGATGATGAGTATTTTTTGTAAAAGATAATGTTTGGTGGAATATTTATATCAAGTGATTTTTAATTATGAAAAGTAATTACTGCTTGGTGGAGTAAAGTGTATTGTGGTATTGATATCTCTTTTCATGTGTATGAATATAGGGAATAATATAAATTATTGTGGTTATAAGAAAAGTAAATTGTAATTCTTAATAAGAGATAGATTAATTTAATCTTTATTTACCTAGTGACGGATATTGTGTGGATTGTGGCACCTTATGGGTTAATAGGACATGATTATGAATTAAAATTAACGAGATTTAGCCTTTTTATGTTTAAAATAATGGTTGCATTCTAGATGTTAGTAAGTTATAAATAAAGATTATTGTTTAATGAGAGATTCTATGATTCGAGAAGAAGTAAATGACTCATATTAAGAAATTAAGACAATTATGTTATATGAATAGTGGGTCATGACAGTTAGGTATATTGATGAATGACATTGGACATTAAGGGATAATTGTCCAATTATTAAATTGATGTTATACCAGTGAATTAGATAAGTAAAAATGGATCTAGTCCTGTTATTGTATGGATATTAAGAAAGAATCAGTTACAGAAACGTGAGGAGTATACATTAGCATGATTTAAATGAGGATAGTTAGTATTTAGAGTTTTGACAAATTTGGAATCACTGTTATTAAAATTGATAAAAAATAGGAGTAATGATTTATCGAGGGATTTAAGATAAGGATTTCTATATTTTGGGATTTCATGAATATAAAAAAGAAAATTGTGGTTTATGTTGATCTCACTAAGCTTGTATGGGAATAAATTCTAAGCGAAAACAATTAAGAGTCTATGAGTAATCATTGCTAAGATAGAAAAGATTATAGTTAACAAAAGTATTTACAAGTCGTAGAAGATTTATGAATCTATACGAGGTATCTACAAAAGAAAAAGACCTAACTCCAAGGACATTCAGGGATATAAAGGAGTGTCTAGTAGAAAAATGATAAGTTGAGTAATTAGGTTGAATCATCTATAGAATTATGAAGGCGATGCATACAATTAAGGGATAGTTAGTATAATCTAGAAATTATGGATCTAGTATAATAAAATGAATGTAAAGGATAATAAAGGAAATCGGTGGTTTTGGGATTGGAACGCTATTATATTGGGTGATAATTATATTAGGAAAATGATAATTTGAATATCATTTGAAGGAGAATAATATTTGTATAATTGAAAAGTTTTTTGTTATATCTCATGGAGAATAAAGATAAGGTGGATATTAAGAATTTAAATGATCACGAATAGTAATTTTATGCTGTAAATAAATTTAATATTTATGAAAATTTAGAAAATTAAAAGATGCTTTAGAATAAGTAGTTAAGAATATGTAGTTAGACAAAAAGAAGTGAAATATTATTAAAGGTAGAATGATGGAACATGTATATTATTGAAGGTATGAAAATTGCTTTGAGGTTTAAAATAATTATCACTGTCGATGATAACTCTAATAGAATATTAAACAAATAATTGATAATGTTATAACCAAACTTATGAATTGAGTTAACCGGGTCTTTACGAGGTGAATTTCGAGAATTTAGTGGTTCATAAATAGTAAATTTAGAATATAAAAAGAGATCAAATGTAGGAAGCTATTGAATGTCTTGTGATAAATGATTCAAGGATTGTAATCCCGATGACGAAAGAACTTAGTACTTATATTCAGAAAGAAAGATATATTTTCTACTTGAGAGAAAGAGATAAGAAAATTCTGACTTCTGTAACTTGATAGCATCTAGTTAGAGAATAGTTTTATGAGTTATATTAATTGAACACATATATTGAGCTTATAAATGTATTATGTACAAGTGATGAGTGTTATTAATAGTAATAATTGGGAATAAGGAATAAGAGTTGATGAAGGATCATGAGACTTAGCTTGAGATGACAACGAATGCGAAAAAATTTAATTTCTTGACGTAAAGCAATTAAAATAAGGAATTTCTATTAATCAGTGCAACTTTTGCAAATTACTTGCATTTTTGGATAAAGAAGGAAAGTTATATTTATGTCCTTACTAGAACATAAAGGTAATTAGAGTATTTTCATTTATTAGTAAGCTAGCTAGGTTTTAATTTACTATTTATCTGGGATATTGAAAATTTTGTGTAAGAACAAACAAGTGGATTCGGGATAATTTTAGCAAATTTAGTGAGAAGAGTACACGCAAGTGTTTAAAGATTGAAAACATAGAGTATAAGATTAGTGGATGTGTTAACAAGACGATCTAAGAGTACATCTTAACTATACTTGACGACCAACTTAAGTGTGTTAATCTAGTAATTTATTAATTTAAAATTTGCTCATGGAATTATTGAGATATCAATTAGGATGAGAGTCATTAATATATGATTTGAAGTCAATGTAAATCTATTCTGAATTTCTTAGTAATTGGTAGAAATTATGATTGAATGAATAGAATTGTGTTATAAATGGCAGTTTGTGACATATCTTATGGTTTAAGGGAATACTTAATTAGTTAGATCCATTCGAGGACTGGTACATTGTAACTTCGATGTTGAAGAATTGAATGAGGTATTAACCTTGTTTGGAGTAAAGAATATAGAGAAAACATAATTAAGGTTGAGGATATTCTTAGATCGTATTAGGTATAAATTTTACAAATCTTGGAGGTGATAGACATTACGATAGACTTGGAGAGAAAGAATAACTCAATGATATTGTTATCTGAATATTCATAGGCATTCATGGGATTAAGAATAAACATAAAACAAAGGACATAATTTAATCAGAAATTGGATTATAGATTTAACATTCTTAATCTCTTACTAAGCTAGAGCAAAATACACTACTTGATTAGGATTCTTGATTTCTAGATACGTAAACTTAGGTCTAAAAGGTTGATTAAAGACAGAAGAAATAGGTAAATTGGATATAAACTACGGTTTGGAGAATTTTACATCTTGATTAAGCTTGTAAACAAAAGAATATAGGCTGGACTTCTTTATGGAATTGAGTATAATAGAATAGTGTGTGCAAGTTTTAGAAAATAAATTAAGAATTATCCGGCATGGCAACAGCTAACTTGGCTAATTGCATAAGTTCTTGTCATAATTAGTTAAGAAATGGTAAGGTATGATAATTTGGAAAGAGGAATAGAGAGGTTAATAACTAAAATAGAGACTTGATTGTGAATTTAAATTCTCTCTATATAGTCGATGTACTATTTGTTTTTATGGGATTCTCATTAGTAGAATTTGAAAAGAGATTGTCTATATATCTTTCGTTGGAAAATGGTTAAGTTGTTAAATAGGTGATGTGTTTGGGATAGAGGTCAGAATCTCCTATCAGTTGATAGCAATTAGCTAGAGAAATGTCATGATTCTGTTTGAATTAAGCTTGTAGTAGTGCCATGAATTTGTTCTCTTTAATTGGAAACGATCAAATGGTACTTAATTGTAGAACTTGATGATAATGGAAAACCTCATTGAATTGGCAGCAACCATCTTATCTAATTATAAACTTCATCAATAATTGTGAGGACAGTGATATAAATATCTGTAATTGATGGAAAATGGACGATTCAACTTGTAGGTTTGAATCTCGACAAAAATAATAATAATAATAATAATAATAATAATAATAATAATAATAAGGATTCTAAATTGGGATAGTAGTAAATTCGATTGAATATGTGGATTCTTGTATCAGAAGATTTAATACTTGGTTTGTGTATGAACATCTTATTGAGTGATGATCATTGCCTATAATAGCTAGTGAGAGATAAATAAGGCGATACATCAATGTAGGTCACATGATATATAGCTAATCAGATTAATAACTCTTACCTGAGCAGAGGTTCTGAGGAACTTAAATTCTTACATGTAAAGTTGAATACTAGTGTCGAATCTGTACCTTCGGTTATGAATATTTGACTTGAGTTGACGACTTGTGGATATAGTACAACTCAAATTTAAATTAACTATGGTGATAAGGTAAATATTTAAACTTTGGGGATGAGTTCAACTTATAATCATCCTACCCTCTCTATAAATTAGATTTTCTTCCCATGTCTGTTTATTGGGTTGTCTTAATTAATAAATTTAATAAAAATTAGTTTCACCACTCTAACTAACTAACTCAAAAATATTTATCTCGTCATCACCCTTCTAGCTGCTCAGAAGAACAAGTATTCTCCTGAATGTGAATGTAATAACTCTTAGCAGATGCAACATTATGTGT